CACACTTAGGCATAACACCACTTTAGCAAGTGTGGTGTAATTCCTTAGCATGCAGGCCAAGGATCTCACAAGGCATCAATTCGTTTCACTGTCAGTGCAAGATCGGGGCTGTGGGAGAAACTCGAAGCCGGAGGGAATTCATCTCGATCATGAACGGTCATATACTGTCGTCTCTAACATCTCACCAGGATACTGATCCCGAATCTCGAAATCCTCCGGCGAAATTCAAAGAGACATCGTCCCCGTCTCCCCGGACTGCCAACTCTCCTGATCCATATCCCTCTCCCTCTCCCTCTCCCTCTCCCTCTCCCTCCCCAGATCCATATCCATATCCATGCTCATCTCCCCGCTCAACATGCCCAACCCACGATGCATCTCACTCCCGACGACGATATCATTCATCCGGCCCATCCCCTCGTCTCCAAACGTCTCCGGCTTGTCCCCTAGTCCTTTCAACAGACTCCAGTTCGCCCCGAGGATCCCGACTGCGCCGGAAATCCATTGCGCTCTCTTGCAGCTGACGCCCAGCGTCCATTCGAATTCTCGGAGTCTGCATGCGTAGAATTCCGCCTCTTCCCTGCCTGGGGCGGTGGCCATGAGGAGGGTGCCGAACGTGCCGATGAGGGCGAAGTTGGAAGCGCTCGCGAAGAACCAGAACGATTGCAAGTGAGCGGGCTTGAGACGGTTGACGAAGTCGAGGGCGGAGATGAGGCGAGTCTTGGCTGCGGACCGGCAGATGTAGAGCATATAGCTCTCGGAAGCGGATGCGCCGGCAGAAGCAAGAGACTGGACGATTCGTCGATGGATGGAAATCTCGGTCGCGAAGTAGGCGAGGTGCAGATATGCTTGCAGATGCGAAGTGGTATTATCCATTTTGCATTCCGGCGGCAAGCGAGCGAACCAGTCTTTTAATCTAATCTGTACGGGTTTGGCGCGGTTGAGGACGAGTTGGGTGGAAGTCGCTGCGGCCTTGGCGGATTCGGAGTAGAAGGTGTCGCAGACTTGTGACATGATGGAGGTCAGTGAGATCATTTGCATGAAGACCATGCGACCCTGTCTCTCCTCTTCGGTCTCGTTGTCTAGATGCGAGGTGGCGGATTCGGAGATACTCTCATCAAAGTCTTCTTCTGTTGGCTCGGAAACGTTCCAGTCTGCGGCGTTGATGTGGGATGGGCGACCGTGCATGACTGCGCTCCATTTGTCTTGCATATAGAGAGCCCATGCCAGGCGTTTCCGTAGCAGACGCTCCCATCGTGGGATGTACCAGTCGGAGCAGTCCAGGTGAAGGCCAATGTCTTGACCGAGAGCAACAAGTTGGACAGTGAGAGTCCACTTGCTCGATTTTGGTCGTTGTAGGAGGAGGAGCCCAGCTTGGACGGCGGACATCTTGGGTCGCTGCATTGCGATTGTTAAGCTGGTGATGGCAATGTATTCGAGTCTGGCCATGTCGGGCTTCGGGTGGGAGGAGACGGATGGATCCTGTTCCCACCAGCTCAAGGCGAGTAGATACATTGCCGCCAACAGCGGAGGATTGAATTGTCGATCTCCATGTTGATGTCGGTCGAGGAAGGCTTGCTTCTGGATGATCGGGTAGCTTGGGTGTACATTGCGGAAGTAGATGTCGACGAGAGCGGGACCATGCGAGCCAATGACTTGGTCGATTTCTGCTAAAGCACGAGCTTCGTCGTCGGGTATTTGGACATCCGCGTCCGCATGTGTGCTAAAGTACTCGGTGGAATTGACTTGGCGAAGGGTACCAACCGTCGACTCGGTCTCGTTCTTGTCATTGAAGGAGCCGAGACCAATCAGACAGGCATCGAGGGCGGTGGTCTGGCCAAGATACTTGCAATGTCTGCGGCGCTGCAAGCTCAGCGTCTTGTCCACGGCGAATGGCTTCCTCATCGACAGCTGAGTCGTCGGAGTCGTCAAGGCGAAGGACAGCTTCGAATCTCTGGTGGTAGGTCGGGAGGGGCCGGTGGGAGCAGTGGCAGGCCGTTGAAGGATAAGGGTGCTCTTCTTTGAAGGAGGAGATTGCTGTGTGGTGCTCTCATGGGCCTTGCGCTTCCTGGGCTGAGCGTTCTCCACGAAAGTGCACTCTTGTTTGTGAAACTCGCAGAGCACACAGCGGCGGTCTTCCTGCAGGACACACTTGCTTTTGCGTTTCCGGCAGCCGTCACAAGGTCGTTCTCGTCTGCTACGAGAAGGAGGAGAGGTCTGTTGGAGTTGCTTCAGGGCAGGACGATATTCCTTGGAGTCGACAGGATGCTTGGGAGGGGACCAGGCGGCGAGAGGACGAGGCGAGGGTCGTGGGGCCAGAGGGGGGACAGTCATCACGGCGGCCATGTTGGCGATGGAGAGTAGTCCAATGATATCAGAACCAGGTTGTGATAATGGCTTCCAGAAGGGGAAGCAGGTGCACGAGAATGTATGCAGTGGGCGATCCAAGAGGTGGGCGTGACAAACCGCGTTGGTCGGGGTTATCTGGCGGTCGGTAGGCGGATGTGAGAGGGCAGTGCGAGGCAGAGAGACGGGCTTATCAGACGAATAAGCAGACAATGTGAGGGGAGGCGGAAGGGTGGGCGACAGATACGGAGAGACTAAGCGTGTTCGGAGGAGGCAGAGAGGGCGGCGATGAAGATGAGATGGTCGAGGGTCTTGGGGGTCATTGGAGTGGCTGATGAGACGAGCGCGATGCTGCCACTGGGTGTGCCTGCCTCTGGCTAGTAGTATTGGTAGTAGTAATAATAAATGTGCATGGGGTAAGTGAATATGGGTCCCGTCGTGTGCGGGAGACGGAGACGGAGATATAGCGAGCGATATGGCGGTCGACTGCTCACATATGCACATGAGACGGATCGAGTCAGCAAAGTGACAGCAGCACACAGTGTCGCACGCGGTACGTAAAACCCGCGTCCGTGTACATAAGAGAAACCTCTTCACAGGCGCAGACTTTCGACGTGAGTGAGGTCGAGAGATAAGGACTCGCATCACAGCCAATCACGTCGCGCCGCACCGCTTCACCTCGAAATTAGAGTTGGCTCCCATTGCGCCCGACCCGGAGTCACAGCACAGACAGCGTCGGCGTTGCGCAGACCCTTTTCCCGGTCCCCGCATGTAGACGTGCATAGCCGAGATCCCCATGCAAACGCTGTGTACATACATGTGCCCGCGTACTGTGTGTGTACTGTGTATACTACTGTGTATACTGTACTGTGTACAGAAAGCAGTGAACAGGAAGCAGTGAAGGCGTCGCCGTAGTGCTCTGGGTCGCATCCCTGATCTGTGCAGCCGAGAGAGAGCCGATGCCTTCGTCGCGCTTGACAGGAGTGACGGCGGCGGCGGCGGCTGCGAGCAAGGAGGATGATGGGAAGGAGCTTCGTCGTGGATGGAGGAGGTGATGTGGTGTGCTGAGAGGGTGTGGTGATGGATCTCGAATGGAAGTGGGAGTGGAAGTGGAAGTGTTGTTGGTGGAAAGGTGCTATAGAGTTCCAGGAGGTTATTTTAGTAGTGAGGCTGCGGTGAGATGACTAAGAAGTGTGCCAAGCTTTTTACATGTGAAAGCGTGTCGAATTACCCGCTACCATCTCAGGTGGGAACAGGAGTGAGCACGAAAGAGAACCATGACTCTTTTCTCCATGAAGTTGATCCTTTGCCTAAGCATCCCATCCGCATTATGACCCCGCATTCGAGCCCATGTATCCTATGGCACGATTCGCAAAAGTTCCAGCGGAGAGCTCTCAGAGAGTGGCTCAAACTGAGCTGTTCTGCGGGCCTCTTCGAAGCTGAGAAGTAGACGGACAGCCGAGGCGAGCGTGACAAGGCAGTGGAATGTGATGGATGGGAATCGAGAAGTTCCAAAGGACAAAAATGCCCAATAATCGAGGAAGAAGACAACGTACCCAACACACCGCTTGTGCGAGCATTTGATGCCCATCTCCAAACATCTCACAGGGCTCTGTCTCGCACCATCCTCCCTTCCACAGCACAGCACTTCTAATTCTTCAAATCGAAATTCCTCCTCTCATGCTCCCCAATAGCCTCCACCTTCTTCGCACTCGCACTCTGCGGATCAAACCGATACCCCACCCACTCCTTCGCCAACCTCCGCGCGAGTTCAATCCCCACCACCCGCTCGCCCATACAGAGCACCTGGGCATCATTGCTCAGGATCGCCCGCTCCACGCTGAAACTATCGTGTGCCGTCACGGCCCGGACGCCGGGCACCTTGTTCGCGCTGATGGCGACGCCGAGGCCCGTGCCGCAGATGAGCAGCGCGCGGTCCGCCTCGCCGGATTGGATCAGTTTGGCGGCGTCGACGGCCGGGTGCGGGTAGGCCGTCTTGTCGGAGGCGTCGTTGACGCCGACGTCGATGATTTTGGCGACGCGCGGGTCCGCTTCGAGGTCGGCTTTGATTTTGTTCTTGTAGCCGCAGCCCGCGTCGTCGGCGCCCATGGCGATGCGGAGGCCTCCGGATCCGTTGGCAGCCATGTTGTGTGGCAGATTCCTGATTTTGTTCAAACGTCTTCCTGTTGTGTCCTTTAGAGTTGACTGGTATCGAACCCTTCGATCTTCTCCCTCTCCTGCTTCTCCGACGTCTTCACTTCCTCAGCAACAGGCTCCGTCTCCGAACTCTTGCTCTGATGTCCGTACTTCTGCGGGTCAGACGGATTCCCGACAACAGTAGCAGTCTTCTCCCAATATCCCGGATCGGGCTTGTCGACGACTCTCGTCTTGCCCGTGTTATGATTCGTGATCTTCTGGGAGTAGTATTCGGATTGTATAGTAGACGTCTGAGAAATCTTGATCCGTCTGCTCTTGGAAGGAGACGCCATCTTCCTTATGTATGCCTCTAATCGATGGATGATGCCTCAACGGAGTCTCGCCTGATCTCATCGTACCGCAGGAGGGGAAGCCGAGTGAGGTTCCTCTCCGGATTGTCTGGAAACGGGATGCCGAGGCCTCGAGACGGGGTATGGAGTATGGAGCTCGGAACTTCTCCACGCGTTTTCCCTGGCCCCAGTGGGGACGACATGGGTGTAGTAGACATGGGGTTTGGATAATTTCTCCGCAACTTCGTGTCGAGACCCTTTTTTCAAACTCCTGCGTCAATGGTCCGTCGCGCCTGTGATGAAACTTCTCCCTTCACCTCTGCCAATGTTCAGCGTCTAGCGAGTCCAACCGGTCTAAATTAGTTAGTAAGAGTCGAAGAGACGATGACGCGATAGACTGGAAGAACCAGAGGTGGGCGGGGTTGTGTGTGTAAGAGAACTTGGAATCAGGCACCCGAGGAAACCAAACGGAAAGGGAAGACAAGCAAGCCGATATGAGGCTATCGTATTCTGGTACATCTCCATTAGGCCGACCAAACCGCTGTCACTGCGTAGAAGCCTACAGCTAAACGCTTGCAAGACATGCATTTCGAAGACAATCCTGCTCATACCATCCTTAACCCCAAGTCTCTCAGACTGGACTCGGGTCCGAACAATCTCAGACAAACGCCCCACTGGTCGAAATCGCTAGGACTGTGGTTCGTAGAGGAACTGAGGCACTGGAGGCCATCCGCGTGGACGCTTTGGTGCAGAAGCTGGCGCCTCCTTATCGTCTTCAGGGCTATGCCGAGCCATCTTCCTCTTGTTCGCTTCAGCCGGCGGTGAGGTGGAGGAATTGCCGCGCTTGAAGGACTTCGGGGCTCCATCTGCGTCGACGCTGCCGGACGAACCCGTTTCTGCGCTGGCAGCTAAAGCCAAGTCCTGAAGGGTTTGCTTGCGGGCATGGACTGGCGAGTCATCCGTGAGATCAGTCGGCTCCGACTTGATCATCGTCTCGTCGTCCTCATCTGCTTGGTCATTTCCCTGCTCCTCCCGCTGCTGCTCTTCATTCACCTGTCCAATCTGCTGCTCCTCATCCACCTGCTCAATCTGCTGCTCTCCACCCGCCTGCTCAACCTGCTGCTGCTCCCCACCCGCCTGCTCAATCTGCTGCTGCTCATCGGCCGGCTGCTGTTCCTCCTGCTCGCTCGCAACACCATGACCAGGAAATCTTACCTCAATAGAGAACCGGCCACTCACGAGGCCTTCAACGTCCTCGCGCGTCAAGCTGCGTCGGCCACACACGGCAGCGATCCTCTCCCACGTGAACCCATCCCTGGCGAGGTCACGATGCTTCTTCGCGTAGTGCCGCGTCAAGCCCAGCGTGCCGTTGAAGAACTCTTCCGTCGCCTCGCTGCTGTTGGCACCGCACGCATGGCACCACACCTCGGTCCAGACGCCATCGAGCTCCACCACGGTCGGATTGTGCTTGCTGAAAATCCTGAGACCGCCGCGCTTGGACTTGACCATGCGTGGTTGTTGCTGGTGGTGGTCCGCGTGGCGGGCTTCTTCCTCTTCGACCTGGTCGAGGGAGCCATCGTCTTCCGTCAACGCTGGCGTGGTGTCGAGGGTAGAGCGGCGTCGGGACGTGGTGCCCGGCAGAGCATCTCCGATCCGCTATTTCCACGTCAGTCAGTCAGTATACCACCAGCGCCTCCCAACGGTACCGAAAGCCGCCGTGCCGTCTCGTGGACAATGGATGTGCCTTCACGTACCCGCTGATTCCCCTCCAACTGCTCGTCAACATCGGCAAGAGCACCCTCGGCCTCGAGGACCTGCTGTCGAAGGCCCGCGAGCTGGTCGGCAAGTTGCTCCTTCTTGCCTCGCAGACGATGGTTTTCTTCGAGTAACACCGACAGCGTCGGTTGCGCCTGCGCCTGCGGCTGAGTCCCGCGGCGCGCCATTTGTCTTGTGTTGTGTTGTCGAAGAAAAATTGCGTCGTGCTGTATGTGTGTGTGTGTGTGCGTTGTGGTTTTGGAAAATTTCTTCCAAGGGAAAGCACGAACCGAAGGTGCAAAATTCCAAGTCGGCTGTCGAGTCGCGCCTTCCTGTTTGGTTCTTGCAGTTAAAACTCGGCAGGGGTCCCGCTAGCGGCGGGAGCGTCGCATGTGATTGCCGCTAGCGCGTGTTCAAGTGAACTACCTTACTCTGGACTTCTCCCAAAAAAATGTTCTCATATCTCTCCCAAGCCACTAGATAGGAGCGCGTGCGTTTCGGAAACAAAAAAGTCCTTGGCGTTGCGGATGGTACCAATATACCCCGAGCGAGACCTTTCTTTCCCCCCCCCCCCCAATCATCCCATCATCCCTTCTCCAAATCTCCCCCATATAGCTGGCTGCTTAAAAACCCTTTCCCGAAAGGGGGCAGTACTTCCCCATTGTCTCGAGATCCCCCTCAATCTCAACAAACCCCCTCCGACCCCATCTTCACATCCCTTATCTTCCCTATCTATCTATCTATCTATCTATCTATCTACTCAAACAGCCAGCCCATCGACCTAGCAAACATAACACTAAAAATTTCTAATCCTTCAAGATTATTTACCCCCCCCCCCCCCCCCCAAAAAAAAGACCACTTCATAAAATTTCTTCTAGATAGTATTTATCGACTCCCGATCAGCGAGTTCAGTTCAATTCAATCCAAGTCAGCAGACGAATCCATTAAATCCCGAGAACAACAATAATAACAACAACAACAACAACAACAACAACACATCTACATAGGGGAAGAAGAAGAAGAAGAAAAAAAAAACACGAATCATCATCATCATCATCATCATCATCATCATTATAATGATATCTCCATTACTGCCCCCCCCCAAAAAAGCGCTGGTCTTCTGTCTGTCGGGGATAAAAATGCTGCTAGCTAGATAGCTGTAACGTATCTAAATCGCGGAGGAAAACTGGAAAACGTCACATCATATGCCCAAAAAAAAAAAAAGAAAAAAAAAAAAAATCAGCAAAAGGTCCCGCTTTTCCCTTCCTGTAGGCTTCCAAACTGCGAAAAGCCAAAAAAAAAAAAAAAAAAACCGCCCGCCCGCCCCCAGTTCGTCACTTTTCCATATCTACAAACACTGCCGTAGAGACTGGTACCATTCACATCTTCAAAATGCGGAAGAAACAAGACCGCTGTTCTCGTTCTCATTCCCCCCCCAAAAAACCATGCTGATTTCCCTTCACACATCATTAATAATGCCTCTCACTCACCTTCCTCTCATGCCCACCACCCGAATACCCACCACCCACGTAAGTCGTCGCACTCGGACTCTCGCTCCTCAGCCCATTACTACCAACCCAACCGACATTCCCCCTCAGTCTCCGTTCCTGTTCAAAATCACCCCATCGCTTCATCGTAATCTTACTCGAATCAAACTGTCCATCTCCTCCATGACCACTTTTATCAGCCCCCTTCTCCTCCCCTGCAGCCTGTCGCGTATCGCCCCAGGAGAAGTCATCAAAGTGCCAGTAGGCGTAGGTAGGCAAGATGAAATTCCACACGGGCAGGGAGAGGAGGTAGATTAACATCCACATGACGTACGAGACGCGGTGAGCGGTGATGATGATGAGGACGCCGGGGAGACCGAGGATGAGGGCAAGGAGGACGAGGGGGATCGTGGGCGCAGTGGTGTGGGTGATTGCGGCTTTGAGGCCGAGGGCGACTGGAGAAATTGTCAGTAAGGATGGCCCGGAACGGATGGAGTGATGGTGATTACGTACCGACGTAGATGGTGAAGGCAATAGCGGCAGGGAGCACCAGCGTTCCGACCAACTCGATGAACAGCACGAATTGCATGCTGAAGCAGAAAGTACCGCAGAGGTCTCGGACGAGGACCAGCTCCATCAGATTGTGCACCGTCGAGTTGATCCATCGTCTTCTTTGCGAAAGTAAGACCTTGAACTCGTCCGGAACGGTCGTCTTGCATACGGCTTGCGGGATGAACATCTGCTTTCGCTTCGGGAAGGTCTTGAGCATCAGCGAGGTCAGATATCGATCCTCACCCAGCAGGAGCAGATTCTTCTTGTGCAGCGTGTCGACGACGTTCTCCGAGTAGTGCTCCACGATGTCGGGATTGGCGAGGACGGGCACCCAGTAGTTCTGTCCACCCTTGGGAGCCTTGATGCGGTACATGCAGAAACATCCCGGCAAGCATGTGACACCGCCGAAGCAGCTTTCGAAAGCCTTGGACTGGTGATGCGAGATGAAGTATTCGAAGACCTGTATCATCGAGACCCACGAGGCAGTCTTGTTCGCAATCTTGGTCTCTCCGCACAGACCCATGATCTCAGGGTCTTTGACCATGGCCGACACCATGTGAGTGAGCGAATCCGGGAACACTTTCGTGTCAGCGTCGACCATCAGCACTATCTCGTAAAAGTCCGGCGAAATGCCCGTGAGCCTCCAGATACCATTGAACATCTCGTACTCGAGCTCAGTCATCCGCTCGTCGAACATGACCTTCTGCAAGAACGACATGAGGATGATCTGAGAGTCACGCTTTCCTCGATTGCCGGCCTTGGGCTTGTCAGCTTCGGCAGGGGTACCGCACTTGACGATGGTGACCATGGGTACACGCTGCTGTCTCTCGACGGGAATGATGCTGTCGGGACCGTAGTCGTAGAAGCCGCAGTAGACTTTGGCCATGTTGTGACGCTTGCTTCCACTCGCCACGGCAACGTAGGAGAAGGGCTGCACTTCGTCCGGCAAGGTGGAGAAGTCCTTCATCATGCTGACGACCGCGTCGGGTGTGCTGAGAGTCTCACCTTTCCCCTTGATGAGACCATCGCAGACGACGTAGATGAGTTTGTGGCTGTTCGGGTAGTCGGTCATGGCAACGGAGTCCAGGGTGGTTCGGAGACCTTCGGGACCTTCGGAGTAGGCAGTGACAAGACACATGGTGTGCGCGAGTGGGAAACCGAATGGCTGCCACTCCGGAGGCGGCTGCGGCACGACCGACTCGTGAACGAAGCCCTGCGGACCGCTGCCGTCCGTGTCCATGGTGCTGCTATATCGCTGCGTGGACGATGCGAGCTGGTGTGAATCCATCAAGCTGGCCCTACTCTCGTCGTACGCCGTTCTGCTGCCGTCATGAAGTCCTCCGACAGCGCCATCGGACCGATCGGAGTGACCGTACATGGCCGCCGCAGCAGGGTTCAGTCTCGCGGATGAATGCTGAGAAACCATGGTGGTTGGCTGCGCGGATTTCCTGTTGTTCTCGATTGCGTAGGGGCTGGTGAAACGTGAAGTCGTAGGCAGGAAGCTACCACGCTTGGAAGGGCGATCGCTACCGCCGACAGAAGCAGGGTCTGTGATCTTTGGCGGCGGGCGGTAAATGTCGTCGGTCCAGTCCTCGATCTGCTGTTGCCGCTTCTTCTTGTCCTTGGTCATACTCGTCTTGGCGGCTGCGTACTTGCGGCAGAGGAACCATTGGAAGAGGAGAGCCAAGACGAACTTGATCAATACAATACTCAGAATGAAAATCAGCGACACGTACAGCACGACCTTGGATGCGATGCAGCCGACGGTCTCCGTGTCGATGGATCCCACTTTGATAATGTCCTGGAAGCATTGCGCAATCTGCTTGTTCTGGCCCGAAGAGAAGGCCAAGGTCACGTCCTTGCCACGCACGGCCGAGTTGAGACGGATCTCGTCAAACTTGTCCGGGTAGGCGACCTGAGATTTGTTGAACCATTCCAGAAGGTTGAGGTCCAGGACATCACCCGAGAAGACCATCAGATTTCGAGATTGGTTCCTCACGTCGTCCCAAGTAAAGTAAACATCGCCCGAAGATTTCAGACGGTAGAAGTCGTCGCGCGCTTGGCGCTGAGTGTGACAGGCATAGCCCAAGTAGTAACCCACCGAGTCATTCACAGCAGATGAGCCGTCCTGCTTGTACAGATTGCAAGGGAAGTACCACGCCAGACTGCCCGAGCTGTCTGTGGGGACATCCGAGTTGTCCGCCGGGGTGATCAAGCCCTTGCAAGCTCCGTTCACGTTCTGGAACATGAAGCTGCCGTCCATGCCCGAGCCCTTGGGGTCGGTATCGAAGAGTACGTTGCTGCCGTCCGCAACGCCTCTTGCCAGCGGATGCTGAGAGTGGGTGAGGTCGTATGCCTGTCCGTGGAAGATCATGTACCCTGGGCCAACCTTGTTCACCTGCAATCGCAGGGGCCCACCGTCCGGACAGACCGTCTGCGTGAAGCCGAAGGTGAGGAAACCGACAAAGAGCATGATGACGAGAATGACGGAGATCAAACCCATCTTCTCGCGCCATGCTCGCTGCTGCTCCTTCTGCTTCTTGCCGAAGCAGGACAAGACGACATTTGGGGCCCAGAAGGTGATGGCATGGCAGTAGGCACCCCACAGCGTCGGTGTCCCGCTCGCCTCCTGGATCTTCTGGCGCCGGAGCTCCTTTTCTTCCTTGTCCCGCTCCTTGTCGGTCGTCCTGCGAGTGAGCTTATTGGCATGTCGCTTCCTGCTCTTTCTCGTAGCCGAACTCTTGCCTCGCTCCAGGGCGGCCTTCTCTTGCCAAGGACCATCTTCCGAGCCCTGCAGTCTTGAAGACTCTTCCGAACCCATTGTCTCCATGTCATCCTCCCATTGTGGGTCTCGACCGGTCGCAGAGGGTCTGATGTTCATGTTCTGGGCATGTTTCCGGTAGTAGTAGTCCGGCTCGTCTGGATTGTTCCTTCGGCGCTCCGGCCTGACCAAGCTCTTCTTCGTATTGAGTTGACCCGTCCTGCTGGGCGTACCGGCCTCCAACATGGGATCGTGATCCTGGGCCGACGGCGACCAAGGCGAAGGCATGCCGCTTGAAGGTGGAGCGTGGGTGACGCGGACGTCAGGACTTGTGTATGCTTTTGGCGATTTCTCGTTGGGGGTCTCTGCGCGGGAAGAGGTAGGCCTGTATGTAGCTGAACTCCTCCTGGGACGATGTGCGCCGCTCGGTGGGAGATGGGTGTGATGCTCCCTCTCGCGCCTGCTACTGCTCGTTCGGCGAGGTCGGTCGGTGGTGCGTCGGGGGTCGTGCTCGCGTTCGGCGGTGGAAGAGTCTCGTCGTGCACGGGATGCTGACGAATGCCTGTGGGTGGAGGAGTGATGGTGGTGATGGGAGCGTCGCTGGGAATCGCGAGTGCCCGGAGAGGTCGGGTCTCGCGCATGCGTATGCGAGGACATGGTGGGAGATGTCTTATTCAATGTTGGGCATGTGCTCCAGATGTTTCTTCGAAATCCAACAACGGCTCATCAGCGAGCGTGATGGGTGTGCAGCCTGGTCCCGCAGGCTTGGGGTGCCGAGATGCAGCGATTGCGCGGCCTGGCGTCGGTTGGTGGTGGAGTGCAGCGAGAGGGTATGTTTTGACGGGGGCAGGTGGGGTGTGGCAGCGGTATGGGGGGAGGAGGAGGGTGAGGGTGAGGAGGAGGAGTGGCAGCGGTAGTGTCGACAAACAACGCAACGAGTGACTAAGGTAAGGTAAGGTAGGGTGTATGTGTATGTGATGGGGTGGGTTGGGTGGTTGCCAGGACGAAGAAGGCGAGCAGGCCAGGGCCCATCGGCAACTCGGCTCGGCTGGCAGGCTCCGTGCACTACCCCCTGACCCTTCCACGCCGTTGGCCGGCCGCCCTCGCTAGCGTCGATGCGATGCACCGCCGGGCGCATGTGCATGTGCACGTGCTGGGCTGGTCTGTCCGTCACTATGCACCCACACACCCGTGCTCCCAGATGCAGATCTCGCCTCCATCATCACATCACCTAATCCGACCGTCATGTCGACTAAATTGGACCGTGTGCTGCTCACAGGCCTCCCTTTTCCGCAGGGATGAGCTGGTGGATCGCCGACATCTCCACACACGGTGCACTACTGTGCTACTCTGGCAGCATGCATGAGCCTACGTAGTCTCGCCGTGCGGCACGCCGGCCGATGCCTCTGTGTATGTATGTATGTACTCCATCTACTACGACCTTCTGCTATCCAACACCTCCACCACCCTTTCCTTCACCCGCCTTCCATTGTCTTCGCTTCCTCTCCCTGGCCGGCGCTAGACTCTCCGTCTACGCAAAGTTTCTCGTCCCCATCCCATCGTCTTCCATACGGCAACAAGCGCCTGCGCAAACTCTACAGTCCACGAGGCTGTGCGCTCGCCCGAGAGGGGTGAGTCTCCGTCGCCGCAGAGCCTCGCGTCGCATCATCATCATCACATCTTCTCGCGCCGTCGAGTCGCATGTCTTTCTTCCTCTCCTCTCCTCTCCTCGTCCTCTTCCCTCGCACCTCGGAATGTCCCGCTGATGCCCACCGAGGTAGCTCGCCACGCGCGCCTCCCGTCCGGTTCAGGAACCAAATCGACTCGCCGCTCGCCACGCAGAGCTCCACACCCCCAAACAGGAAACGGAAACGGAAACGGAAACGGAAACGGAAACAGTCGCAGCACCCGTCTTTGCCTCACGCACGCAGCCGCGGTCCCCGCCCTCTCTGCCCGCCAATCCGCGACCCTGCATGGCATGAGCCGCCTAAACTAAACATCTTTTGAAACAGCAACCCTCCAGCCCACTACCTTCGCTCTCCCTTGTTGTATATGATCATCGTCGTCCAGCTGCGACTGGGTCAGGGAAACATCCGATCCGGCCCAGCAACCAGACTCTTACAAAACTCTCTTGGGCGGGGCGAGAAACAGGGCAGAGGGAAACAACGGGAAAGCCGCTGCGACGCCGGGATGGCGCACCCCGACAGTGCCCCTCCTCGACATCGACATACCTTTGCGCCTGAAGCACCAGCGACACCCGCCTCTCCGCCAAAGCACCAATGGATTCCGAAAGAGCAGGACTCGACACCCCTCCCGCCCATGCGCCCAGCCCCGGGTACGCCGTCATCCCCATCGACATCCAATGGCCATTACAGCCACAGTCGCGACTACTCGGAAAGTAGCAGCCTGCAGCAATCGCCGCCGCCGCACAAGCCAGGACAATCCGTGCAGACGAAGCATATCCCATCCATCACCCCTGGCCCGGAGTTGCGACTGCAAGAGGCGCCTGGCAGTCCTGTCAGCATATACCCACCCCGCATGGGCATCTTGGACCCAGAGACTGCCTCCATCAACCAAGTGCCCGTCCATGGTGATGCAGAGTCCAGAAGGAGTTCCAGAAATGTGTACACACCCGAATTCGGATCCACTCGGATGGGCGACTCGACACATGCCCTGCCTCTACGGCCCGCCAACAAGGTCTCGGATGGACACGCGGAGTACCAGCAGGGATCGCACCATGCCCATAGCCCGAGTTCCTCCATTGCATATAGCAACCCCACCATCCAAGAGGATGGAGAATATGCCGCTCAGCGGGAAGAGGATCTACCGACGACTCCGGGCTTACAATATCACGCATTCGAAGATGGTCCAAACAAAAAGGGCAAGAAGCGCATCTCACACATGACGACGCAATCTGCGGGCTCAAGCTCTTCGGGCGGGGGAGAACATCGACACTCGGGATCGCAGAGTCTGGGTGTTCCTCGGACCACGAATTCGCGGCCTACATCGTCGTCATCCGCCCTCGGGACGGAAATCCGAGGTCGTACGCTGTCACCGCTTAGCGCCGCAAATAGCTCCGATCACGGTTCGCCAATGAGACAAGGCAGGGAGCTCTCGACCTCGCGGAGGTCGCCTTCCAACAGGCCGGTCAGCTATGTCGACCTGCTCAACAATGTCCCTTACAACCAGCAGATTGCCCCTGGCGGGCCTCTCAACAATGCTGGTCTCCAGAGCGTCGTGGGCAGCGCTGCCAGCTTACTCGATACCAAGAAGACGCTCGAGATGTACCGCGCTAACGTGAAGAAGACCAAGGATCCCTCCATCCAGTACGAATTCGCCATCTTCATGATCAACGCTGCAAGCGAGATCACACCGGAAGACGATCTAGACTCAGCACAGTTGAACAGCGAAGCAAAACTCATCCTTCAATCCCTCTCGGACCGCGCATACCCTTTTGCTCAGTACTACCTCGGCGATGGCTACTTCTCTGGTCTCTTTAACAAAGGCAAGCCAGACTACGACAAAGCCTTCCCCCTCTTCGTCGCAGCTTCCAAACGTGGCCATGCAGAAGCCGGCTACCGCGCAGCGCTCAGCTATGAGTTCGGATGGGGAACGGCAAGGTCGATGCCCAAAGCAGTCCAATTCTATCGAAACAGTGCTTCGAAGAATCACCCGGGTGCTGCTACCCGTCTCGGTCTCGCATGCATCAAAGGGGACATGGGTCTCCAAAGCAAGACCTCATATCGGGAAGGGGTGAAGTGGCTCAAGCGTGCTTCGGAAAGTGCAGATTTCCAGTACAATGCAGGTCCTTTTGAGCTCGGCCTCATGCACCTTACCGGATACGGCGACGACATCTTCAAAGACGAAGCGTACGCCGCGCAACTCCTCACACAGAGTGCGGAACTAGGACATGTCGACGCGAACTTCTTGATGGGTAGAGCCTACGAGAATGGAGACTTTGGCTGTCCACGGGATGCGGCACTCAGTGTACACTTCTACAACGGCGCGGCGATGAAAGGACATGTAGAAGGCATGATGGCACTCTGTGCATGGTACATGGTCGGCGCAGAACCCGTGCTGGAAAAGGACGAAGCAGAGGCATGCGCCTGGGCAAAGCAAGCTGCCGAGACAGGTACGCAGTCATCACCTCCCTCCTATCCGATACCCTCCCCAACTAACATTGCTCCTCTCTGCAGGCTGGTCCAAGGCCGAATACGCCGTCGGCTACTTCACCGAAATGGGCATCGGCTGCCGTCGCGATCCCCTCGAAGCAAACGTCTGGTACGTCAAAGCCGCCGATCAAGGGAACGAAACCGCCAAACAGCGCCTCGCCATCATCCGCGCAGCCGCCTCGGGAGATGCGGGAATCCCAATGAGCAAGGCCGGAGCCAAGAGCAAAGAACTCGGAGGCGACAAGGAAAAGAAGAAATTCATGGGCATCTTCTGACGGATAGTGAGGAGCGGGAAGGGAGGAGGGGCAAAACTCCCATTGCCATTGCCCTTGAGACGGAGACGCGCGTCGGCGCCAGTCGTCCCCACCACCACGGAGGCGGAGGAAGCCGTCAACTGGCAAGATACGAACGAGGCCTTGGGTCAGAGACTCAGCGTTCTGAGTAATATCTACCCCCTGCCCGTGACCACCACCACCAAGTCACGATCGAGACCGAGCAGCAGTCTCTTCGATCTCACCCCGCCAGCACAACGGGGCAAAGAGGAAGCTTGGTACCGGCGAGAATTGGTTCATCTCGGAGACGGCTGTTCGGTTGTCATTCTCAAATGACGCGTTCGAAAAGCCGAAGCAGGAGAGGAAACACTCTCCAATTTGGTGTGATGAGAGGAGAAATGACGGAGAGATTGAAATTCTCCAGGAGAGTATCTCAATACTTGGTTGCTTGGGCCTTGTCTTTTGGGGTGGGTGCAGAGTCCTGTTGGGGCATGTAGTAGACTTGTGAGGAGATGCTACCTAGTAGTAGTAAATCTGGCGACAGATGGCGATGGGATTTTTTTTGGGGGGGGGGGGGTCTAGGTTGGATTGACTTTATCCAAGGAACCTACGGCAGTTTTCTCCGTGTTCCGGGGGGCAGAGACGCCTGGGATATGGCAACCCCTACCTACCTTGGCATTTGCAGGGAAATTTGTAAACCAGGGTGTTTCTTTTCCGGGTCTTTTTTGGAAGTGCTAATAAAAGCAGTTTTTGTAGCACGAGTAAGATGTGAGAGCAAGACAGAGAGGAAAACAGTTGAGAGAGAGAGAGAGAGAGAGAGAGAGAGAGAGAGAGAGAGAGAGAGAGAGAGAGAGAGAGAGAGAGAGAGAGAGAGAGAGAGACAGAGAGCGCCCTAACTAAGATCAAAGGGGAAAAAAGAAAACCTAGTACATAGTAATGTTATAATAGTACCTTAGCTCTCTTTTACCTCTTTCTTATTCGAATCAATCGTACTAAGACGGCTTTTTTCCGCTTTACGAAATTCTTCTTCTTCTTCTTCTTCTTCTTCTTTCGTATATCTTCTAATAGTATAGTGTAGTGTAGTCCTAGCCCCGGGACGGACTTCCCACTCCCCACTCACCGTTGCGCAACGTTTTTTTCCCTTACCTTACCTTACCTTACCTTACCTTACACATGGGTCCCGTGCGATCGGGATCGTACACCAGGAACCAATCCCCCGGTAGGCGGTACACAGGTAGGTTTTCAACCCCACAGATCTCCCACAAAAGCCAAACCTACTCGCTGGAATGCCCCCATCCTCCCCTCCCTTCCACTCGAGTCCCTTCCTGGTCCGGTGTCATTTTCTACCGCCCCCCCCCCCCCAGAAAGCCACCAAAAACGTTGCTGTTCCCGTCACCTCACTTCCGGGGGAGACTTCCCCGCCCATGGCGAAATCTGCCACGCGCTGCTGTAGCGGGGGGGAAATCTTTCGAGAGAGAGACGGGGCAAAGGTCCGGCGGGCTTACTGGCTTACCTTACTACCTTACTGGAATGGATGGATGGATGGATGTTATGGATGTTATGGATGTTGTGGATGTTGTGGATGTTATGGATGTTATGGATGTTATGGATGGATGTATGGATGGATGGATGGATGTTATGTTATGTTATTATGGATGGATGTTATGCATGTATGGCCGGTAACAACGACATTCATCGTTCGCTGCCCCATGCTTTGCCATGCCATGCCACCTCTTATTCTTTCCTCTTCCTCTTTCTTCTTCTCAATGCGTAGCCAAGCGGTAGAATCGATCATCAAGGGGAAGGGGAAGAGGGAGAGGGAGAGGTGGTTGACCCGTCGTCCTAATGATGAGACGAGAATCGATAATGCCCGCCTGCCTCGTCTATTCCTAGCCATGCGCTATCGATCCACGTTGATACTTGCGGTGGTCGGCCGCGCGCTGGGCTACCTACCTCTCTCTTGTTAGTAGCCAATCTAGCTCCGGACAAGGGAGTACCAGGCAGGTATGAGCGAAGAGCGAAGAGCGAACGTCAGTCGATCAGCTGCGGATCATATCGAACGGACCCACACATTCGCAAGAGTTGCACATCTTCCATTTACATCCCTTACATTTCCACTCTCCCCTGAGTCGGCATCTCCGCATCCTTCTCCCTGTCCATCTCCTCCACGCCACCGTAGAATGCCTCGCTCTCCTCGTCTTCCGTCGAGAAAGCCTCCAGACCGGAATACCTGTTGATCCAGTTGAGCACGACCTTGTGCCACAGCAACGAATTCTCTGGCTTCAAGACCCAGTGGTTCTCATCATCGAAGTGGAGGAGTTCGCTGTCGACCCCGCGGGCCTGGAGGACGTTGAAAGCCGCGAGTCCCTCCGCAATCGGCAACCTGAAGTCCCTGGAGCTGTGGATGACGAGCTGTGGCGTCGACCAGTTCGCGAAATGCTCGCTGGGGTCCCATTTGCGCCAGTCCGACAGCATTGCGGAGCCGAAGTTTCGGTTGCCTTGCGCCGCAGTCGATGCGTCGCCGGGAGCTGGTTTGAAGCCTGGGTCATACCAGGGAGTTCCCCCAAGGTCGTATAAGGGGAAGTAAAGTTCTTCCGTGCCGAGCATAGCGCCTGCGAAGCTAGTGATGCCATCGTGGCAGACCAGACACTTGAACTTGCGGCCGAGATCGTGCCCTTGGATCCTGCATCCTACATCAGCGGAGCTTCTAGGGAGTTTGGTTTGTCTGAGCGACTCAAGTCTTACCAATTCATCATATATCCGCCGTAAGACGCCCCAAGCGCAACGGCGCGATCGTTGTCCGCTTCGGGCATGTTCTCGCCAACCCACTCAAAGACATTGACAATGTCCTGGTATGGATCTCCACCCCAGTTTCGACGAATACTATCGGTGAAAGCCTGCCCGTACCCAGTACTTCCAGTTGGATTGGGGGCAATGACAATGTAGCCCTGCTCGGCAAAGACCGCCAAGTTCCACCTCGTGCTCCAGCTATCGGCCCAGGCGCCTTGCGGTCCACCATGAATGACGTATGCGACGGGATACTTCTTGTCGCTATTGAAATTGCTCGGCCTTACGACTATACTGTGCACCTCTTTGTTGACGTACGGGTTACTCGCAGGGGTCCAAACATCCGATACCTGCGCCGACTTGAGCCCAAACTTGTCGCCTTCGCCGGAATTGGAGTGTGTCCAAGCCATCGTCGCAGTCGTGGCAGTACGATCCACAATGGCAAAGAAGGAGTTGTCGATCAATGAGCTTCCAGATACGAAAACACGTCCATCTTGCAGGCAATGAACTTCGCTGATGGACCCGCGTGACGTGAGCGGTTTTGGAAGGCGAGGGTCTGCCAGTCTCTTGGGTGTGATCTCAAACAGTTTCGCAGCACCAGCATCCTCGGCCACAAAGACCAAAGATTTTCCATCAGGCGTGAAGCTGATGGACGACGGGCTCCGATCCCACTCATGGAAAATTGACAGTCGCTCAGCCTTGACCGAAGTCGTCTGTTCTGTCACTTGCGTGCGAACGTTGTACAAGAGGAAGATCTCGTTCTTGTCTGCTTCGTAGCCATTGGTCTTCATGCCCAGAAACGCAACCGAGTCACCGTCTGGACTGAAGACAGGGCTCGTGCAGGCGCCTTGCAAGTTGTCCCAGTAGATCTGAGTAAGCTTTGTCTCCTTCTCTCCGGTCCAAGACGGAACATTGAGAATATAGACATTACATTTCGTGTTCAAAGCGGGGTTCAACTCTGGGTCCTTAGTCACGAAGATGATTCTGTCATGAGTGAGATCAAAATTGTCGGCGCCTCCGAAAGGCCGAATTGGGCACTCCAACGGTCTTCCCTTCATGGCATTGGTAAGCGTCGACAGTTCGTATTTCCCATGGTGGCCATTCCTGCTCAGCTTTCCGAACCAGAGCGCATTCTTCTGCTTGGTCTCCCATCGATCCCAGTGCCTGACGAAAAGGCTCTTGTACAGCTTCCCGGTAGCGTGAGTCTTCTTCGCTTTCTTTGGGTTGAACAGGCCACCATCAGGACTTGCTTCCGCGGACAGAACAACGGCAAAGCCACCATCCTTCAGCTTTTTGACCTTCAGATTTGCAGCTGGTGCATCCACTGTTCCAGCCACATAGTAGCCCTCGCCTAGCTTCGCTCCACCGATAGTCTTGCTGACACTGGCCCAAAATACCTTCGTGGTGGAGTCTTTCTCGGCCTGCAAGCAGACGAATGCATCATCGTCCAACCAGTTCAGGTCCGAGATATCATCGTCCTTGGCCAGCTGGAAACTCTCGCCCGTCTGAACTTCCAGAACTCGCAGCTCAGTCGTCTTCTTATGAGTTTCAAAGCAGTAGGTGGACGTCGTGTAGAGGATCTTGGTTCCGGAAGGATTAGGAACACCTGCGGACCTCCGAGGAGCGGACAGCAGGACCTGTGGAGTAAAATGCATTGCACGATGAACCATTGGAGCGATGTGAACACAGTTGCGCTTGGGGAAGTGCCGCGGCTTGTCTTGTTTTGCGTAGCAACTACTCCAGGTCTTTATCCTGATATGAGGTGCTCGAGAGATTGTTATCTTGCGGATTTGTGATCGTGCAAAAAGCAGCGTTGATTGCCTGGAGCAAGCGACAGTTCGATGTGCGAGATGTCGAGCCGTCATCAAGGTCAGGTCAGTAGTGAGGTTGGAAGAGTTGTGTGATGCTTTCGTCGTCAAGCGGGGTTAGCAACAGCGCTAATGCAGGTACGCCGATAACAGCGGAACGGTCTCCGTGGCAGAGAAGTATATACACAGTGGCAGCCGGTCCAGTAGATTGCTGCAAACATCTATCACATCACATCGTATCGTACACCCGCGATCACTCCATGTCCAAAGCAGCATCGCCATCATCTGGTAGCTGTTCGATCACGCCCTCAACCATCTCAATCAATTGGTCAATGTCTGGTCGCTCTGTGGGCTCAACAATCAGGCATTGCCTGACGACTTCCTTGACGGGCCCTGAGATAGAATCTTCTTTCTTACTCTGTGCCTCCGCATCAACGACCCGCTGCTTTCCACGCTTTGCTTCTGCGGGACCTTCGTCTGGGAAGCGCCAGTCGCCGCCAAGTACGCAGAGAGATAATGAGCCGCCAGTCTCCTCACTCCGCGCTTCGAATGGGGATTTGCCAACCAAACATGCATAGAGTGTACATCCCAGACTCCAGATGTCGACTTTGCTATCGATCACTGTTCCTGTCTTGACATCGAAGAGTTCTGGTGCACGGTAAGGCATCGTACTGTGCTCCGCTGCCTGATCTTGCACTTGCAATGCGAGCGCTCTGCTCGTTATTGGCGTCGGCGAAGGCGCAAGAGACCCGAGATCCATCAGAATAGGTTGTGTGCCCGTATCCGATATCATAATGTTGCCGGGCTTGATGTCGCGATGCGCGTAGCTCCTCATCTCGCCTTCCGCAACGCCTTCTTGTGCGGCCATGACTTCTCCCTCCATCAATGGCTCTTGCTCAACGTCACCATCTTCCCGCTCTTTTCGCCTTCTTCCCTGATTCGCATGTACTGCTTCTTCTTGCGCTTCTCGATCAGCTTCTGTAGCCTCCTGTCGTACCTTCTTGGCCTTCTTCCGACTTGCCTCGCCGCCTGGCGCGCCTTTCACGCGATACTGGTGCATCGCTTTCAACGCCCTGCATACCCCGAGAAACAGCACCATCAGCCTTCGCTCGGGAAATCGCGCGCGGTTCACCAGGTTCGCATTGATCGCATCTTGTAAGTTCCCTCTCCTGTAGTACGGTAGTAGGATATAAACTGTCTTGCTCCCAGGGTCGCCTCCACCTCTCTCGCTCTCCACGCTGTGATCGATCGCATGAATGATATTCGGATGCGGCGCAAATAAGCTGTACGCCTCCACCTCTTTCAGTGCTTGCGCAACACTTTCTTGGCCGAATGGACATCGGATTTTCTTCAGCGCATATAGCGTCGGATCGTTCGCCGCTTGAACCAGGTAGACATAGCTGAAGCCACCTTCTCCTAACAGGCGGAGGATCTTTAGACTTCGTCCGTTGATCTTTAACGACGGGTTGGAAGGGAAGCAGTTGAAGCAATTGCCGAATTGCCAAATGCCATCGAGAACGTAGTGCGAGAGTTGTTCGAAGAGCGTAGGCGAGGACATAGTAGTGCGTCGTCAGCCCGGCTGACCAAAGTGCAGTGTGCTTTCCAGTATTCCCTTTTGGCGCGATTGTTTCGACTGCTGGCAAGGAGATGGGCTTTTCTCGGGTCTAATGGTGGCGTCTATCGTCGTGAAGATGGAGTGCTAATGTTTGTGAGATCGTGTTTCTCGAGACCAACATTGATGGACAGCGAACAGCTTTCCAGCTCAGCCAGGATTATTACGCACAAGCGTCATATTAGTTCGGCTAAAGCCGCCGCTAGTGGATGTACTCCTACGATGTGGTAGTAAATGTTCTGATGGCTACCACTGGCATAGATGCGCAGCAGTACTACGTTTCACGTTCTACGATAGGGTTGGTCTCGACGATTTAGTGTCAAGTATGCATGCGCACTCATTCATCATCTGTCATTTGAACCTATTACTACAAAACGTGAAGGGGTCATACAGGTCATGGGTATCAAGAAGCTGCCCTGTACTTCCCCGTATGCGTCAGAAGCATGCTTCAAGAGCTTTACTCTTGTCAACTCGTCTCGTCGAAGTTCTATCCAGACAATCCGCGACTCTCGCACTCGCCCCAGAAGACCAACAGCCGCCACACCTTCTTGATGAGCACCTCCGCTTCGTCCTCCAGGGGACCGGCCAGCTCGTCCACGATCTCTTGTGGTTTCTGCTTGGCTTTCACGCCATCCAGAACTGTATCCACAACCAGGTCCTCCTGCACACCAAGATACTCGACAACCTTCTTCTCCACGAACGGACGGATTTCTGAGGCGAGTAGGCTCTTTGAAATCTTCTCCCACTTGACTGGATAGTCGAATAGAGCCTGGGTATCTGTAGGGATTTCTGCCGCCAGTTGCATACGAGCTGACTGTTTCTCTTCATCCGTGAGATCTTGGCCGTGAGTGGGAAGAGTCGAAGTATCCTGCAGAGGTTTGAGCTCAGGGCGCTTGGCACCAGCTGCGGCAGCATCCTCCTCATCTTCAAGCAGTCCCTCAACATCTTGCATGGCTCGCTTTGGTCCAGGCTGGGCCTGCTTTGTCTTGGCGGCAGCAGCTCCGAGGCTGAACTTGAGTCCGCGGTTGGCTGTACCAGCCTGGTCTCCAGCTTTGGTGTCGACACCCAAGGAGCCCAGGAAGTCATTGGCTTGCCCACGTGCTTCGTTGACTCTGCGCTGTTCGTCTGCGATCTCTCTCTCTTCTGCCTCTCGGTCGAGATCGTCTTCACGCTGCTCCTTATCGCGGTCGTATTCACGCGCTCTGGCCCAAGCTGCACGATCGCGGTAGTATGGGTGCTTAGCCCTTTCTACTTCCTCATCGTCGTTCCAGTTGGCAAGGCGGATGAGCATTGCCTCGCGAGCCTTCTCAATTTCGTGTTGCTCTCCCTCTTCGCGCTTCAACTCACGCTCCTTTGCAGCTCCGCGAGTGCGTTCTCGAGCGTGCCACTTGTTCACTGCAGCCTCGTATTCCTTATCGCGCTTCTCATCGTCCTCCTTTTGCCGACGACGCTCAAGCTCCTCGTCCGACTCATTGGCGTCTTCGTCTTCTGGATGGAGGGAAGCATTGCCAGCGCTTGGAAGGAAAGCCACTCCGTTGCGGTAGTCCTCCGGCAACTGTGCGCCTCTGTAACCCTTTGGACCAGATGGAGCGCCCTGCACGCCTTGCTGACCTCGTGGCCCGACAGGAATGCCGTTTGCAGAATTGCCCTGTGCCGATGGGGGAGGGGAAGCAAGTCGGCTTTGTCGTGGCGCACCAGCACGTCGCTTCTCCTCCTGCTCAACCTCCTCCTCACGACGCAGACGCTCCAGATCCCGACGATTAGACCGATCGCGGAAAGCTTTGATCTCCTCCGCGACAGTTGCTCTCATCTCGGCAGGAATGTCTGCAAGCTCGTCGTCCATACCCACAGGTAGATTGACAACCTCGACGCCGTCGGACTTGGTCTCGCCATTCTCGCCCATTTGGACATCTCCATCTCTGTCGCCATTCGCTTCGCCATTGATGCCGTTCGCGGTATATGCAGCTTCATTCACAAGACCGCTCAAGGTCTGATCCAGCAATTCTTTACAACTGTCCAGGCGAAATTGTCGGTCGTTGTCCGCTTCCTTCTTACGGCCCTTCCACTCCTCAATGTACTCTCGACTCGCATCATCCACCACCACGAGTAACTGGGCTTTTTGGACTTGTTCTTGCTCACCACTCTCGACCTTCACTCCGTCCTCATCTTTGGCGTCATCTTCGGCTTTGATTTCGGCTTTGACTTCGTCTTCAATCTTAACCTTTATGAGAGAGCCGTCCTGTTTGAATTGTGGCACTTGAACGTCTTGAAATATCTCGGCCGCGGCTTCCAAACTCTCCACGTCCTCGTACTCGGCAAAGCCGAATTTGCACTTCCTATCATTCGCGTCTCTTGCTCGAGTCCATCGTCTCAGTTTGCCCGCACACCGCAGGATAGATTCAAGGGCCTCGTCGTTTGGCATGCCCTCGCCGAGTCCACCAATGAAGATCGTGCGTGCAACTTCCTCTCTTGTTGGCGGCTGTAGCGCCATCATGTTTTCTCGAAGTTGTTGTCTGTCGCGCTCCAAATTCCTCTCCCGGCCCGGGTCTGCGCCCAAGCCTGGGCGCGAGCGATTGCCCAGTGGCTCTGCATTGCTCCCTCTCCCGCCATCTCTCCCACCCCTATCGCCCCGATCTGCCGATGACTGTCCTTGCCGCTGGCCGTCAACTCCGAGTCGAATTACTGGTGCATTGAAGTTGATGTTCGGCATATTTGGTGGAGGCTGGAACTGGCCTTGCACGCCTGCTGGTGATTGAGAAGGCATGCCTGGAAAGTCCATGCCAGGCGCCGCGAAGCCTGGTGCTCCCATACCCCCAGTACTCTGTCCGCTTGGTGGTCCATATGGCTGCTGAGGTGCGCCGTACGCGCCTGGAGGTGGGCCATAGTTGTAAGCCATGGCGGCTCACTCTGTGGTGCGTTGACAGCGAGCTGTATACTGATGCGCTTCGAGGAAAGACCCCTTTGAAGACGAGTCAGTATCGCGTGCGTGAGGAGCTATCTATCACTGGCAGTTGAGTGGCGGTCGTACGGGGCAAGTGTGAGTGCGGGCATGTTTCGAGTTGGAACTTCTGAAAGTGAAGCCGGCACATAGCTCTCTTCAGCACAGACCTGCATGTCGGAGAAAAGTTCCGTCTCCTCCGACTTCCGCGGCGACGACGATGCGGATCGCAGACCTCCTCTATCCACTTCATCTGCGCTTTCACGTGCATTTCGACATCCCAACACTATGGACATGATGAAAGCGGGCAGCACACTGTGCCGTTCATCCCAGCCCTTGCTGTCTTTCCTGGCCCCTACAATCCCTCGAGCACTCCCGAGCACCAGCAGGACAGCTATACCCGTTGCTAGACATTGTAAAGGCCACCGCAACCAATGCTCGTCATTTAGCACCACTGCCTCTCGAAAGCCACAGGGAGCGCCCTCACAGAACGACGACAATGATGCCCCTTTCGACTGGTCCAGTCTCGGGGACACTGCATCGCGTTCGCGACCAAGTATCACTAGCGACATTGCATCCCTACTCGACAGCACGTTGGACCACAAAAAAGGCACACCCACTGCTCCAGCGTCGCGAACGTCTCGTTTCTCATCGCCAGATGCTCGAGCGAAGAATCCCCCCTCACGCGGTCTTGCAAATGAAACGGAACAGTCAGGGTCTGTCAGCAACCTCCTGGATGACTTCCTGACATCTCCACGAACCTCACGCGCACCCGCAAACGATCCATCGCAAATGGACGTGGATAGAATATTGAGCGGCTATGACAAAAGTGCGAGAGCCGAACAAATAAAACAGTATCAGGAGCCCAAAGCAATGAAGCTGGGCCCCACTGTTGGAAGGACAGTAGAAGTCAACTTGGAGCGCAACATGGATATCGGACGAGCTTTCCGACAATTGGAGATGACATGCGCGAGGAACAACGTGCGCAAAGATATGATGAAACAGAGGTTCCACGAACGACCTGGCATGAGGAGGAAGAGACTAAAGAGTGAGCGTTGGAGGAAGAATTTCAGGAAGAACTTCTCAGGCGTTGTGCAACTGGTGCAGAAGATGAAGAGACAAGGGTGGTAAAGGAATGGGCGCTCGTTGCATCATGCGGGGCATGACGGATTTACGGCCATCAAACCCATGAGCTTGGAAGCGGTCCTCCTTGAGGAACTTATACCAGTGCAGATACTGTCTGCTGGACGGCACTCGCATTTTCCTCGGGAGTGTACATGCCTTATTGACGACAAACATGGCGTGCACTGTGCAGTACAACATGCATATAGGAGAGTCTGCATGCAAGACTAGAAAATCAAGGGATGGACGAAAACGCGCCCTTTTATTCGATGGACTCACGGGGGACAAGACATCGAAAATTATTCGGCTTTGACCGGATTCGGAGGTTGTGTACATAGATGTGCTGACAGTGTACAGAATAGAGACAGTCCTGCTCAAGCTACTAATATGCCATGCTCTTCTCTCAAGCTTCAGATGTTCGCGGGAAACACGCTAGAGCTTTTAGCGGCCAGCGCTCAGTCGTGTCGCTTAGCAACGACTTCGTCCTCACGGTGAGGACACTCACGGCGAGGACACTTCAAATCTAGAATAAATGCTCTCACAGTTCCCAGCATTCCTTTCTCCACCAGCACACTTCTACACCGAGCAATCCTGTCCTCATTAAAGACTACAGAGCTCACACTCAAAGCAAGCAAACGATATACAACCTCAGCCTCAGGTACTTTTACCTTCTGCTGTTGAAGACAAGACGAACACGTTCTACCACCACCGCAATTTTACTACGCGCACGCAACACTTGGCACAGAAAGATTTATTCCAAGCCATGTTGAACGCCACATCACCACAGTACGACTACTTTGCAATGTACGAAAATTACCGGGACCGTCAACACAGCATCAGCCAGCTCAGCAGCGCCACCACCACCCCACCTGAACTCCCCATGACTGAAGAATTTCCCACTCCCAACGGCTTTGATCCAGGTCTCCCTTTCGATTTTGAAGAAGACCCAGGTACCTCACAAGACGAAGAATCTGCCGCACCACCATCACCGCGAAATTGCGGCCACGAGACGATCGATCCCGACTGCGCGAGCTGTCTCGTCCGCTGGCATCTCGCCGCCGACTGGGATGACTTCGATGGAATCCACAGCTCCGACGAGCACGCTCATCTCGCTCTCACCCGCCAGCGCGCCCACGTACAAGGCGAAATCCGAAGTCACAGAGCCTACTTCGGTCCCCGGGGCAGTCTGGACCTCCACACGATCACATGTCCCCGGGTGGGCGAGAGGGACAGGCACAACCTCAAGCCGTCGAATTGGATCAAGAGGAAGTTGGGACGGATGGGAGTTTTGAGATTGGTGCGCAGGGTGAAGTGGGCTGTGAGGATGTTTGTGGAGGAGTGGAGGGAGCTTGAGGAGATTGGGGAGGGAGAGCAGGGGATGGATTTGAGTTATCGGGTCTAGGGGGTTTTTTTGTACGGGATTTTTTGGTATGGGATTTTTTGTATGGGATTTTGCGATTGGAGTTGGGATTTGGAGTGTGTGGGTGCCTTAGGTTTGAGGCCTTCTTTTCCAGGTGCGCTGCGGTGAAGCTTTCTCACCTCGAAGATGCGTATATGAGCTAGCGTCGGCATTAGCCGAGCCAATGAAAAGCGATTTGCGCCCAAATTGCATGTGACTCCATTCACTTCACGGCCAAATTTCGGATTCTAAGACTTCAATTCTGTTCTATCGCTTTTAAGCGTCACACAACGCACATGTAACATCAAGTCTTCGAATCCTCGAGGTGCCAACATGCCTTCGACAAAGAGGCCGAAGCGGACGGCAAAGGTATGGCATGGATGTCGGACGGATATACGATGCCTCGCGTATGGACTTACCAACAGATGGGCAGGAGTGCTGAGAAGGGGAGAGGAAGACTGCGCTCTACAACTTACGCGACCATCGATCCGGACTCAGACTCGCAATGCTACTTTCAGACCCGGAGTGCTACTTTCTTTTCGACAAGAGGTGCTGGCCTCGAGGCTACCCACACAGCAAGGGCACAGCAGGAAATATGGTGTCGTGGCAAGTATGACGCCCAGCGACTCAATAATGCGCGGATCCGGTTCGAGATGTTGCGGCGGGCTATGGTGAGAAGTGGGACGGAGTCAAACAAGGTTGTCGCGGCTGTTCAAGAGATGGTTCGAGGATCGGTCCGGTTTGGAGACGACTTTGCGTAAAGCGTAGATGCGCAAGTGGACTCACATTCAAGACTGGCAGCATGGTGGCTGTGTGTCGGATGGGATCTCCTTTCCACCAGAATCTTAGTTGTTGGCTGTTAGCGGAGTGCGGCTTGTGCTTCACAAGCGACATCTGAAGACGTGTCGTTTCCGAGAAAAGCAGGACATCCAGATGGTAGTGGAATTAGGATGGTTGTACGCATAAGCAACGCCAGCTCCCAGGGGCCGGCCAGGGTTGTGTCTATTTCCGCATCTCCGGAATTTCACATGTCAGATGGCAGCCATGGCATATCTCGTATCCTACGCGCAAAGCTGCCGGTGGAGTGGAGCGGCGGAGGTGGACCGCGGAGGAAGGTATGGGGTGCAGGTAGACGTATATTGTGCCGTGACCCATTTCCATCAGGTCTTCTTCTTCTTCTCCTACCTTAGTGCCCTGGTGCCAGGTCAAACAGTGTCTCAGAGAGGGAAGGCTGGCTGCGTGGACTCGGCGAGTGCTCCCGAACAAGCCCTGGGCTGCAAAGATGCCGAGGCATTTGGAATGATCATGCAGACAGCCAGGCACGTGCAGGGCAGGGATTGTAGGGGTAGCAGGCACATACCACTGTCATCCATTCTGATGGTCATTCTTGTAGATTATTGTGCCACTACCACATACTGAGACAGAGTGCACAAATACTGGGCAACACCAGACGAATCGCCCGCTTCCGATGACCTGAAGAAGCTCCACCGATCCCTTCCCCGCCAGACCGAGGCGCGACGTTCCGGATCCATGTTTCTTGGCACTCGTCCTGCAAGAGCTGTCCACCTCCACCACCACCCTCACTCCGCCGCCGCCGTGCTATCCCTACCTTACATGCCTCGACGACGCCGACAACACCACCTCCAACCACACCCTACGCCCTGCGCGCACGCGTTGTAGGGGATGACGCGCCTGCTCTCACGCGAACCGACCCTTTTGTCGCCTGCCCGGGAGCTCACCCACACCCAGCATGGCTACAGAGCAGCGACCGATCGCGCCGAACGCTGATCCCAAACATACCCCCAGCAACACCTCCACCACCACCACCACCACCCTCACGCCTGGCCCCTCTTCCAATGCCCCTGGAACATCGTCCGCCGCGCCCAACAGCCAGATCCCCGGGCATCCCAGCTTCAGACGGTATGCTCCTGCTTGTTGTGCTTGATGCACGGCTTGTCTTCTGCGCCGCGCCGCGCCGCGCCGCACTGCACTGTACATGCTAACTGTGCGCTCAGCCAACGCGCCTCAAGAGCATGTGAAGTAAGTGTACCGCTCAGAGAGCCAGGCATCGACCGCTAATCATTGTCTAGACCTGCCATGCACGCAAGGTACGATCCTTTACCACATACCTTCGACTCCCCAAACTCAACTCATATCCATGTGAAACAGGTGCGATGCGATGCAGCCAGTCTCGGCGTGCCCTGCACCAACTGTGTCGCCTTCTCCATTGAGTGCAAGATTCCGGCGCCTAAGCGGAAAAAGACCAGCGCCAAGAAGGACAATGAAAGGTGGGCACATGTCTTGGGAATGGGACGACAGACGGGGTGCTGATGAGAGTCGTGCAGTACGGAACCCGCTGAGCCCGCGAAGGACAATCGCTCACCCGCCGAGACCGATGCCAGCTTTCCCACTCGAGGCGAGATGGTCATGTCGCGCGAGATCGCACCCGACAAAATTGGTATGAACACTCCTGCCGGAATGCCCAAGGTTGAAGGATCCGAAGGCTACTACAACCAGCAACAAGTGACAAATGGCACCTGGGCGCAATACATGAAGCCAAAGTTCGCCCGAGCACCTATCAAGGAGGCCGGACGGGTTGCGTATCTGGGTGAATCGTCGAATCTCTCACTTCTTGTACAGGACCGTATGGGACCTACGGACGTCGTCCATTACCCTCTCCCGGAGAACGTGCGGGGAGCTCGAGCGCGGGTCAACGAACTGGATAATGTCGAGATCGACATTTTACATCAGCGAGGGGCCTTCCTCCTCCCGCCACGACAACTTTGCGATGAATTAGTCGACGCCTACTTCACATGGATTGCGCCGGTCGTGCCCGTAATCAATCGCAGCAAATTCATGCGCCGATATCGTGATCCGAAGAACCCTCCTTCATTACTCCTCCTGCAGGCCATTTTACTTGCCGGGTCTCGCGTGTGCAACAATCCACAACTCATGGACGCAAACGGTTCAACAACCCCTGCGGCAATGACGTTCTACAAGCGTGCGAAGGCGCTATACGATGCGAATTACGAGGACGACAGAGTCACCATTGTTCAGGCACTCATTTTGATGGGATGGTATTGGGAAGGTCCAGAGGGTAAGAATCGCGGTCCGGTAGACATCGTCACGCACGCTGGGTCTGACGTCGGTGCAGACGTCACAAAAAATGTCTTTTACTGGAGCAGAGTAGCTGTCATTGTCGCACAGGGTTCTGGCATGCACAGAAGGTGAGCAATCAGTGTCTGCATTTCCCGACCTCCTCGACCAGTGCTAAAGTCGCGGTTGTAGTGTCGAAGGCTCTCAGCTCAGTAAAGCGGACAAGCGCCTATGGAAACGCATTTGGTGGACTCTGTTCACTCGAGATCGATCCGTCGCCGTGGCCCTCGGAAGGCCCGTCTCGATAAACATCGAAGATTCCGACGTCGAAATGTGCACCGAGGACGACTTCATCGACGACGAGCCCGACCGACCGTCCGAATATCCGCCCGACCCCATTCACGTTCAGTTCTTCCTCAATTACGTTAAACTTTGCGAAATCATGGGCCTTGTTCTTTCCCAGCAGTATTCCGTGGCGTCGAAACTCCGCCGGAACAATGCGCTTGACCTAACACACAGTGACATGGCCCTTGCGGACTGGTTACAGAACTGCCCGCCCGAGGTGAGATGGGAGCCGCAGCGACACCATTTCTGGTCTGCATTGCTCCATGCAAATTACTAGTGAGTAGCGCAGGCTGGAGGCCCCAGTCCCGAACGTTGACATGTTACAGTACTACCCTGTGTCTCCTTCACCGAGCGCACATGCCTCCGGCAGGATCAGAAATGCGACACAACAATGGCTTCCCGGAGGAGACAGCATACCCGTCGAAGTCAATAGCCTACCAAGCTGCGGCGATGATTACTTCCATCATTGAGGCGTTGCAGGCGCACGACCAGCTGCGTTACACGCCTGCATTCATGTAGGTTCCCATACCTCACAGCAGGATCGGTCGCGTGGCGTTACTGACCGCGCATGCAGTGTCTACAGCTTGTTCTCCGCGTTGATTATGCACGTCTACCAGATGCGCTCATCTAATCAGTCGATTGTGTCGGCTACACAGCAGCGGCTGACCACCTGCATGAACGCGCTCAAGGATGTCTCCAGGGTGTGGCTCGTGGCCAAGATGGTGCACACGTTGTTCGAGTCCATTCTTGGCAATAAGATGCTCGAGGAGCGATTACAGAAAGCGGCAGGAAAACGACACCAGAAGAACAAACACGGCACCAGCAGCCCTGCCATCCGCAACCCAAGCAAAGAGGCACCCGTGATGGAGACGGCCAGTGAAACCCAGAAGCGGAAGTTCGACGACATGGAACTTGGTTTCAACGGCCCACCTGCTCCGCAGATGTCCTACGAGCGCTCGCGGCCGCAGTCGCCGGCTGCCTCACCTACACGGGAGCTTCCGCCGGGGTCACAGGCTCCAGCACCACAGCAACTTCCACAAATCACGACCAGCCCTCCCACTCTGCGGCAAGGTAACGACGCCTTCATGGGCAACTCGCGCGCAAATACCAGACCCACGACTCCCCTGCATAACTTCTCATACCCCGGGACTCCGCCCGACCTCTTCTTACACACGCGGTATTCGCCCAAGATCTCGGAAGACCTGTGGCAGAATTATCAACCGGACCAGCTCTTCCCTCCGGAGACGAACACCCTGTTCGCGCTGAATACGTTGAGCAATCAAAGTCCAAACCAGATGGTCGACCCGGCGTTACGAGCGCCTCCCCTTCCCCCCGCACCGCATCAGCAACAGTCCGCGCCGCATCAGCCCAACATGTCGACTCCTGAGCCGATGCAAGCCAACCAGCAGATGCCGATGGCTGATAGACAGGCTGTGCCACCGATGGCATACCACCAGGATCCCGCTCCATGGAGTCAGATGCACATGGGGAATCAGTCTTGCCCGGACGATCAGTGGAGCAATTCTGCTAGCAGTACGTGTGGTCCACACGTACCCACGACGCTCAATGTTGGCGACTGGTTCGAATTCTTCGGCATCCCGAATGGCGCGGACTTGAGCGGAGGCCTGAACGGTGCAGGGAGAGGGTACGGGTAATGAAGCCTCGGATGACTGTGCGCGATCACTTCCATTTTACCCGTACGATCTGCAGCTAGCAGTGGCTGGGAAAAGCGAGTTGAGTTTTGAGCAGCGTCGATGTACGCTTTCCGTACATGTTTATATGTGCGCAGGGAGGCTGGCGCACGGGCGGCATGGCCACGGTGTGACCCAAGCCCAAGGGGGCTGGATTTGGCCTGTGAGGAGGAAGATGTACCCATCAGCAATGATATCCGCAGCAGTGTGAAGATATGACAGGACGAAGAGAACGGCTTGCCGGTGGCCGTGAGATTTTCGAGCGCTCATTAGGCCATGGCGAGGACAGACGCGTCTGCTGGACGAAAAGCAAAGCGATTTATTACTGGCCAGATAATATGTATAGCGGAGGACAGGCCAGGGGTGCTCGTCCTCCAGTGTCCAAGATAGCCTCCTATTTTATTCGCCGGCCATGGAGGACCAGGCTTGAATCCTCGTGAGCCCCACTTGCACTGCATGCGGCTTGACTCTTCCAACGTCATCATCTCCTTCAATCAGGGACGGGCGGTAAGCTTTTTTTGGTTTTCGTCGGCTACGGTACATTCATTTCCTTTCGCGTTGACTCTGTACATCTATCTATACTACCTCTTCTTCCTGTTCGCATGTAAACCTTAAGTATTCTTTCTCAGGGACATTTCTACCATCGAAAAAACAAGCCGTGAAAGCCGGATCCATCATCACCACGCGTTTCTGGGATCGAAGACGTCCAAACGATCAACTTGTCTCTCCTTCTCTCTCTTCTATATATATCTCTCTCTCTCTACCTTACTATACACGACCCAACAATCACAGAGTCCCCTCCGCAAGACTTGAAGAGGAAGCTTCAGAAAAAGCAAGACCATGCCCTCCCTGACCTCCCACCTCCTCCACCTCGACGAAGCAGCCCTCACCCGCGCCACAACGCACCCCTTCCTCTCCGCCGCCGCAACTTCCACCCTGCCCACCGCCAAACTCCAGCACTGGCTCGCCCAAGACCGCCTCTACGCCCTCTCCTACACCAACTTCATCGGCGCGCTGCTCGCCCAGATCTCCATCCCGACGGGCCCAGCGCGCGAGCGCAGCGTCGAATGGCGCGTCTGCGACGTCCTCATCGACGCGCTGGTCAACATCCGGCGCGAGCTGGGGTTGTTCGAAGCGACGGCGCGGGAGGAAGGGTGGTCGGCGCAGATTTGCGGGGATGCGTTGCAGGTGGAGCGGCCGACAAGGTGTTATCGCGATCTCTTCGCCGGGAGCGTCGCGCAGGGGAAGCCGGTTATCGTGGGCTTGGTGGTGTTGTGGGCTACGGAGGAGTGTTACCTGAGGAGTTGGAAGTTTGCTGCTTCGCGGATTCCCAAAGAGGGAGGGGAAGGGGCAAGGAGCGGGACTGCTGGTGTGATGCAGAGGGTCTTCATTCCCAACTGGAGCAGTCGGGAATTCGAGGCTTTTGTGCGGAAATTGCGGGGTCTGGTGAATCGGATGGGGAATCTATGGGGTGTGGAAGAGGGGGATTGGGTCTGGAGGGAGTGTGAGATGGCTTGGAGGCAGGTTCTGTGGTGTGAGGAGGAGTTTTGGCCCGAGGTTTGATGTTTTGTTTTGGGGGATTGGCAGCAGGGGAGTGTAAGGTAGGATCGCGGTACTATCTCGAAGAAGTGGACGGGCTGATTGGGTCGAGTCGGAAGGATCGGGTCTCTGACAAAGGTCCTGGGAATGCTTGAGATATTTCGACGGATTGCGGTGCTTGTGACAAGAACAATCATATTGCATGACCCCACAGTCTCTGGCGTAGTTTCCTGGTCTGTAGCCGTCGCGTCGATGAAGTCAATGGTACGTTACGTTGAATTGAAATGGAGAAGAGATGATACGTATATATATGTATATGTATGTATATATATATATATGCTTGAAAGAGGGTGAGGTTTTCGAAATCCGATACCGAAATCGTCTCTCGACCCACCTCACGTACAATCTCTATAGATAACGTGCAAGCAGAGATACATCTACCTTATCCGATGTAGAAATCAGACAAGACCTTGCAGATTCCACATCTCTGCCACTTGCCATCTTTTAATAATTACCGTACCCTTCGCCATGGCCTCATCATCATCATCATCATCATCATCATCACCATCGAATCCCGGCATTTCCATCCTCCCAGTCCAAACCCCGAAAGATCTCGCAGCGACAATCTCTCTCTTCCAGTCTTACGTTTGCTGGCTCAACCTCGATCTCTCCTTCCAGGACTTCGACACAGAAATGGCCCGCATGCCCGGGAAATATTCTCCCCCGAACGGTGCCCTGTTCCTCGCTCGTCTGCAACCAACCAACGAGGCAGTGGGCTGTGTCGGCCTGCGACCCCTGACAGAGCCTGGAGGTATCGGAATCGGCATCGCTGAGATGAAGCGACTCTACGTCGATCCAGCCGGCCGAGGGATGGGCGTGGGCAGGAAACTCGCGGATGCCGTGGTTGCGGAGGCCAGACGGCTGGGCTATGAAGCCGTGCTGCTCGATACGCTGCCGCATATGCTCTCCGCCATCGGGCTCTATAAGTCCCTGGGGTTTGTTGAGGTCGAGCCGTATTACGCGACGCCGTTGGAGGGGACTGTCTTTTTGAGGCTGGATCTCAAGAGCGGTTTGGGCGAGTGAGGGGAGGAGATGGAGTTCGGGATGTCGAGGCTTTGAGGGCTTGAATTCGCTGTCTTCAGCTCGATCAATTCATACGATCATGTCCGGATCGCAGGCTATATGATTTTCTATAGTAGGGAACCAGAGGAGTCGGTCAATTCCATCAGACCTCGTTGGCTTGAAGACGTGTTGCTGACGATTCTGTGCAGAGACGAGCTGGCAGGAAGGATTGAAGCAGGAGGAAGACGACGATGCCCCATCAGACAGCCGCTTAGATCCATGCCAGATACTTCGCGTGTTCACCTTTGGCTCATGGATTCATTCGCGACCTTCGGGCCGAGTCTGATGGTGCATCGAGGTCGAGTGATTCCCCCGTCTCGGCACACAAAGACGAAGCCTTTGGGACAGCGAATGAAAAATAAAGCAAAATCTGATTCTTCAACCACGGTACCACTCTACACCTCTTCAAGAAAAATCTACAACTTCGCCCTCTCCCTCTCCCTCTCCCCCTCTCCCTCTCCCTCTCCCACCCCTTCCCTGACAACCACCCCCTCTGCCTCCCCACCCTCCCCTCCTCCCCCTTCAAAGCCCTCCTCAAAATCTTCCCCGTCGCACTCTTCGGTATCAAATCCGTGAATTCCACCTCCTTCAACCGCTTATACCCCACCTTCCTCTCCCTCACAAACCTCAAAATTTCCTTCCCCAGCAGCACCTCCTCCCTCCTCCCTCTCCCCACCCCCACCCCCGCCTTCAGAACCACATACGCCTTGGGCTTCTCCCCCGAATACGCGTCCGGAATCGGAATCACCGCGCAATCCGCCACACCGGGGTGCGAAAGCAGGAGATCTTCCAGCTCGGCGGGCGCGACCTGTTGTCCGCGGACTTTGATCATCTCCTTGATGCGGTCGACGATGTGCAGCAGTCCCCGCGCGTCGAAATAGCCCACATCGCCCGTGTGCAGGAAGCCGTCCCGGTCAAAGGTCTCCGCCGTGGCGGGCGGGTTGTTGCGATAGCCCAGGGCAATCTGCGGGCCGCGGGCGCAGATTTCGCCGATCTCGTTGCTGCCCAGCTCTTCTCTCGAAGGCTGCGTAGCACATGTCGACTCGAGGGAGAGGATCTTGGCGGTGGTGTTCGGGACCAGTTTCCCGCCCGTCATGGCGAATTTGTAATCGTAGTGCGTCGGGGGGTGACACGTGATGCAACCGCTGGATTCCGTCGCGCCGTAGCCCTGACGGAAGCCCGTCTGGGGGAATTTCTGATGCAGCAGGTGGATGATTTCGGGGCTTGTGGGCGCGGAGCCGGAACTCCAGCGCTTGACGATGCGGCGCAGATCCGGGAGGTATTCCTCGACGACGGGGTCGCGGACGAGGCGGATGACGAGGGGTGGGACGAGGATGAGTTCGCGGATGCGGTGGGTGATGATGGAGGTGAGGAAGAGGTCCATGTTGAAGGCGGGGAGCATGTAGCAGTTGCCGTTGAGGAGGAGGGGGTAGTGGATGTAGCGCACGAGGCCGGAGATGTGGTAGACCGGGGTGATGGCCAGGCAGCGGTAGTTCTCGCCCGGATCGAAGGCTTGGTAGGCGCGGAGTTGGTGGCATTGGGCGATGATGTTGTGGTGGGAGAGTTCGACGGCTTTGGGAAGACCTGATGATGGGGGAAAGAATCTCCAAGTCAGTTGGTTGGCTTTGCGATTGCGATGGCGCTTGGAATACGGAAGATTTTTCCAACTCACCTGTAGTCCCGCTACTGAAATTCAAATACCCACATACCTCCTTATTGTTCTTCCCGGGCGGTATCCTCCAACTCTTCTCCGGAGGATACTTGCGCCCCCTCTCAACCAGCCTCTTGATACTCAAGACCTCCCCATTGCCCTCGCCTTCCAACAAAAACACCATCTCCCTGCCCATCCCAACCCTCTCCACCGCCTCCTGCACTCTCTCCAATCCCGCCTCGGTCGTGAATACGAATTTCGTCCCCGCAGTTTTCAACGCATGAACAATCTCCTCCACCCCATAATCCGGACTCGCACCATTGATCTTCCCGCCACCCCTCGAGCACGCCCACAACGTCACAGGGTACCACACCGAATTCCCCGCGAAAATGCTGATCGTATCTCCGGGCTGGAAGCCATGGTCCTTCGCGAGAGCGGTATGCAGGTGCGTGGCAAGATCTTTGACGTGGGAGAAAGCAAGTCGTTCCTTGGTAGAAGCATTCTCGTAGAAACCGTGATTTCGAGGAGAGCGGATGACGGGTGAATGTTCTTCGCTTTCAAAGGCCCACTGGTATGTCGTGACATTTGTGGGAACTTTGTTTGTATCTCAGTATGAATTGAAGGTTGCTGTGCTATTGGACGTGACCCTCGTGCCAGCGTACTCACTGTCGATGATAGGATGATCTGCTTTCCAGAGAACCATTTTACCCTCTTGTGACGACTACACTGGGCGAGGCGAAGGGAACAGTCGGAACGTATAGACTTGACCGAGCTGAAGAGCATAGGAGGCGCACCTACGATATCTCAAGAAATCTATGCATCTTCCTAGAGCACTATGGTCGTGTGCCGTAGGAGGAGTAGCTTGGGCAGCCGAGGTCGGTGAGCTTAGTGAGCTTGCATAGGCGTGGGGAAATAGACTCACTGGGAGAGAAACGAAACCTTGAGGTGCTGCCATTACCTCGAAATAAGGCCTACCGTTCAGACTGTCCGGTCGCCTGACCCATGTCCTTGCCCTTGCTGCTGCTGCTGCAGAGGAGAAAAGAGAGAGAGAGAGAAGAAAAGAAAATGCCACCTACCTTGGCCGGATGAGGCCCGCCTCACCTCTGAGCTTGCGCTCATACTCTCCTAGAAGAAGCTCCCTTCTTGGGGCGAGCGAAAGCCAGTTGGAGATGTGCTATTCACCAAAAGGGTTAGCCCATGATCATAGAACATATACAGCAATAGTAAAAGCTAAGCTCCTGTAGGCTATCGCTTGTGCATTTCAACAGGGTATCTATTGGGGACGTTCTCATTCTTCATTACCCACCTCCTCACTTTGAGATGAAGCCTCACGGCTGAGCCGTGCATTGTCCTTGCCGCGGTCGGTCCGTGAAATCAGGTCACGGTCTCCCGGAGAGCTTCTGCGTCGCCGAGGAGATTTGGAGGGCTCGGACGAGGTGTTGCGGCGTCTGCGGCGTGGCGGGGTGCGCGAGCGCGAAGGCGAGCGAGATCTGCCGTGTGATGGTGAGCGCCGGCGTCGAGCAGCGTACTCATCTCGGCGACCACGGCCTCCGGGAACGTAGCTGTCTGTTCCACGCCGATTGTCCCGACGTCTTGGAGGGGATCTGGATCTGGAGTATTCCCTCGATGGGGGCCGACGGTCGTAGGAGCGATCGCGTTCACGATCGCGGTCACGATCACGGTCACGATCACGACCTCGCCAGCTGCCTCTGCCATTCCTACGCTGACCACGCTCGCGATCACGGATGCGTGCTAGGTCCCGATCGCGCTGTCTCTCCTCTTCCTGTCGCCTCATTGCCTCCTCACGAGCTCTCTCTTCAGCAGCCTACGCCATGTGTCAGTCATATGTCCGCAAAGCCGTGCAGATCAGTGTGCAGACGGACCTTGTCTTGTGCCAGCTCATTCTTCTTCGCTTCGAGTAGTTCTTTGGGGATGCCGTTCGGGTTCGCCTGCGCGCTTAAGCATAACTTCCACAGCTCGAGACAGAATGTTGGCGCATCTTTGTCGAGGAAGCCGGTGATGTCGTTCTGGAGCTGCTTGATGTTGGGCTGCAAACCAATGTCAGTAGTCGGTAACATGAGCAGGTGGTGAGCTCGGCGGAACGCACAAACTTGGAGCCTTCGAGGATGCCGTTGATCATCTCGGTGACCACGTCGTCGTCGGTGTTGAGGATCTTGGAGATCTCGTCTGACACCCACTTCTTAATGACAGGCAGGTGGACCTTGGTCATGTCAACTCGCTGGCTGAATTCGGGTGGAAATTTGGTCGTACGCATCGCCCGCGCATCAGCGCCGGTCTTGAGCGCCGCCGACATGTCGTGCGGTATTGACGCTGTGAGTGTGTGCAGCGCGGAGGAAGAAGGCCAAGACGGTGTAGTTAGACGGGTGTTTGTTTGTTGGATTGCTCTCGTTGGGTGCAAGCTGCGAACCAGTTCGTAGAGCTGCAAGAGAACAGCCGAACTTCATCCGCGGAAGCTTATCACCCTACTATAAGGTATGATCTCTCCACAACTTTCCATCGAATCCCTTGGTAAACCTCACGTCTGTCGTCGCTCGCAATCATGAGAGTCGCCGAGTTCTTGTCGGACCTCACGTCTCTGCAAGTTTGCGTACGTTGGCTCCATCCACTCCTTCTACGATTCCGCTGTTGACACGCGTAGGAACCCATTGCTGCCCTTGCTCTTGTCTCTGCGAGACCCGACAAACCATCAGAGACCAATGGAACTACGCAGAATTCTGGCAATGACGAGGATGACCCAGATCTGAAGCGTGCGAAAGATCTGTTGGACCTGCACGGAAGCGTGAAGCTCGCCCACCAGGATGGAACCGATAAGGAGCTCAACGAGGCCCGAGACGCCGTGGCCAAAGTACTGCGCACGCTATAGCGCGCCGAGTTATGGAGACGAACAGCAATTCCGACACTGCGTAATGAGCGTGCGGTCTGATAGCATGTGATGTGCTTCGCTTGTCCGGGCAAGGCCGAGCTGAAGGCGTGCTTTCCACTCGCGCGAAACACTCGTAAGATGCAAGACTACCTGTCAGGATGACTGAGCGCCACCGTGGCACAGAGTCGGTCATGAGGAGCATCTCACTGCAAGACCTAACGTGGTCTCTGCCATGCGTAGCTATGATGCATCTGGAGTCCGAAGCCATCAAACCCGATTCATTTGCCGGGCCTCCAGGGCGTCTCAGAACCAGCGCTACTCACGATTCCCCCGCGTCCTCCACATGCTGCGAAGCAAGCGAGACATGCACTCCAGATTCCGAGAGCTAGTACGTGCACTAGCCAGATCCCCTTCAGGCTGCATCACAATATCGCAAAGGCATCGCTTCGTGCAACCATGCCTGCTGCCGCCATCAAGTTAGGGCTTCTCGGTCTCCTCCGCACATACTCGGCTGCAATGGACGAACCAGGCCTTCGCTTTGAAGGAAGCAGGAAGGAGTGCTAGCCTCTGGAGAAGGTATATAATGCGAATGACAATACATTCTTCCGGAGTCATGGCATCGTACTGCCGCCGAGCTCGGTTGTTCACTATGCTGTTCTTGCCGTTCCTTCCAGTAATCTGCGCTGTTGCGGTACCCAACCCTTCACCATCCTATACTTCTCCATCCTCCCACATCACTTTCACCAACACTCAGCGCTTTTTATTCGACACTTTGGGTAATCAAATCGACGCCTATGGCAGCAAGGTCAATTTCTTCAATGGATCTTACTACCTCTACGGAAACAGTTTCTCTACCACTGGCGTAGCGTTCGGCATCAAATCCTATTCCTCCAACAACCTCAAGGACTGGACATACGAAGGCTTTCTCTTTGATCCATACTCGGAAAATAGTCCTTGCGAAGCTTCTGGCGGTTGTGGAAGACCACACATCGTCTACAACCCTACGAGCGAACAATACATTCTCTGGGCCAATGCTGGTTCGCCGGGATATGTCGTTGCTGCTTCGAAAAGTCCGACTGGACCGTTCGTATTCTCAAAGGGAATAGCGCTCATCGATCCTCAATTCGACGGCTTGCAGCCGGCCGACTTTACGGTCGAAAGCTACGGGGAGAAAGCATATCTTGTCTTCTCAGCGTTGAGCTTTGTGGACCCAAGAGCTGGAAGTGTTTGGCCTCCTATATTTCAAACACTTCACGTCTCCGCATTGACCCCGGATTTCCTGAACACTACCCGCACCAGCTATCCGGTCCGCAGCCAAGCTTTTGACCTCATTGATGAAGAAGCAGAATCCCCTGATCTTTTCTACCGACCGGAAAATCAAATGTGGTATATCTCCGCTTCGAATACTTGCGGATATTGCAATGGGTCTATTGGTCTTTTATACCGCTCCCAGAGTATTACAGGGCCGTGGGACAGGCAGATTATTTCGGGGTATTCTTGCAATGGACAGGTCGAAGGCGTGCTGCCGTTGGAAGACGGTAGAGGCGGAAGGACTTATGTATGGCATTCAACTTCTGTTCCTGGTGGCCCGAGGGTTGGATTCGGAGGACATATCTTTCAGCCGCTGCGATTCAGGGCGGATGGATCGGTCGAAGAGCTGGACTGTTCGGCGGGAGCAAGGTTTGACGTGCAGTTTACGAAGGGCAATGGGGCCGATAGTGTGCAGAAGGTTACCTATGGAAGTCCTTTGAGTGCCGCTGTGCGTTCCTATCAAGGTGTAGAGTGGGATCATGTGGCTGACAAGAAATAGTACACCGCTGTCTGTGATTCAGACCAATACGACCTCTTCCAGACATGGCGCGCCTCTCGCAGCGGGACTCTCAAATCCGTCTCCGTCAACATCGCTGCCTCCGGCAACCAGGAAGTTCCACTCGTCCTCACCGCGTTCAAATTCTCTTCTTATTCCGACCTCGTCTCCCCTGAATACATTTGGACACAACTCGGCACTGTCAGTCTCAATGCTGCGCAATTGAGTTACGTCTTCAACACCACAACAGTACCCCTGTCGTCCAACGCCACAGTCGAAGCCGGCGATATGCTTGGGCTGGCTATTGCGGGAGCAGACTTTGCGCCGTATTGCCATTTGGAGTACGAGATTGGAGGCGGAGAGGGAGATAAGGTGTTATTTCAAAGGGGAGCTGGGCAGAATTCTTGGAGGGGCTTGAAGGGGAATATTTCTCCGGTGTATAGAAGGGATGGAAGAAGCATCAAGTTCTTTCTGGAGTACGCTTGAGGTTGCGGAATTTTAAAGATAGGACCAGGCATAGAAGGAGAGTCTCGTAGAGAGCAAGAGGTACATTGAGGCCACTTTCGTGTCTTTCTTCAGAAAGTCGACTGGAATCTCTGCTTGGAGTTTTGATCCTGTTCTTCGCTACGCACAAACTTGCCGAGTCAGCTCTACTTGAGAGCAAGTGAGACGAACACAGACTATAGTAATCTGGAAACGTGAATGTGATTGATGGCTTGGCGCTTGCATGTGACGTCGAGAAGAATCGTCCGTGCACTTGGAGCTCCGAACTCCGACTGGGGTCGCGACTCGTCCTCTCGAACTGAACTTCCACCACTACAACCACACCACTCTTGCGCCAAACCGCCCACCACCACATCTCGATATCGCCATCTACCGCCACTTTCCGATATTCATACGACCCGCAATCGCCATCAATACCAATCTCGAGAACCGTCCATCGAGCGCGCTCCGCCAGTCGACCGGCGTCGTCACGCGACAGCGACACCTTGCATCAACCGACAATTTGCTATCCGCAGGAGGCGCACACAACCGATGACCACAAGCGTGTCGAGCGCACCGAGGAGGCGTGCCCGCCGGCAATCTGCCAGCATTTGGTGAAGGAGAGATGGAGCTACAAACACAGCAAGGACCGGCGCCCCGGCAGTACGATGTGCTGAAGCAGCGTCTGGATCTGGATATCGACTTTCCGACTCGCTCGCTGAAGGGAAGCGCTGAAATCACCATTCAGCCTCTGGCCAAGGACCTGTGCTCGGTACAGCTGCACTGCCGACAATGCAAGCCCACTCAGATCCATGCGGGAGGCATAGCAGCCAGTTGGGAGTACGATGAGCCGTACCGGCGGTCGCAGATGTCTGCCAAGTCTACTGTGTACCAACACGGCATGCTGAAGTCGAGGATCGGAGACTCGTTACGACCAGCGCCCGCGCCCCAACTCACCATCAACTTACCCGCCAAGCTGAAGATCCAAGAACTGCACGTCGATCCGGCCACCTCGCTACCTCTGTATAATGGCACTCCGAGTCTGCAGAAGCAAGAGAACGATGCGATGGCAATTGCAGAAACGCCGGTGGCTGAGAAGATGCAGCAGCAGATGCCCCAATTTGCGCCCCTGAAATTGACGATCGAGTTCGAGGTTGCCAGCTTCAGGGATGGCATACACTGGGTTGGATGCATGGATGGCGACAAGCGTTTTCCATACATGTACACCAAACTTGACCCTTTCCCAGGCGCTGCATCCAGCATTTTTCCGTGCTTGGACGACGCAACATCTCGTTGCAGCTGGGAGATCGCCATCAGATGTCCTCGCACTCTCGGGGATGCTTTCAAGAAGCCAACGTCTGCCGCTGTTCCTGCGGATCACCAAGCTGACATCGCGCCTGATGGTGACGTAGAGATGGTGAACGGCACTGACGCGACTGCCAAATCCAAGCCCCAAGAAGCTCGGACGCCGGTCGAATATCTGACTGTCCTGAGCGATGACGAGGCCGCACTCGAGCTTGCAGTGCTTTGTGTTGGTCAGCAAGTCGACGATGTTGCAGACACCGAGGATGACACACGGCATACTGTCAGCTTCAGCCTCGATAACACCATCGCTGCCCGGCACATAGGCTTTGCAATCGGCCCTTTTGAGCATGTAGACCTCACGGCAACTCGTGCCAACGAGGAAGAATCCAAACTTGGTGCGAATGCGGTCAAAGTTGACGCATATTGCTTGCCTGGTCAGACCGATGAGCTGGACAACACATGCTTTCCGATGTGCCAAGCGTTGGACTTCATAAGCGTCAACTTTGGCAGATATCCATATCCTAACTACCAGATGCTTTTCGTCGACGATCTCGTACACGACACCACAGCCGCTGCTGGGCTATCGATCTGCAGCAAACGTCTGCTGTTTCCGGAAAGCATCATCGAGCCCATTCATAGGAACACGAGTATCCTAGTTCGTGCGGTTGCTGAGCAATGGAGCGGTGTCAATATCATCCCGAAGGAGCCCACTGATTCATGGACTATTGCAGGTATCGCGGGATACGTGACTGATGTCTTCATGAAGAAGCTATCGGGGAACAACCAGTACCGTTGGGAACAGCGGCAAGCATCTGAGAAGGTATACGAGTTGGATGTCGACAGACCCTCGATGCACCAACTCGGAAATCTCATGCACTTGGACCAATCGATTCGAGACTTTATCGATCTCAAGTCCGCACTGATCCTCGGGATCCTCGACCGCCGACTTATGAAGACGAGTGGGTCGACTGGAGTGACGCGCATTATCAATAAAATATTCTTGAACGCAACAACAGGAAGTTTGGACAATGGAGAACTCTCCACGTCCGATTTTCAGCGGACTTGCGAGAAGCTTGGACACAACAAGCTAGAATCGTTCTTTCGTCAATGGGTGTTTGGAGCAGGCTGTCCCATCTTCCAATGCCAACAGCGCTTCAACAAGAAGAAGTTGGTTGTAGAAATGACCATCACGCAGCGACAGCTCGAGCGCCAAACCAAGCCACCCTTTGAGCCCAGCAACTTCATGAGAGAAGTGAAGGAGCACGTTCAAGAAGTATGGGCACCCGAGCCACAGACTGTTTTCACGGGACCCATGACGATTCGAATTCACGAAGCGGATGGAACGCCTTACGAGCACATTGTCGAAATCAAAGAGCCGGTGACGAAGCTCGAGATTCCTTACAACACGAAGTACAAGCGTCTCAAGCGATCTAAACGCCAGCGCGAGCGTGCTATGGCCGAAGGGAATGCAAATGGCGAAGATGGGGAGCCGAACTTCCTTGTGTGTCTGGGTGACATTCTTGATTCTTCTGAGGAGATGAAAGAGTGGAACCTTGAGGACTGGTCCAAGGAAGACGAGGACAGAATGAGCCAAGAAAGCTACGAATGGATTCGCATGGACGCGGATTTCGAATGGATTGGCAAGATCCATTTCGTCATGCCGCTGTACATGTATGTCTCCCAGCTGCAGCAGGATCGAGACATTGTGGCACAGTACGAATCGATGAAATACCTTCTCGCGGCAAATCCCCATCACGTCTCGCTGTCTATCCTTGTACGGACTTTGATGGATGAACGCTACTTCTATGGCATTCGAGTGATGGCTGCAGAAGGCATCGCCATGTTAGCCAAGGACAAACTACTCGACGTTGGCCAGTCACTTTTGAGGAAGGCTTTCCAGGAGATGTTCTGCGAAGGAGATCTCATGCGACCAAACGACTTTACAAACCGGGTTACATTCATCATGCAGTGTGCCATTCCGCGTGCCATGTCGCAGTTGCGGGATGCCGATGGCAAAGTCCCGATGGAAGTGAGACAGTTCTTCGTCGACAGGCTGCGATACAACGAGAATTCTGACAATCTATACTCTGACTGTCACTACATTGCCACTCTGATGGAGTGTTTAGCGGACTCTTTGGTCATTTCGCACCGTTTGATCAAGCCGCCGGAGCCCACATATCAATTCAATTTTGGTGAAGAAGAGCCCGAGGAACCCGAGGAGCCTTACAACCCAGACGCGGATTTTGAAGAGAACGCAGTAAGCGAGATCGAACGATACCGACGCATTGACGAGTGGGAGTCAACTTATCACAACATCTATTCAACAACGGCCATCGAATGCTTGCAAAAGCTTGTGAAAGCCGATATCGTTAGCAACAAGACGAAGGAGCTCTTCCAGTACACGCGCGTCAGCACCGCGGACAATGTGCGCCTGCAGGCATTCAAGTGCATGAATGAGCTTGGGTTGACGAGAAGGATGACGATGACGAAGCATCTGCTGTACTCACTCGCTGACGACCGCTCCCCATACTTCCGTGATAGGATGCTTCGGCTGCTTGGCGAGGCGCTTGGCCATATTGCACTCGGGGAAGATGAAGTAGCGAAAGTTGAAGCCGCACCTGCACCGACTGATGGTCTGGTACTGGAGCAGGAAGCTACCAACGAAACGCGCCGTATCGAAGCAACGCGAAAGCTCACGCCTGAAGGTGCGCTGGCAGCACTCAAGGTGACATTGCAAAATGAAGACACTTTCAAGCAATCGCTCTGGTACGCAGCTACATCTCCAGACATTGCTCTTGACGAGATTGGTGCCTTCTGCGACATTGCAGCCCTGGTGTATGAGCCCATCACTTCACACACGGTCATTTTGAAATTGCCTCGACCATACCGATGCGTTCATGAGGGCAATTGTAGAATGCGCTTCTATCAACACGGTGCATATAGGATCGCGCCTAGCAAGAGCCCTGGCCTTGCTTGGGATGACTACAGACTACTCGAAGAACATGGATTGCGTTACAGCGGTCCACTCGCACAGGAGACGCATAAGCAACTCAGGCAACGAGACAAACAGCACGCGCAAAGGGAGCAAAACGAGGGTTTCAAGCTCCGTATTCAGACAGCCAATGGCGCTATCGACAAGAGTATGCCGCCACCAGCGCCTGTAGCAGTCACCCCCACCGGAGAGAGATCGGGTTTCAAGCTAAACCTTGGAGCTGGCAAGAAGCGGGCTAGTGGTGCTGGACTGCTCCGTGAGGGCAGCGCAAAGGTACCAAAGTTGTCAAAACCTTCCACGCCAAGCGGTCTTTCGAGGAAGAACTCATTTGCAGCGCGGACCGGACCTACAGTCGTTCTCAAGCTATCGAAGCTTTCCAAGACCGGCTTCATGCGTGCCCAGGAGATTTTGGGTTCGCCTCCGCAACCTGGACGTGGCCTGGCCGGTCGATCACCCAGCATAGCAATGCAGAAATCCCGCGCTGGAACGCCGAATATGCCACAGCAGCCATCCACGTTTGCCCATCCTTCCATGCTCAACTCTCCAAGTGGTGGTGGCTCAGGGTCTCCGCCTTCCAGCTTTAGTGCTCCCATGCCTGTCAATCTGAACGTCGGCGGATTCCGATCATTTGGAGGGGCTCCAGATGCCATTGCGAATACTTCATTCACAGCCTCGCCTTCCGCAGACACCCCGAAGGCCGAAAGCGCGAGTCCTGTGGGCGTCAACGGGTCGTCCAAATCTCCTCCGGCTCTTACCAGTCTGACAAGTCTGACTAGCATGTCGCCGCCTGCGGTTGGCAATGGAGGCATGGCACCTCCGCCATCAAAGAAGAAGATCACACTGAAGTTGGGAAAGAACACTGCGTCAGGCAGTGGTAGTCATCCAGGCCCGAAGGAGAATGGCTCGCAAAACCATATGTCTTCCTAGGTGGATGACGACCGTCGAAAAGGCACCAAACGCCATTCTGGCTAGGATCCAGTCAAGGATCCGGTCACCTCGATGGACACGAGGAAGAGCACGCTCGTAAGTCTGCGGAACCAGATATAAAGTGCGATGTTTGCGACTTCACACTGGAAGTCGTTGGCCGGAATTCCCGGGAGACGCAACGTCACCGATGGACGCACTTCAATGCAGCTACTGTACAGAGCAATTCGGATACAGACTTGGTCTGATATGCCATGAGCGGAAACATGAGGGAGACGACGCTCCGAGTCGGACCTACAGATTGTGTGATCGGATCTTGCCCAGGAGCCATTGCGCCCGGGGCAAGCGAGAGCATATGGTGAGGTTCCATGACGGGGAGCCACGGAGAGCTCTCAGGTGATACGAGCAAATTGCGAAGAGAACGTGGCCAACGCGACGATACCCTTTGCGCTCGCTGAAGGAGTTGGTGCATTTGGGAGGAGCTCGGAGTCAGTTTTGACGACACGAACGGAAATGCGATACGGGGAGGTTGAGTGGTTTTCTTTAGCGAGGCGTTGGCAGGCCGGTTCAATTTTTTTTTTGGAGAAGTGACAGAAGCAAATCGATGATACCACCAGAGCGGTCATTATTCTGAAAAGAAAGGAAAGGAAAGAGGGGAAGCGAGTCTTTGTCTTCCGGTAGAATTGCGACTGTATATCGAAGGAATGGAAAGTGGGAGCCGCCTCAGAGCGCTCGAGTCTTGGGAGAATCCTGACTGATTGTGGTGAATCTGCTTTCTTATCGTGTCTCATTTTCTGCTTGAAATCATATGCTGTAGGCGTCTTCACCGATATCAAGGAACCTCCAAGGAGCAGCATATGATATACCGATGTGGGGGCTTAGCGTCTTGGCGAAGCCGAAGGAGAACACATATCTTCCACCCCTTTCTGCTCACCACCACAGCACCAAACTTGCGTTTCAAGAGTTGCAAGATAGATAGATCATTTGATCTCTCTAGAGCCCCGCAGTTCTGTGATGTCGAGAATGTGTGTGGTCGCAGAATGGCTTTTGGCCACAAAACTGCTTGGCATTTCGGAAAGATTCAAAAAATCGAAATTGAACCAAAAGTTTTGATGAACATCACAACCACCATAACGACAAAAAGATGTTGACGCTCTCGCGATGAATTCATGTTGCCTCCACCCTGGATCGAACAGAGGACCTCGTCATAGCAGGATTGGATCCCGGAGGTGTCATACTAGTGACGCGCTCTACCACTGAGCTATGAAGGCTTTGACTGAATGAGTCAGGAGTCAGAAACACTAATTATATACGCTGATATCTCTAGCTGGATGCAGCCAGGGATGAACGAAGCTTACGATCAAGAGACCATGACTAAGGCTGTTCACGATTTTCACTTAGAGGAAAAGATCTTTCATGTCCACTATGTTGCAAACTAGAGCATCTTTATCGATTGATCTGGCACGCGGTGCTGCAAAGCTGGAGCTGACAAGGTATCGAGATTTCGTATCTAGTTAATATGTCTACCCAGACTCCCTCCCCTGACTCTATTGAGCTGAAGCAATCCAACGAGTTCGTTCCTCGACAAAGTCGCTGGCAAGTCCATCCACGTTCGCTTTCTATCTAAAGCTCGCCCTCGCCTTTAAGGCAACCATTGGTAAGCCATTGATGATCAATCACTCTGTGCCTTGGGCTTGACTTGCTCTGTCGATACGCTCTCCACGACTGGTTTTCTGTTTCTTCGCAGCATTCCGTGGAGGCTGGTTTCTCACGCCTTCGACCTTTGGTCGTAGTGATCGTTTAGATGTGCGATTCACTGTACTGGCATTCGTCAGGAAAGAAAGAATCAAAGTTTCTCCTCCCCTCTCTCAACTTGCCGCTTCGATTTGGTCCTTTCCCGTCCAGCAGCCTCCATCGCCCGATCTCCATCAACCAACACACACCATCCCTCACCACCAACAGTCCCTTCAGCAAATCCTCCAACCGCAGCACCTGGGAACTCTTCAAGCGCATACTCCAATTCCTTCTGGGTGAAACTGCCAGGCTGCAGCCAAACAGCCATAATACCAGCCTCTTTGGCTTCCTGTAGCAATTTCCCAGTGATAGGTGGCGGAGTAATCACCGACAAACCCGTTTCCTTTGGATTGGGAACTTGGAAAGGCGAAGGTACGGTCTCATATTCCTTCTGTCGCACTTGTACGCTTGAGCAGGTTGGGTTCAGAGGGATTGCTGGGAGATCATGTTGGAGGTACCAGGCGAATATGCGATGGCCGAATTTGGAGGGGAATGATGAGGCGCCTGCGACGGCGAATTGTTTTGCGGTGAAGAATTTTGCGGCGGCCGATTGCATATCTTCTGTGCTCATCTTAGATGAGGAAAATGAGCATGATGAAGGTAGAAATGCTCCTCTAAACGTTTATTTCGGTGGGGGATGGGATGTCATTGTCGCCAGGGATTTTGACGTCAGCGCCGAGTTGGAGTGAGACGTTTCAACTCGTCCGACAGCGACTTCTTTCCTCAACTACAACATTCTACGGCATCCGCTGTCGATCAAATGAGTGGGCAAAGGCCAGACAAGATGCCTCCATTCCCCGGTCGAGTCGTCAAATTCGGCCCATTCAATGTAACTTCACAAGTACGGCGATGCAGCCCATCGTAACGACAGCAAGGCAGTGACTGAAGGAGAACGGTAGGTCTTTCACACCACACCCCATTCATTCGCACTGGTGAACCTCAAACCTCTTCTACCGGGCCACATCCTCGTCTCCCCATTACGAAGCAAACCGCACCTCTCGGACCTCACCAAGGACGAAATCAGCGACCTCTTCCTCACCGTAACACGCATTCAAAAGACTCTCAAGCGCGTCTACAAAGCCGATGCGTTCAACGTAGCGGTGCAAGATGGGGAGGCAGCGGGTCAGAGCGTGCCACATGTGCATTGCCATGTCATTCCGAGGACGAAGGGAGATCCCGGTGGAGACGACAAGATTCATGAGTGGTTGGAGGGAGAGGAGGGGGATGTTGGGAGACATCAACGGGAAGCCGAGAAGGAAGGAGAGGGGAAGAAGAGACAAGTAGGCGAGTGGACTAAGGATGAGGAGAGGAAGCCTAGGAGCATGGAAGAGATGGAGAAGGAGGCACGTTGGTTGAGAGAGGAGATGGCGAAGGATGGAGAAGACTCGGTGAGCCTGTGAGCCCTGTGAGCTTGCTATAGACACGGCATAGAAGGAGGAGTGTTGGTCAACAAAAGCATCTACCAAGTCCCATCTATTGATGCGAAGAAGATCACGGCGCAGTCATGGACAACAGCGACAGAGTGCTGCAATGCCGATTGTGCTTTGGGACAAATCGACTGATCAAGAAAGCTCGCGTTAACTCTACGCTGACATTGTTAGGCTTATGTCGACGTACATTGGACGTTTAGACCCAGGACTTCGGGACACATGGTCCCAAGCTCCATATCAGGAACGATTGAGAGCATTACCCCGACTCACTCCACCATGCTATTCAGCTGCTCTGGCGCTTTAAAACCGATGATGTCGGGCTGTCCTCCAATTCTGCCTACCTTCAGGACCTCTTCCCTTTTTGAATCAAAGGCGTAATGAAGCTCATTGCTACCTCTATCATTGCCGCGGCAGCTTTCTTCGGTGCCAATGCAGCCCCAGCTGAAGCTCCTCCTGCTGCCTCCTCATCCATCGTGACGAGAATCTTTGGACCTGAGCCCACCGGTGTCCACGACACAAAGGTTGTAAAAGTCGGTCAGGTCGCCACAGTCAAAGGTGATGGTCGTAGCTGTCAGGAGTGGAGGGCAAAGCAGAGAGGAGACGGCGTTGCCGTGCCATACTGCGCTCAATGGGACGAGCATTCGGATCACAAGGGCGTAAGTGTTTCACTTACCGCAGATCAATCGATGTAGACTAAGATTGGGGTCCTCAGAACTACGCCATTATTGGCGCTCAAGTACTCCGCGGCACTTGTTCTATTTGGACCACCTACATGATGCTAGATTATGTCGGTGCTAAATGCGATGTGGTCCTGAACACTGCCGGTAAATACGTGCCGCTCGAGGAGACCCCCTACACCAACGACGCTTTGGAACCAAGAGTAGCCCTCGAGGCCGGTCAATCGCCCAATGCTGATAAACCGGCCGTGCAAAACGTCGATGTCGATGAGCTGGAGACTGAAAACGGCAAAGCATGCGCTACCTGGGATGTCTTTGGACATGGAGGCGTGTATGAACCGCAGTGCACGCAGTGGAACATTACCAGAGAACACCCCCAGGTAAGGCGTTCCGAGCACAAAGCATAATCGACGAAGTTGACCCCCTTCCTAGCCCTACCGCATCGTCTCCCAGCAACTCGTTTCGGGAACTTGTCACAAGTGGACTGTCCGTTTCCAACGCGATACTGTCATCCCCTGGTGCCATGGAGATCCACGCGACGAGAGGATCACTAAGCGCGGCGACGGCTCCTCAGGCTATACTGACGGCCTCACCGACCCTGCAGACCTCATGGACAACGACGAAGAAGACGAACACCCAGGCGACAGCATTTTCAACACTTATACGGCTCATCCGGGCACATCAAACATTGAAAAGCTCGAAGTCAAAGACAAAGTATGCCAGAAGTGGAAAGTCAAGAAACTAGACGAGGCACCAAAGCCACCGTTGTGGTATAGATACCACCAGCATTTCAAGCCGGAGTGTGCGAAATGGAAAAAGGGAAAGGGATACGGACACCAGGTACGTTCGCCGTCTCGTCCTCCGCGTGAGTCTCCTCCGAGTCCGTTTTTTACTGAATGTCCACCTCTTCTTCCTGGCAGACCTACAACATCGCCACCGTGACCATGCACCACGGCAACTGCGCCGACGACCTCTGGGATATCAGAGAACGCCAGCACTACGTCGAACCCGTCTGTTCCGACTGGCTGCTCGAGGACTCCTACGCCGGAAGCGACCAGATGGACGGCTACACGGTCCCCTGGAAGCGGAGAGAGCCGGGTGTAGCTTATTGCATTGGCGAGTGTGGCTTTTGGCGGGCGTTCTCGCTCAAGCGCTGTCCAGACCAGCCCTGTTACGTCGAGAAGCACCCCATTGGCGCTCGCGCGGCTCCTGGCGTCGAGGCTGTTGTGGAGAAGGGATCGGATGTGGTCACTGGACGGGAGGGACATCTGAAGAGATCCTTGTGGCCCGTCATCGACTACTTCGTGTACCCCTGGTTTACCCAAGCCGTAACCGACGAACTTGGTAACAAGCGCTCCCTTTCTGGAGCACCGCAGGAGTGAAAGCGTCCGACTCGGTTTTGGAGATGGGGATGAAGGGGTTAGTAAGCACTAGAACTCTTATAGATGGTTGGAATGGAGAATGTTGTGTTGGGCGATTCGCGAACGTCGTTCCAGTCCTGTTGGAAGTTCCTGCTGGTATATAAAGCAACGCACACACGGAGGGTAGACAGAAAGCCGAGCAGGATGGGTACTGAAAGGCCTCGCACTTAATTGCCAGGATTGATATGCGCGAGGCTTCAGTCGTGCAAGTGCATGGCTAGTGTGTGTTACGAAAGGCTCATCTTCAATTCACATATCGTCTTCAATTCGCATATCGTCTTCCAACTTCCAGAGCCTCGTTCGCTGGTGTCCGTCTGTACTTCCACGTCCTTCCTAAACGCCATCTACGCTTTGAATGCGGTCATAAACACGATTCCCCAACGCCAGAAATCGCAAGACAAAAGTGCCGCAGAGCACTCAATTCGCGAGGATCATCTTCACCATATCTACAGTGGATCATCCGTCAGCACTCCGTATGCAGCCTGTGTTTCGCGCGTACTCACCCATGTAGTTCAGCTCTCCGCTACTCGTGTCCACGGCCTTCAGCAGCTCATCCACCTCGTCATCGCTCATCTTCTCGCCCAAGTTCGTGAGGATATACCGGAACTGGCCCACGCCGATGAAGCCCGTGAGATCCTTATCGAAGACTTGGAAACCGCGGCAGTATTCTTCGGGCTCGCCTGGGTCGCGGAAACCGCCGGGTCGGTTGAGGACGCGGGTGAAGGAGTCGAAGTCGACTGTCGTTGCGCAGCACACATTAGTGACGGAGATATGAAGGCTGGTGTGGTGTTGTACGACTTACAGTCTCCGCCCACTTGGTTCTCGAGGTCCTTGATCTCAGCGAGAGTCGGGTTCTGGCCGCATGCGCGCAGGAGGTCGCCGAGGGAGTCGAGTTGGACACGGCCGTTGCCGCGCTTGTCGAAGAGGGAGAAGGCCTCCTTGAAATTGGTGCTCTGCGCCTGCTTGTCGCCCATATTCGCGTCAGTATGTGTGCGTCTTCTCTTTCTCGCGGGAATCGGTGTGGTTATGGGATCGTGAGGCTGTCGCGGTCGGTGTTGTGGATGTTGCGCGTGTGTCTCAGGGTCGAGAGGTACGTATCCTGTGGGCGGTGCGGAGCGGGGAAGACGTACCATTTTTGGCTCTCACTTCACTCCTTGTTTGCTCTCGAAGGCTTTTCTTTCTCTTGTGTGAAGGTGTCCGTCGGCGCGTGTGATCAGGTGTTGCGATTGGATATTGTTAGGGTGAAGTGGAAATACGGGTCGGGGAAGAGTACACGCCCAGGCACAAGGGGAGACGGTACGGTGCCGCTTGCCGCCCCATGGCAGGCTCTGTTGCCATGGCGATAAGGCCTCGCTCGGACCACCACGACACCCCACGAAAGATTTGGCTCAGTCTGTATCACAGATGGACACAAACTTGTCGCCGCGAGAGCTCACGAGAGATACGGACTGAGATAGCATTGAGAAGCATTGAGATGCCGATTCCTGGGTCCTCCAAGCCGGAATTTCGGACTGCAGAAAAACAGATCGCCGGAGCGGGCGAGCCGACAGTTTTCGCATGGCATTTTCCCGGAACGTCTTGAGCTGGTGAAATAGGTCGCAAGCACTGCGCCGCGCGCCGATGCTGATCTGCATGGGCGTCGTGGTTGTCGATGGGAAGGCTGAACTTCCACCGGGGATTCATCGAGTTTGCGTATATTCACTGCACATACCCTTCCTGTCTTTCCGGTGTATGAGCGGCCGCGGCGCGAAGACAACGTCTTTGTCCTAGGGTGTTCCCACAATCGCCAGTGCGCTTCCACAGTGAGGTGGATAATGGAGCCCGCGCTGGGAGCAGCTTGCTCGCGGCCCGTACAAGCCGGTGTCAGCGCGCTTCAGAATGCTCTGCAGACTGATGTAAGCTGCGTACAGTGTCCATTTTAACATTTCGGGAGTCCGTGGTCTTCCCAGATCTTCTAGCAAGAACCAGAATGTCTTCCCAAGAGCCTTGACAAGGACAAGATTCGCGGCGAATCCGAAAGCGCACAGTCAGCGGTAGCAGCCGTCGGGGCGGGAAAGATACACTACGATTACAAGACCGAGATAGGTTGATACAGTGGTGTGGGCGTCGACTATGAAGTGCTACCTTAATCAACGCGCTAGGACGCGCTGGCCCGCCTTGAGAGTTGTCTCAGGCCTGAGACTCGAGCTCTACCGTCAAGAAAAGTCTGGACAGACAATTTCCTTGTTACAGGTCATCCGCCTTTCGTTTTCATACCCCCACAAAAAAGGTTCTGACGAACTCGTGTATCTCGCGCGTGTTGTAGGATGGAATCCTCTGCAAATGAGGCGAAGAATTCGACTCCTGACCCACACCCGGCGCACGCATTACTTCGAGGCAAAAGCGAGCAGTGGTCAGGCCGATCAGCGTCACGATTTTCGACACCTCGCAGCAATGAGCCCAAGGTATCAACATATGGCGGATGAGCCAAGATGAAATGGTTTCCGCCCGTTCTCGACCGTCTTAGCTGAGCTTGGGGAATTTGCTTGTCTCATCCACTACCGGGGTCTGTCTCTTTCCGCCACAGCAACCTTCTTGTCACCGTGACTGATGAGTCAAGACCGCTCTTAGCTGCCTCCGCTTAGCTCTTGAGGACTCCATCCTGTGCATCGATGATGTAGACTCAACGCACTCCAATCACTGAAGCGGGACAACGCTTCCCAAACGCTGCCATTGACCCAGCAAAATGGTCCTTTAGCCATGGCTGCTTGCCTGTGGAAAATTTGCCCACAATATTTTAGTTGGCGAGGAAGTGGAAAACTTCATGCGAAGCGTGTGTTGCTGTCGACAAGGATTTTAATAAGACCCTCTAAGACGTCCCCCGGTCCAACAGCGGGTGTGCTACCTCTGTGCCATAGTACCTCCCGGCATACCACCCATCGAGCACGTACGGACCACTAGAATGTATTTCGACAATTTTTTGGATCCAAAGAGAGGCGAGCCCAGGAATGGAGACTTGGCTGGGGCCCGCGCCGGGATATGGGCTGTTTAGACCGTATAACACGCAGTCTTTCCCGATCGAGGCAAAGCGCGCCTAGGCCATGGCAGAGCCAGAGCCGTCGGGCATGAGGAAAACCTTCTTCGATGTCGTCACGGGATTACCCTTAAGTCGCAAGATTAAACGCACTTGTTTGCTCGCCAGTTTTTCGTTGCTTTCGGTGCTAAAGGCCCGCTTTCCAGTTTGTGGCTTGTGAGCGTTGGAATTGGGCGAGACCTCAACAGCTTTGACACCCTTATCGCCTTTGTGTGCAGCGCCGACTTTCTTCAGGCGGTCAATGAAGTTTTGCACGGTGTCGACGCTTTGGAATTGGTCGACTGGCAGAGACAAGCATGTCGCCCGGGCGATTTGATCACTGAAGGCGCGTGCTAAGATGCGGTCGATACCCAGATCTGCGATTTCGGCATCATTTTCGAGATCATTGAGAGGAATCCACGCTTCTTCGAAAAGAATGTCGAGGAACTTCTGAAGGTTCATACCGACTTGTAAGCCCATGCTGGAACGATAGTTCGTCGGATTCCAAGGAAAGAGACACTGGAGTATGACAGCAACCCAGAAAACACCTCAAGTCCAGGCTAGGCTGTTTCTGTCGGTCCTTTTGGCCTTCGCCCCAGGTACGCGGAACATTTCGTGGGGAGTATCTGTCGGGGTCAGTCAGCAGGACCGAAACGCCTGACATTCAACTGCAGAGGTCATTGCCACCATTCTGCGTCAAATCTGAATTTGATTCGGAGCAAGTGCCGTCAAAATTCTACTGTCGCTTGCGTTAATCGGCTAGTTCGTGTCATCATATTCGTATATGCCACATGTAGGTGGCAATACATGAAGGTGCGGCAGCCTTGTCCACGTCCTCGGCGTATTGAAGCCATTTTGTATGTATCCTCAGGGGAGAAGCGGCTCCGAACCGAATGGAAGTGGCCAAATGCAATAGGCGATAAGTAAGTTCGTGGTTGGTAAGTCGACGGTGACGGGAGAAGTCGTCCAAACAGGCTTCCTTCCCGCTCTTGTGCCGTCTTGCCTGAGGCAACGAAGTCCCAACGCGTGATTTCCTTCCGCGTGCGTACAACTGGGAGCTTTTGCCTTCGCATCCACAGTACAGTACAAAGCACCTCCTAGCATTTCAGCTGGGAGAGCAATCATGATGTCAGTCTCATTCGGACACTCCAATTGATAGCAACGACGCGAACCACGATGCAACCTCATGCCGCAGAAGATGAACTCGACGACATGAACTTGCAGGATGCATCACTACTGTTCAAAAATACGGCGGAGCTGCGTATGCTCAGATACGAATACGTGGTTGGCAGCGGAGCCATTCACTCCGTGAATCGAACCTGTTGGAAGTGCGTATACGATCCCGAGAAGCGGCTCTCACAGTTCACGAAAAAGACTCTACGCAGGCATCCAGCGGACATACTCTATACGTGATGAGCCGAGATTGTGGCATGAAACGTACACGGCACGTAAACTATGGCTGACCACCTTGGCTGAGGATCAGCTATCTAGCCAACTGGAAGAGTCTCGCGGCCTAGGTGCACGAAAAGAAGGCCGTCGCGAAGGCCGGGCAAAAGAGATGCACGCCCTTACGCTCTGATGCGGAATATGGGCCTTATTCTACGCGCAGCCGTCTGTCACGCACTGTATTGGACTAGCACTACGATTGTCTGAAGCCTCTCGACGACTTCCACAAAGTTCGCAATACCGAGGGGCCCAATCTTAAGACTGAACCAGCGCGGGTGCAAACCAGCTCTGCCATTCACCTTCGATACGTGGGAACATGCCGTCGTATTCACAAGGGAGCCTCATCTTCGGCATATGGCAGCTATGCTTTCCATCTCCGTTGTTCGCCTGACGACTGATTCGGGGTAAGACTGCCGATGCGCCACCGTGCTGCTGCGAAAGAAATTTGTCTCTACACCAGTGCAGGTCTGTTCAGTATAGTGAAGACATTACACACCACACCTTAGAAATTTTTTTTACCGCGGACTCGGATCGATTCAATGTCGATGACTGTATTCAAAACCTGTCAGATGATCATTCACGAAGAATTTCGGGAACCTCCGTTGGCGAGGAAAATGTTGATCGAACTGGCAGACGCCGTCGAAACGTTCTGCTTGCGGTGGAAAAGCGAGGACGAAGGAGAAAGCGACATTCAAATCGTTGCCGAGACATTCTGCAAGAAAATCAGTGATGGGTGCCGACAATTGCAACGAGCCTCGTGGGGTGAGATCGTTTGAGTTGAGATCCCGATGCGAAGAACACCTCTTCTGTGCACAGATCAGCGTACCAGAATCATCGCATGTCGGAGTAGGGACTCGTAGTGCTTCGCACGGACTCCGCATGCTGCTGAGGCACAGTATCACGAGCCATGCGACTCAGGCAAATTTAGATTCTCCGCCTTGCGACTTCACTTCATCGATAGCACCCCTGTCTGCTTTCTGTTGCAACTTACGTCGAGAGTCTCGGGACATGCGAGCGTGCGAACAGTTCAAACAGATGGTGGTAGCATGGCAAGCTCCCGGAAAATAGGACGACGGCCGGACATCTCTTCCGAAACCATGTCTCTCCATGGCACACACTACGGACAAGAAGAGAATTAGAAGAACGGGCAAAGAAGCCATGGCGCTGGTGGAGCACACTGAACGGCAAATTTAGGTTGCCAACAAGCTTATCGGAACCTCTCGTGGTCGCGCAACGCTTCGGCCACGACCGACGCCATGCTACAACCTCGACGACACCACAACACCACAACGCCACAGGCTAGAGTCCGTGGTGGATGCGGCAGGACGATAAGGTAATCTGATTCGGTCGTCTGCTCATTTGGGATGGCCCGAAGAGATGATCCCAGATGATCTACTATCAGCGGCGCGAAGAGGACCCTGCCGAAGAAGATGTATGTGGAGAGATACGTTGATACGCTGCGATGGCTGAGAAGCTAAGATAGTTTGAGCGGCTCCCGGGAAAGACATGACGATGGCGGGCGATGAACGGCGGGGCTGCGCAGGCGCATGTCGATCTCTCCATCCATCGCACATGACTGCGTATTGAACGACAGGCCAAACACATGATGGCTCAAGTGATGCATGGCGAAGAAAGACTGGGATTGTATTTCTATTCGACCGCGTGATGTCGCTCTATAGAAGGCTGACGTTGCAGCGAACGGTCTGCACGAACGGCTTCGGTGACGCCGCCCTCGGCAGGATACAGCAGTGTGTGGTGGGTCTCGGCGTGCAGAATTCACTACATGTGCTTATCTGGGCACTTTTGACATCTGCGCTGCAACGCACCACACACAGCCATTTATCACAAGCTAAGAAGATGCGACATGGCCGCCTGCCTTCCTCTCCCGGCAAGCGCCTCATTTGGCTTCGTCCACTCAACGCAAAGCCGGACAAATGCCAACCACTCTCCTGGCAGGATTCAAGGGACGCCCTCCACACACTTTATCTATCTGGGTTTGCACATGCGTCCTGTGCGTCTTTCTCGGCGTCGATCTTTGCCCGACACTGTGTGCTGTTGCTTTGCCAGAGCTTAAAGTTCGGAGACAGGCACACGACCTGCTTGATTTCGACAAGGTCCGCACACGATCTCCAGGGCCCAAGGACGACGCCGTTCCGGTGATGTGCATGGACACGAGCAGAGCCACCTTTCAGGTGGTATATAGCATAGCCTTGCCGCAGGTATTACTGCTTTCCGCTTGCAGTAGGTGTTGCTTGACTGGTTCAGCGTGCTCAAGATGCATTTCTCTTCTTTGGCCGCCTTTGCGGCTCTTGCTGCTGTTGCTGTCGCCGCGCCGACCAACAACGTTCAACGACATGTCCTTCACGAGAGGCGGGATACCTCTTCAGCGCAGTGGACCAAGCGCGACCGCGTTCACAGCGATGTCAAGCTTCCCGTGCGAATTGGCATGACACAGACCAATCTGGACAAGGGACATGATCTCCTCATGGACGTGTATGTATCGTGTCGAGAAGCCCCTACAAGCGATTGCTGATGAGTAACACAGCTCCGACCCGGCGTCGAAGAACTATGGCAAGCATTGGAGCATGGAAGAGATCCACGACATGTTCGCCCCATCCAAGGACAGTGTTGATGCTGTCCGCTCCTGGCTTGAGAAGGCTGGCGTCGAGGCGCATCGCATCTCTCAGTCGGCCAACAAGCAGTGGATGCAAATGGACCTAAGTACCGCAGAGGCAGAGGCTCTCTTGCAGACCAAGTACCATTTCTTCGAGCATGCGCCTTCTGGGAAGGCCACTATCGGTTGCGACGAGTACCACGTCCACGAGGACGTCAAAGACCACGTCGACTACATCACCCCAGGTATCAAGCTCTACGCTACTCGCACAACTCGACCGCCTCCAATGGAGATCGAGAAGCGAACGTTTGGCATTGGTTCGGGCGTCAGACCACAGCCTCCACTCCTGGAGAGTTTGCCACTGCCCATAGAACAGATTGTCGACACTGCTGAGAATCTGTTGGGAGACCTCGCTCTTGGACTGTGCGACGTTGCCATTACTCCAAACTGCATCCGAGCAATGTACAATTTCACGCAGGCCACTACAGCCCAGCCTGGCAACGAGCTCGGTATTTTCGAGGATCTCGGTGACTACTACTCAGGACAGGATCTCGACGAGTTCTTTGCTCTGCTAGCGCCACGTATTCCTCAGGGTACTCGCCCAACTTTTGAGGGCATTGATGGCGCACCCAATGGTGCCAATGTAACGAACGCTGGACCTGAGAGCGACCTTGACTTCCAGATCTCCTATCCCATTATCTACCCGCAGAAGTCTGTCCTCTTCCAGACCGACGACCCAGTCTACGAGGCAAACTACACCTATGCAGGTTTCTTGAACAACTTCCTTGATGCCCTTGATGGCTCTTACTGCAATGCATCCGCAGAGACTCTCGACCCTCCATACCCACACGACGTGCCTGGCGGTTTCATGCAGCCCAAGCAGTGCGGAGTCTACTCTCCAACCAACGTTATCAGCGTCTCCTACGGTGGGCAAGAGTTCGACCTTCCAGCCTCATATCAGATGCGTCAATGCGCCGAATTCATGAAGCTCGGCATGAACGGCGTATCCATCTTCATTTCTTCTGGTGACAGTGGTGTCGGCGGACCTGCGGGCGACGACAACGCAAATGGCTGCTTGAATGCTACAGACGGCAGCAATGTCGGGAACGTCTTCTCGCCAGACTTTCCAGCCACGTGCCCTTATATCACCGCTGTCGGTGCCACTCTCCTTACCGGCTCTGCCAAGCAAGACCAGGAAACCGCCGTCACAAGATTCGCTTCCGGCGGAGGTTTCTCCAACATCTACGCCCAGCCAGCTTATCAGCAGAGTGCTGTCAACACCTACTTGACCGCGCACAAGCCCCCGTACCAATCCTACACCGGCCCTAACACTGGGCAAGGAGTGTACAACGCTTCTGGACGAGGCTACCCCGATGTCTCAGCGGTAGGAGACAACGTTGTCATCATCAATCAAGGAGCGCCTACCCTCATCGGCGGAACATCAGCTTCTTCGCCAGTCTTTGCTTCCATCCTTACCCGTATCAATGACGAGCGATTGAAATCTGGAAAGAACCCGGTCGGATTCGTCAACCCAACTCTGTACCAGAACCCGCAGGTCTTACACGATATCACGACGGGCGACAATCCCGGATGTAACAGTAACGGTTTCTCGGTAGCGACAGGATGGGATCCCGTCACCGGCTTGGGTACACCCAATTACCCGGCTATGTTGGAGCTGTTTATGGGTCTTCCTTAGAAATGAAAGGAATGAGGATGATGATTGAATTTTGGATGACTTGCTTCACGAATGTATGAAGATGATAGTAATGAATCTACCTCGAATTTTCAAGACGATTGAGATGATGAAGGATGGGAAATGAAACAAACAATTCCATCTAGTACCCTCCACTTCCCACACCCCTCACCCTCGAAAGCAAACTTGCCGGCCTAGAAGATCTGGACGAAGAAGCTGACTTAATAGAGCCAGCCGATGAAGAAGGTACTGCTGTCATCTGCGCATTTGTCGGCCTCCGGTGCAATCCCGTCACGCCGTTGATACTCATGACAGGCAACGCGGTACTTCTGAAAGCCTCATCTTCCAGCTTCCCAGCTGCCGTGTCCAAAAATTCCCTCACCATCTTCCGAAGCCTCTTCGTCTCGTGCAAGTGAACGCCCTTGTCGAAATTCGCCTGCCGTCGGAGGATTCTCGCGCTCGCAATGCCGCCGGGACAGAGATCGACGCCGTAGCCCGAGCGGAAGGACAGGCGGAAGAGATGGAGGGAAAAGTAGTGGATGGTCGCCACGCGGTCTTCTGCAGAGGCGTAGCGAGCCGCGAAGAAAGTCGTCTGCGCATCGCTCGATTCCGACCATTCGACTCCGAGCCATCGGAGACATTGTCTGATGGTTTGGATGAGCCAGGACAGGTCGGGATGCGTGAAGCAGTCGAGCGTTTTCTTGCGGAAACCGCCTGCTTTGGCGATTTTGTGGTTCGAAGTCACGAGTTGCAGCAGGTCGCAAGAGTGAGAGAGTAGTCTACCGTTGGAGACGTTCGCCATCGCGAATTGTGGGTCGAATTCCAAGGGCCATGGACCGGATGGAGTAAAACACACCGGGTCGATTTGGAGCCTCTGCATTTCTTGCCAAGGGACAGCGTCGAGGCCGAATTTCCAGAGCGAGAAGGCTCTGCCATCGTTAGGATCCAGGGTGGACTGCTTCGCAGACGCCTGTTCCGGTTGCGAGCGGACGTAGCTGAGGAAAGCCTTTGCTGCACCTCCGGTGATGATCTGGGGGTTGAGAATCGAGTCTCCAGCGTCAAAATTCCTACTGAGCCTTTCTTGTTCCCATAGCTTGGTGTCGGGGACCCCCTTTGCTGCTCGACATGCATCCTGGTCAGTTCGTATGCACTGATGCAAGCGATGCTTTGTCGAATCCTGGAAGAGAGGACTACGCTCGGCTATCGAGTATGCGAGCAATGCCTCGACCCTTCGATCGAGCAACGCATAGGTGTCACCCAGCCAGTATGCAGCAGCGCAGTCGCCAGCGTCCAACTGAGAAGGCTCTGTGATGGGTGCGTTCAACACAGAAACGAAGATGACCAGTGCTCGATGCCACTGCCCTTGAAGACTTGCAAGAACGCCCGTTAAATGTCGCAATCTTCGAGCCAGGCTTTGGTCGCCACGTTCAAGCTGTCTGTCCAAGTGGCTCGCGATCTGCTCTCCTGCATCAATCCAGCGACAGTCGTTCCAAAGCTTGACAATGGATGCGATACGCTCGTGTTCGGATTTGTGATCTGCGTAGACAATCAGTGCCATTCACGCTCGTGAGTTCGAGACAGCGTCAAATACCTGTGCCTGCATAGAATCTTGGGACCTCTTGTGAGTCGTGAATGCCAAGACCAGCAAGTTCGGCCTTCGGCGCCATGGTGGGCTCGACGTTTGGGTTGGCTTTCGGTTGCACGTATCTTTTGAGATCATGCGTGACGACTTCCAATCCCCCGATGCTCAGAGTAGGTTGGAGAGGCGTACTGGCTGTGCGTCTCTGTGGCATCATGTTCTCACTCTCACCAGTGTTATCAGGCACTGGCGATTTGGACCGGGGTGATCTTGACTTCTTCTCCCTCCCCCTGGTTTGCTGATCGTTTATTGATGTAATTTGAACACGTCCTGAGGTAAAAGTAGTGGTGTCTGGAATCCTTGTTGGCAATGCAACTCGCGCAGAAGTCGAGCTCATCTGCTGTAGGCCACCATAATCGGTCGCTGGATATTGCTGATCGGCATTATCAGTATCTATTGTAGGATCGGGGTTCACTACCCGATATCGAGATGCGACGTGTACAGCTTCGTGCTGCAGAATCATCGACGTCGCCTGGTCAATGTTGTGGGACATCGGGTCGACAAATGCGGATTTGTGCTGTTCCATGACACCCGGCATAGACTGTGAGCTCCTGTAGCCATTCGCTTTAACTGTCCCACACGGCGCTGGTGTTATGGCTTTCTCCTTTGTCAATTCCTGAGTCCCGCTGCTTAGGCTCGTGTTGTCGGAGATCATGCTCAACTGGCCGCGACGGAATGAGAACGGCGTAGATGCCGTGCTCACGTTTCTTCGGGGGTCATCACTTGCAGTGGACGCAGAGGGCGACCGAAAGATGGGAGATGATGTCGGGTGAGCATGTGACGCCTCCAACAGTCCCGCAGTGCCTTTTTGCCCTTCCAAAGCAGCGAGAGAGTCTGAGAGCTTGCTCGTGACTGATTCAATCAGTGTAAGGAAGTCCGACACAAAGCCTTCGTCTTGGGTCTCTCTTGTGGTCGCACTGCGATGGTGCTGCAACGCGAGATCAAGTATGTTCAGGACATTCTTGCTTTCACCCGCGGCTTGCAGCACACGAACATCTTCATGCTGGGTCGGAGCCTCGTCAAGAACCTCTTCGGCCTCTTCCAACTTGTTGCGGAGTCTTCTCAGGCTTCGAGCTATCGCTTTGGACCCACTCAACTGCTCTTGACCTGGAGCAACGTCAGCGCTTGCGATAGTAAGTGGAAGCGGAGAAGTTCTGGCATACATCGGCAGTAGAGCTTGTTTGCTAACGAGTGTACGCTCTGGAGATCTACAACCGTCGCGAGCGTAGTCATGGCAGGCCATTCGCCTTGATATAGTTAGCCATGCACGCTTACGCAACGTTAGCGGCACCTCTGATCGAAAGATTAACGATAGGACCAAGTACTGGAATGGTGATCTTGGTTCTTAGAGGAGTCGTAGTAGACTGTGATGTGCCGACAGAAAGTGCTGGGGGGTGCTAGGTAACGAAGAGAGTAGGCAAATCGGCAGCACAACAAGGGTGCAGGGTACGCAGTCGGACTGCACGACAAGAGGCGGTCGAGAGTATACCGTCGGTCAAACCTTGCACATCCTCTCAAGCCTCGAGCCAGGCTGATCGAGCCCAGATCGAGCTGAGCGGGTCGGCTACGGACCAAGAGGCTCAGTAGCAGACATGCGTAGTCTTGTCACGTCAGACTGTGCTCTTCCTTCCAACCTTCGTTCCGTGAAGCTCTGCGAATAGCAACGTTGGTGCCACGCCACCATGCGGTATAACGAGGCCCCGCAAGTGAGAGGGAGTCTATCTCAGCATGTGACAGAGAGCCACAAGGCTCTGCATTTCAAGGGGGCGTAGGCAGCCACAGCGCTCGCCTGGAAACGCCATGAAGGCCCAGTGTATGAGTCCAAGCTCTGAAATTCGTCGCGGCGACCGAAAGTGCTCCATGCCGAGAGAACAATGAGTGTTTTGTCCTTGGTCTGTAATGTTGCTGTATGCAAGACTGGGAAGTGAGAGTTTAATCCACTAAGCTCAACGTGGCCTAGTACGGAGTGCCAAGATCGTGATATACAAATTTATCCACTCGTCGCAGGCTTCGGCCGTGTTTCTCGACACAACATCAACTTCACCGTCTACTTAGGCGTCCACACGAATCCAACATACAGCACACGACTGCGCGCATACGAGGCGCTCATGGTCTTCTATAAGTCTTATCGGCAGGCGAGCTGATACACGTCAGAATGCAAGACGCTGTGAGGCTGTACCACTGGTGAAGACGCCATATTATTATGAGGCCGCCGAGAAAGAAAGTCTGGCACGCGACGCAGACAGCTGTCTTGAGCCATTTGTTTCGCGAGGAAAAGGAGCGCCGTGGCTTGCTGCCGCAATCTGGCCCAATCGGAAAGCGATTCAACGTTACTCCATGCAAGGCTGTGTGTACGCCCTCGCGGAAGTACAAAGTCTCGACCATGCATCACTCAACATATGATGACCGTGCACAGCGTAACTTCCACGTTTCACGCGGACGACTTCCGGGATGTTCAACCTACGGGAAATAGTCATGGATCTCAACGTCCTGCGGGAATCACAGCCTTGCAGTGACAATTGGTTTCGCGAGCGATTCCCTCTCTCTTTCCCTGAAGAAGGATGAACAAGTTACTCACAACTGGATTCTGTATCAAGTCAAGGCTTCTCTCCGCGAGTCCTCAAGCGTCTCTTCAGAGTGTAGTAATGCTGTTGCGCTAGGAGACCGCAACTCTGGAGCTTGCAGATCCACAAGGGAACTGTCGAGCCTTGCACGGCTGAAGCACATGCACGAGCTACATTTATGGAAACTGTCAGAGCATGTCTCGTGCAAGGCGGCGCAGGAGGACTGCAGTACTCAATGCCCAGCCCGCCGATCGGCAGAGGCGGGATTTGGAGCCAGCCAGACAATCCCTGACTTGCTTTAAGGGAGGCCTGATGCCTTCGTGTGCAACGCATTCTTCTTGCTCCTCTTCCGCACCCCGGATGTCGAGATATCACTTCCGAGCAGACCCCGAGAGCATATCACTCATAACAATGGATCCTCATGAGAAGCACGTCTCGACGACTGAATATCATTCAGAGCCTCACTCTGCTCCCGAAGCAGCAGCCCTCCCACACGGCTGGAAACACAAGCCGATCTTTCGCAATCTGCCTCACTATGCCTCTCCTCAGGTTCAGCTCACGATTGTGGCATTCGTGTGCTTTCTCTGCCCTGGTGAGTCCGTTCAGGCAACGTATAGAACGTATACGTCGTGGGGCGTTCGCTGCATTCTTGGAAAAATCATGGCCGCTATTGACAAAGTCTAGGCATGTTCAACGCCCTTAATGGCCTTGGCGGCGCCGGTCAAGTCAGCGACAATGTCTACATCAGCGCGAATGGCAACAGTGCTCTCTACGCGACCTTTGCGGTGGTTGGATTCTTTGCAGGAAGTGTAACGAGTCAGTACAGCTACAATTATTCCTCCTCTCTTCCTCCGATATCTGCTGACATAGCCCTAGATGCGCTTGGTGTGAAACCCGCTCTGTGCTTTGGCGGCATAGGATATTCGATCTATGTCTCTTCGTACATCTGCTATTGGTACACGAAGAACACAGGATACGTTATCTTCTCCGGTGCCCTGCTGGGCGCCTGTGCAGGCGTGCTTTGGAGCGCACAAGGACAGATTATGATGTCCTATCCTCCTGAAGCCGCGAAGGGTCGATACATTTCTGCATTTTGGGCTATCTTCAACCTTGGAGGTGTCATTGGAAGCTTGGTATGGAGCATGAGCTGCGACACATAGAGAGGAGGGGAGGCAAGAAGCTGACCACGTCCAGGTTCCCCTCGCACAAAACATACATGGGTCAAGTACCGGCGGAGTAAATGTGGGAACCTACATCGGCTTTCTCGTCCTCACCTTTGCTGGCGCATGCTTAGCTTGGATTCTCGTGGACGCCAGACAAGTCGTGCGAACCGACGGGTCCCGCATTATCCTTATGAAGAATCCTACCTGGAAGTCCGAGCTAATGGGCCTATGGGAGACCCTCTTCACGGACCCATATATCCTATGCCTATTCCCCATGTTCTTTGCCTCCAACTGGTTCTACACCTATCAATTCAACGATGTCAATCTATACTTCAATGTACGCACCAGGGCTTTGAACGACGTTCTCTACTGGCTAGCCCAAATCTTTGGAGCGATTATCTTTGGTTATGGTCTGGATTCGACGAAGCTTCGACGTACGTCTCGTGCCATCATCGCTTGGTTTGCACTTCTGGCCCTGACATTCGGTGTCTGGGGCGGAGGTTATGTCTTTCAAAGAGGCTACACTCGAAATGATATCGATAAGAATGGTCACGTCGGTGGTGGCGGCGACTGGAACGACGACGGTTATGTTGGACCGATGTTCTTGTACATCTTCTACGGGTTCTATGATGCAGCGTGGCAGACTTGCGTCTACTGGTAAGCCCCACCTCCAAATGCACACCTCGCCTCATGTTGACTTTCATCAGGTTCATGGGAGCTTTGACAAACAACGGTCGAAAGCTCGCCAACTTTGCTGGATTCTACAAAGGTATTCAGTCCGCAGGAGCTGCCATTGTCTGGCGCCTTGATGCCCTCGACGTTCCATACATGAACTTGTTTGCTTCTTGTTGGGCGCTACTCGCGGCAAGCCTTATCATTGCGGCACCCGTGATGGTCTGGAAGATCAAGGACACTGTCTCTCTGGAAGAAGATCTCAGATTCACCGACGAAACGGCTGAAGATGTGATACCACGGGCGATCCCGACGGGGAAGCACGGACATATCGACGATTTTGCGGACAGGGATGCTGTGTGAAATGTAGACCACTCAGGCTTTTGCGGCTGACTGCGCGAAGAGACTCACTTCTTCACGTCACCAACTTGACAGTCCAGCAGTAACATGTAATCTGGCTTATTCACCATCACTGTCCCTTCCAATTCAGCCTTCTTCACCGCCTCCAGTGCCGTGACACCACTAGCCCAGAATACTGGCACAACCTCGCTCGTCCATGCTGCATCTCCGAATGGTTTGCCATCCTTCGTCAAAGGTGCGTCCCCGTATGCCGGAGTATTGATGTCTTCTATCCCGAGACGGTCTACTGCTCCCCAGCCCCAATCAATCGGTTCTCCATGAGTGGCTACAAAGGGAGCAGTAATCTCTCGCACTCTACCGATCTCCGCAGCAGAGTAGGCTCGCATGGAGACCACAGTCGGGGAGTCGTAGAAGATGCCCGAAGGGTACAGGTGCTTCTTCGTCGCCACATACAGCGGTGCAGAAGGCTGGCGCGGAGCAAGCCCTGCCTTCGCCAGATCCGTAACGAAAGTAAACGAGCTTCCCGTCAGAAAAGCCACATGGTCTTGCCATTCCGCCCTGATATCTTGCACCACTTCTTCTCCGACGACTTTCCCATCTCGGTAGACCGTGTACTTCGGCACGTCTCGCCTCAGATCAAACCCGGGCGTGGTCCGGATGATTTCGTCGTGTTCCAGATTCGGCAGATGGCTCTTGAGACTATCGTATCCGCCCTCTGCGATCAGCGGCAGAGCTACTGGGTTTCGTAGACATAATCGCCGGAAGTCCTGGGCGTAGTGAGATGGCTTGGAGGGGAGGACGATCAGATTGGCTTGTACGTGACCCGGCGCGAGGCCTGATGTTGGGGCTGTGAGGGTATTTTCTCGAGCTGCGCCGCGGGCTGAGACGCCGGTTCGGTGAGTCGAAGACATTAGGTGCTGATGAGGAAGGGGTTTGATGTGGGGGAGTGGAGTGGGGTGGAGAGGTGAGGTCAAATATAGGCTTTGGGGAAGGTTTTGTAGGGAGTGAGGGGTCTGTCACTTGATGAACAGACTCTCCGCTGGAGGTTCGGCATTGCCCGATGTCCATCAAAAATGTGAAATTTAATGCTCGATATAGATATCCCAATGGTGCAGTACAGTCTGTTTACTTCCAAGAATGCTAAGTGTCATATTGATCACACATAGATCTCCAAAAGAGCAGTTCCACGCGAGAAATAGCCTTTGAACCGTCCAATGTCCCCTTATATCCTGCAAGCAGAGCGAAATTGAAGCCCTAGGCCAAGTAGGGGAACGCTAGCACTCATGCCGAACGGGCTCCTTTGTAATATCGCATGTCGGCAGGTAATATCGGGGTGTTCGAAGAAGCTCTGTCGAGGAACATTCACTAGCACGTTGCACGCCGTTAGCGCTAAATATCCAGAGCCTCGTTGAGCTTGAGCAGCTCCCAAGAACCCGCATCCTTGCGAAAATGTTACACCTTTTGTCCACATTATGATATCTTCCGTAACGACAGCATACGCGCCATCTCAGTGACAATCTCGCCAGTTCTTCGGACAGATGTAGCGCTCGGGTTTCTCCTGCGAACTGGACCATCGCCGGTATAGATGTGGTGCAACAGCTGGCGAATCCTCAACGCCACTCAGGGCGTGCATAAGACTTTCAAATTTCAAGTCTGCTACGGAGTCGTTCGTCTCGTTCAGGTCGTTGCTCCTCGCGACCGCAAGCAGTGTGTTGTACTCTGATCTCGGGAGCTCGTTTCGCGAAATGAATGAGCTTCGAACCGTTCGAGACGAACGAAGCGTGGGCTGATGATATCTTGGCTCACGCACTTGATCTACTGAAACTTGGGTGTTGGCCTCCAGTGAAGGCTCGAGCCTGGTGTTGGATGACTTGCCGGCCGTTGGTGTTGGCAACATCGGCGCACTTGGTCCAACCGCTTCATCCTGAGAACTATGATGCTCATCATCGCTGGCTTCTGGCGTCGATTCTTCTGTCGAGCTTTGACGTTCTGGTTCTGGCGGCGCTTGGTCTTCGTTAGAGGCTTTATTTTCGCACATACAAAGAGGGATCCCCCTGTCCTCATCGCCGCCTAGGGTATCTCTTTTCTCTGCTCCAGCATCTAGACGATCGACAATGTGGGCCCCTCGGTCGTCTCTTTTTCTGAACGAACCCAAACGGCCTTGGGTCACGAAGATGCTGCAGTCGATCCGCACAGCGCAATGCTCATCGTACCTCTCTCCAAAAGCTTGCCAGCCTAGTTTCGCAGGCTGCACGAAGTGTCCCTCGCGGCGCGCGATCGCGAGCTGCACCAGCAAGTATTTCTTGTCCCACTCAGCTGAGCCGATACATGGGTCTACACGAAACGGCTTCTCCCTTGGCATGTTGCCACATTCCCGCTCTGGTTCACAGCCGTCCCATTTATTTACCAGTGTCTTTATCCAGCTGTGCCCCGTTGAACTCCGTGCCGCAGGATTGTTCAAAGAATACCGTATTCTTACAACGTCTCCTGTCTCCAAGGTCCATAGCGTAGACGCCTTCATGTTCCACTGATGGAGCACAAGGACTCTCGGAGATGGGCTCGCCGCCATGTGGTATGCTACTTCAAATGGTAACTCGCAACTTTCAAGCTTGGGAAGCCGAGCAAGCTGTTCAATAACCAATGGGTCGTACGCCATGTTCTTGGCTTGATTGGCATTCCTCACGATTGATAAATTCCGGATCCGCGATCTCACGGCATCCTCATCCATCCCATCGATCATCTTGAGGAAATGTGGATATCCGGCCTTTAAAGGCAGACAAAGCGTATGCTCCTTCCAAAAGTCTTCGATTCTTATCCCTTTCACGCTTGTTGGGCGACGTTTGACCCCGGAACAGCGTTCCTCGCATTGATAGAAATTGGAGGGATGAAAAACCTCCCCTGGCGAAAAGTGCCCGCAGATATGTTCCCCTAGCATGTGGACGTCATTCTTGACATATTGACCGAGGTGCTTGGTATCAGTGAAGCGAGCCACCAAAGAACCTTGTGAATTGTAGAGAGATATCGTTGAGCAAGCAAAAAGACGCTCGCCGTTCCGATGACGGTGCATTCCGCCGACACGGCCACGCATATGGCTAAGAGCAGTCATAATGCAGAGAGAAGTACCGGATTTTGGGATATTGGAGTATCGCAGTATCGTCAACCGCAGAATTCTGTATGATTTAAATCGCAGTTGCCAAGAAACCAGATTTATCCTCGGAATTGACACGATATTGTTCAAGCGATCAGCGTCGATGCCAAGTTAGGGATAACCGGATCTCAGACCAAATTTATTCCAGATGTCTTGAATCAAGAGACCAAATATTTCATTGCCTGCGGCGCGCCAGAGATGACCTTTCTAAGTGCCAGAACTAGCATCCAAGATTTTACTTAGCCAACAGCTGTGATCAAAACTTTGGATTTTGGAATGGCAGTGTCAAGAAAGTCTCGCCGTTGACCTCTTGAACATGCGCCAAGGCGAAGGGAAGGAAGAAGAAAGAGGTGGGCAGCCAGCTCCCGTCCTCATATAGAAAGCAAGGTCAGGAGAGCACAGCTGGATTACATCTTATGATTTTTATATTCGTCCGCTTGCTTGATGTGAAATCCAAAGTGCACCCGGTGAGTAATCGAGGTCCACAAAGAAGCTTCGAAAAGCGCTCATAGCCACCATTTAAAATCCTGCTCTCTGGCTGGTGGCTGATTTTGGGAATTTTTTGACTCGTTGATATTCATGCAGCCGAAATTTAGTCTGAGGAAGCAGTACTTGGTCTCTGGAGGTGCTCGTTCCCATGGCGAGGATTAACTCATGATCGTTTCTTCATTCGAATAGAGACCGTGAGGTTCGAGGCACGTACCCGGGAGAGAGCCTTTGCTTTTGAACATTGTCGTTGGCGCGAGTCTCGAGATGCGAAGACAAATCCAGTTCCTACACTATCAGCGTCCGTGATGCGTTGGATCGAGCTTGGCAATGACATGGAAAAAGAATGTTCGAAATTCTTGAGGTCCTGGAGGCAGAAGTCCGATCGAGCCATGGATGGAGCATTCCAATATAAATTCATTTCCCAAAGACTGTCGATACAGCCACGAGCTGCTCTGCCGTGAGCTGCGCCAAGACACAGATGTAATGCTACAGATTGCGGACTGCCGCGAATTAGAGAACCTGCTACACACAAATGGTCAGCATACAGCTTCCGGCTTGTCATGTAAAGTTTAAAGTACCCTCTGTCGCTTCCGACCCGCACCACCACTGCTGCCGGCCTCTGCTTGACGCTGGCTGCGCTTCTCTTGCTGATCGAGTACCAAGGTAAGAACGTCGAAACCGAACTGTGGAAATTCGAGACACATGCGCTTGAACTCTTGCTCGGCTTCGTGACGTAGAACATGCGATCGTGTGGCCCAGAAGTTTGCGACTGGCTTCCGGATGTTCTCGTCGTCGGGGCTGGTCTCCTTGTAGACGAAGCGTGCGTACGCGATCTCGCCCTTGGCAGTAGAGGATGTGAGGTGGATCTTCCTGTGCGCAAGGCCCGCCAGAGCCGGCAGAGCCCACCGCGTTGCCAAGTTGTAGACTCTAGCGTGGCGCAAAAGACCAACACCCTCGTTGTCTGGCTGTGGGACAGTTGGGTCGTACTCTAGTGTGGTGTTGCCGGAGAGCGTGGGGAAATAGTCGCCCTTGTAGAGATACTCGAGTACGGATGATGTTGCTGCTATGTCTTCGCTCGAGAGGTCGATACGGCGGCGTGAGTTGGCTCCGAATTTGGCGCATTCCTGCTGAAAGAATGGAGCAGCCGTGAGAAGCGCTTGGTGCGCAGAGAGGACTGCTGAATCTTCACCCCGACCAACAGCCAGCTCGACAATCGGCGAGCGCAAGTAACTACACGAACCAGCGTCAGGTGTTTCAGCTCCACTTCAAGGGCTGTAATGGGATGGCGCTCACTCTAAGAAGGTGGTGCGCGTGGGCACAACTGGCTCAATGTCCTCAAGTCCGCCCGGTGCCGTCCCATCGCCGCCATTCTCCTCTACTTCGCCCATCTCTTCGTCCGCTGCGGTCTCATCCTCAGGAATGACAACCTCGGTCTCTGGATTGGCCATAGCGGTGCGGCAGTGCTACGGGTCGAAATGGAATGTGAATCGAGCTGCGCGCAGTTCTGTAGAAGCTAGCAATCAGCCGAGGAGTTCGACGAGTCGACCGAAAGGTAAATGAATGTGATGCGACCACGATTTGATCCACTTGGGGGTGACGGATGAAGGTATCGCGGCTTGGAGGAGTTGTCGCAAAGGAGAGATTTGTTGTGCTCGAGAGGTCAGCAAGATGGCTGGGAAGCTCTGACCATATGCGGGCCGACGACCGACGGGCGCTAGTCCTGTTCCTAGCACTCAACTTTCACCTCACTCACATTCACTCATGACTCTTGCACGGCGTATCTTCTGCGGACACATACTGACATGACCGCCTACCAAAAGCGCCATCACATCACGTAAAGGAAGACTTCTATCAAACAGAGAGTCACGGCAGCAAGGGACCCAAAGGTTTCCAAGGCCCTTCTTCAAGAGCAAGGCGAAGTACTCCTGACTCCAGGAACGCCTGTTGGAATGTTCACATACTGAACACACTATTCAAGCCGGTGTGAAGGTGCTAAGCTGTATGGGTGCTCGCTGATTCAAACTTGGTAGAGCTTTCCGCGATACGCCAGAATCGTCAGATGCGTCGTCTCCATTGAGTGTCTCTGATCAAGCACCAGTGGCATGCTTGGAAATGGCAATCGCTTGGTTTTCAACGCCAACGCCCTGCTTAGTTGGCCAGCATCCACCTTCTCAACGCAGACTAGCCGAGACTTGATCAACAAATTCCTCAACCTGCAGCTTCTGCGTGATAGGGAGTAGTGCGGTGACGCGTGGAGACGTGGGCAACCAGCACGTCGCGCCAGCTGGCTTGGCTAAGGACCTAAAAATGAGGTGATCAATGCCTCCAAAGCGATATGCTCTCGTGTCTTCTTGTCACCCTCACGATTTTGGCAGCATTGCTTGGGCACGGTGAGCACAATGGTGGCGCTTCTCCCAAACATCATCTCCATGATGGATGAGAACCACGCTATAGGTCAGCCCGTCTAGATGACCATGAGCTAGAAACGCTGACCCTCGTTGCAAGGCTACTTCAATATCTACCTACGGTGCAGGCATTGTATGTACACCCCACTTCGACCGCCTCGCCAATAAAGGAGTTCATTTCGATCATTGTGATGTAACATCTCGATCTGTACGACAAGTCGTGCTGCGATCCCGACTATCATGCAAAGCCATGCCAATGTAATGTTCACCCTGGACGACGAGCTTGATACCCAGCAGCCAAATATGGCCAAGTCAATGCGCATGGGTGGTTGTCAACTGCGATCTACAGAAAGTGGCATCTGGGTAAATTTTAGCAATACCAAGTGTTATGCAAGGTCTTTGTGCTGAAAGTCGGTTTCTGCGATGTAGGGCAAGGTCACAAGCACCAGCCGACCGGATTCGAGGAGTGGTGCCAGGACGAAACAGGCTACTGAGATAAGACCGAGGAGGGCATTATGGGAGGCAATGCGTTGCGAGTTTTGCGATTGGGAATGACAGCGCCATCGCGAGCTCACTTCATGCGACGTACAGGTTTTCGAACACCTGGAGTGCATATTCTGGGGCTGCGGGGCTCCACGACGATCATGCTCGATTAAACGACGAGCGACTGACGTCCTGTTCGCTGATTGGGGATGAGGGGTCCAGAACGTTTCTGAAATAGAAGCCGTCGGTCTGCGTCAGTCAGAGAAGCTGCTGAGGGCAGAAACTGATGCAGTGAACCACTGAGCGATATCTGAGGAACAACATGGATTTCAGTGAGTCTTACCTACCACACGCCTTTGATATTGTGCTTTGCAGCTCTGCCTAGCCGCGCGGTACCGTACTGAAAGCATTCCGGCAGTCCAGTTGCCGACCACGATTCTCCGAGCATGAGCTTCACCACGCCAGGGGCGCATGTCCAGATTCGAGCCATTCCGTGTCCGTTGAAGCCAGCACAAATGTATTGCCCTTCTTTGCCCTGCAATGGTCCTACCATGGGCACGGAATCTGGAGTCATAGCGATAATACCCGACCAGTAGTTGTCTGCACCCTCGCCGTGCCTCTTGATCTTACTCCCGCCATCGAACAAACTCTCAAATGCTTGCTCGGCGGTCGATGCTACTTCTTCATTATAGGCCGTATCATCGAATGTTACGATCGAGTTCTTGGTGTCGTCGCTCCAGGTGTCGTTTTCCCGCGACGTGCCAAACACAACAGTGCCGTCGCCAAGCCTCTGGATGAACGAGAAGAACTGTCGAAGGCTATAACGCAGCGACATTGTGCTGCTAAGCGCTTTCTCGCCGGACAATGAGGCCGAGGGCACAAAAGAGTGTGCTTGAGCTCTGTTCGGCGTAACGAATTTGGCCAGTTCGGGTAGGAGATGGGCGCAGTACGCGTTTGTGCAATGCACCACGTTCTCCGCTGCAACGATTCCTCTTGGTGTGGCGATGTTCCATCTCAGACCATCGCTTCCTGGGTGATGCTTCGAGATCTCGGTCGCAGGGCAGTGCGTAAACAATTGCACGCCCTTGTCAAGAAGCCTGCTCAGCATCCACTGCGTAAGTTTAGCCGGATGGACCGATCCAGCAGGCCACTCATACGCCGCGATCGCGCCATCGACCTTAGTTCTGCTCTTCGCTTCTTCGCCCTCAAAGAACTTAACGTGCGACACGTCGCCTCCAGCAGTCCTATACTTCTCCAAACTGTCCTTCTCGTACGCCGCGAACTCTTCCGTCAAGCAAACATCAAACGTCGTCGTCGAATTCAAATCGCATGGTACCTGGTGCTCCTTGACGAAAGCATCCACTTGCTCGAAAACCAGTTTTTCATTCTCGACGATCTTCTTGGCTTGTTCTTCGCCATGAACGCGAGCGTATGCAGCGAACCCTCGGAATGCGTCGGGGCGGCAGTGGCCTGCGTTACGGCCCGAAGCACCTGAAACTGCTTCTCTGGCTTCCAGAACGAGGATCTCGTTTCCGGGTATGCCGCGTTCGATGAGAGACCAGGCTGTCAATGTTCCCGCGAGGCCGGATCCAATGATGAGATATTTGGCTTGCGATGGAACGGGAGAGTCTTGGTTGTGGTTGAGGTATGGGAAAGCTCTGGTTGTGCGATGCCAGTAGGACAGGCACGGATTGGCGACTGGAAGAGACCTGTATCCGCCATGATTTATCGTGACGGGTTCTTTCGGTCGCTCTAGTGAAGTGCTTTCTAGCGAAGGGCTTGTTACTGTATCATCTGTGGCGTGAGGGGCCATGGTAGCGAAGTTGGTTCTGGCAGAGCTTGATCAGTGATACAGATGCCAAACAAGGTGCACTTCGAGTCTCGAATACTTGCTGAAGATAGCTTGGGTCGATGGTATAGATCTCGTCTCGAGATCAGGTGAGGCGACGTCGGGCATAGCTCGAGTGTCGTCTTACCAGATTGAGTTGGCCGAGCGGCGTTCTTGCGGCTTGTCTTCAGGGTTGTACACGGCCTATCGCCGCCACCTTCCCTACCACCACCCCAGTGTATTGCCAAGACCCGGATAATGCCTCCAACTACCTTGCTAGTCTAGTACCACTGCTATATGGCTGGCACGCATCCGCTATCGGGTGAGCAGCGTTGGCAGCTGATATGCGTGCACCCGAAAATAATGCCACTACACCTCAACTTCCAGGACCTTCGTCCTCTCTGCTCCCCAACGAGTCGCCCTCTGAGTACGGCACCATGAGGCTCTTCAGCAAACGTCCGGCATTCCCGGCTCCATCTCCAGAGCGAACCGAAGAAGAGCGAGCCTTCGTTTTACGACTCGATATCTTTCTCCTGACTTTTGGCTGCATTTCCCAGGTGATCAAATACCTGGATCAACAGAACATCAACAATGCCTACGTCTCTGGGATGCAAGAGGATCTCAACCTCCATGGGAACGAACTCAACTACTTCACTACGGCTTTCAATGTTGCATACTGCATCATGCTCGTCCCTTCGCAGGTGATAATGACATACGTTCGGCCTTCGTGGTGGCTACCGGGTCTGGAGATCGCCTGGGGCGTCATGACTGGATTGATGGCTATGGCAACTTCAGCGAAGCAAGTGTACATTATTCGGGTCTTTCTGGGGGCATTTGAGTCGAGCGCATGGCCTGGTATGATGACGCTCTTCATGCATTGGTATACTCCCACGGAACTGGCCAAGAGGATGGGGTTCTACCATTCCTGTCAGGCGATCGGAAACATGCTGTCTGGGGCGTTGCAGGCTGCTATTATGGGCACTATGGACGGGCATTCAGGACTTGCTGGATGGAGGTGGTGAGTTTATGACATGCAGTCAACGATAGGGCATGTTCTGACGATAGAGAAAGGCTTTTCGTCGTCAACGCCATCATTACCGTGGTCTGGGGTGTCTTTGGAATCTTTATGATCCCGGACTATCCCAACAAGAGAAATCCGCAAGCTTTCTGGTTCAGCCGCAATGACCAAGAACTCGCTATCTCAAGACTGATCAGGAACAAGAGGGCAGAGCCAAAGAAAATCACTTGGGCTGCAGCGAAGCGATGCTTTTCTTCTTGGGTGGTGTACTTCGTCACGGTGCTCTACGATGGCATTGTTCTTGCTACGTACGGCTATGTCTATTTTAGCTTGTTCTTGAAAGCGCAGAAGAAGGCCGATGGGTCTGACAGATGGTAAGACGAGCTTGCTCCAGGGTTAAATCTCACTAACGTTCTCCCAGGTCCACGGAGGAAGTCAACATCATTCCCGTTGGAGGAGGTGCAATCAATGTTGTATTTGGTAAGAATTTGGCTCTGGTGATCCTAGAAGCAAAGGTGGCTAACTCTCGACAGTCTGGATATGGGCCATTTTATCCGACATGTTTCAGACTCGCTGGGTTTTTATTGTAGCGCAGGGTGAGTCCGCAGCACTTTCGCCGGCCCTCACGATTTTGTCTAACACATCCTAGGCGTTATCGGCCTGGTTCCTTGTATAATCATGAGCATTTGGACCAGCCATCCCTCTGCTGTACCACTATCCGCAGCGGTACGTATCCTGCTCTAGAAGTTCTCATGTTTACTGAAACTGACTTGTACCAGTATGCTTCCTACTTCATCTCATACATGACCCTCGGAACCGCACCGCTCATCATGGCCTGGCTCTCAGACCTGTAAGCAAGTCCCTTCCACAAACACCATAATCGCTCACTCACACGATATATGCAGTATACCCCAAGATCCCGAAGTCCGCTCCCTGACGGTAGGCGTCGCGATCGCCTGTTACTACGCTATCTCAGCTTGGAGTCAAGTCCTCGTATGGCCTGCAAGTCAGGCACCGTATTGTAAGCAACGTCTCTCTCCTCCCCCTTTTTTTCTCTTTTCCCTCAAACATCTAATGCCGCATTCTACAAGATGAATACGCCTGGCAATCCTGCATCGCCATCTGGATCCTCTGCATCATCATGACCTGCATCCTCCGCTTTGTCGATGTGAAATATCTCCTGCCCAAACGCCTTGCTTTCGCGGCGGGTATTGAAAGCGGAGAGGTGGAAGTCGCCGGGCATACCGTTGATGATGTGTTGAAGGACGGCGCAAGGATTGAGATTGAAGGGCACAACGTCGATGACGAGGGATTGAAGAAATCCGCTCATGTCAATGGTAAGGTGGTTGAGGCGAATAAGAATGGCGGAGCGCTCGGGTGGGAGTCGTAGCCTGCCATGCATAGATGAACAGCGAAGATGATAGAATTCAACAGGGCGTTGTAGTACAGACTTCTGACGCTTTGGTTCTCGCTCCCAATTTCAAGACGGTCATTGCCTTGCTACACACTGTTCATGCCTTCTCATGGTTTTCCAGCATCTTCTCCATCATAGCCCTACATATCGGATGGTAGAAATCCCGATTCTTCTCAAACGTCTCCTTGGCCAATGCCATGTCGCACTTCATCAACTCCCTGAAAAGCGGTCTCACGAATTTCATCCTGCCAACTTCACCCAGGAGCTTGGCGGTGGGCTTGTATACACTCTCCGCACGAGCCTTTAGTCCAATAACAAAGTATCGGCTGACGAGTTCAACATTCTTGCTCTTTGCAAATCCATACTGCTCGCCCATCTCGTCTACCAGCTTCGGCGAAAGCGGCTTATCGAATGTCTGGACTTTCTCGAGGAACACAACGTTCTGATTTGCGGTGAAGCTTTCGATGTCTTGCTTGGTGGGTGTGAACTCTGCATTGCCGTGATTCAAGGCTTCCCATTTTTCAGCAAGGTCGTAGCACATATCGGCAAGAGTGGTGTCGAAGTTTGGCTTGGGTGGGAAACCGGGCTTGTAGAACCACTCGTCCCAATCAAGATCATTCAATTTCTTGGATGCCTCTGCATCAGATTCGAAGAACGAGAGCAGTGTGGCTTTGAACTCGTAGCTGTCGACAGAGCGGCGCTTGAAGGTCGTGAAGTAGTGTGGGATGAATTTGTCCCATTTTACCCTACCAACAAGTTTCTCAAGGTGATAGAGGAAGGTCGACCCTTTCTCGTAAGGGATGCTTGAGAAGGCATCGTCCGGGTCTCTGCCCTTGAGGTCCGGGATGAGCTTGGTGAAATCGTGGTCTTCGCCAAATTGTGCGATGCTGTCTGACAGCGCTTTCCAACCGATAATGGCAGAGAAGTCACGATACGTGTCACCACCGTGGATGTCTGCTTGGATTCGGCGTTCGAGATAGACGGTCCAACCTTCATTAAGCCAGAAGTGTTCCCAGCTCGCGTTGCTGACAAGATTGCCGGACCAGGAATGAGCTAGTTCGTGCGCAATAACGTCAACGTTTTGTCTATCGCCAGATACCAATGTTGGAGTTGCATATGTGTACACGGGATTCTCCATTCCGCCATAGGGAAAGGATGGTGGGAGAACCAAAACATTGTAGGTCGTCCATTCATACGGATAGACGATCTTCTCTGCAGTCTCGATGTACTTCTCAGTATCATGTTCAAATTCCCACTGACTTGCTTGCAGCTCTTCAGGGCCAGTCCAAACTGTCGATCGAGGACCGATTGAAGCAGATGCAAGGTCACCGCTTGCTAGTGCAAAGAGATATGACGGCATTGGGATCGATTGATTGAAGGTGTAAAGAAGTGTCCCTGGTTTGCCGTCCTTGCCATGCAGGAAATCCTTCGCGCCAGTGGGCAGGCCAGACGCCAACACCGGTAGTGGACTACGGATGTTGAACTGATAGGTGGACTTCACATCTGGAGTATCTTGGCAAGGGAGCAGTGAGCGAGCATGTATCGCCTGACACTGTGAAAACATGTATGGGTGTTTCTTGTTGCTCGTCTGTGCCGGCGCAAGCCATTGCAATGCCGTACAGTCCTTGGTGGTCTGGACACCAATGCTTAGCTTGATGCTTGCGGCAGCTGGATCGATCATTCCCTCCGCCACTTGAATGGTCAAAGGGCTGCCGTAGGGCTCCATCCGCTGGGTCGCCAACTCCCATTTCGCTGCTTCGCCTTCAATGTCGACGCCGACAATCTCGAGGAAACTAGAAGTGATTGTTAAGAGGTATGACCATCACATCAGCAGCGGAGAGAGCCTACCTGGTATCGAGCACGATCTTGCTCTCATTCTTGGCCAGTCGATCAAGAGTGAGATGAACAGTGCCGGTCAGACACTGAGCATCAAAGTCAATATCGAAGTCTGCGGTTGTATGCTTCGTTCTCCATGCATTGTAGTTGGACAGGGTGTTGGGGTCTCGAACGGGGTGAATGTTTGCTGCCGCTTCCCGGGCAACTGATTCTGGAGCTGGTCTGATCGCCATGGCAGAGAAGTTTCTCCAATGCACTGTGGCCCGAAAAGATGCAACCCGATGACGGGCGCTTGAAATGGTGAATGTTCCAAAGCCAAATGCCCTTCGTGTGCAGATGGCAAAGCTGTTCATTCGCTGTTGGCCCTCGAGCAGACCAATGAACGAATCGCCTAACAGCGTCGAGCGTCTTGGTTCAGAATGCAATGTTGAAAGTTGTGATGTGTGTGGCAGGTGAAGTAGTGAAAAGGTCGCAGCGAGGTGTTGAGTGGGTGGGTCACGTGCAACGCGCTCATCTCGTGCGGGGATCAGAGGCTTGGCGCCTGGCGTTTGTTTTGGTCTGGCGCGGTCTTGCACTCTTGCACGCGTCAAGCACGTCACCAGACTCACCACATCGCAGACTCAAGCACCACGACTGACACAACTATCTCACATCGCAAGACATGTTCTAGGGAGGGAGTGAGACGGAACTCTGGAGACATGGCTCGGCTACGCAATGCGACGACAGCGCAGCAGCCTACGACTGAGGCACCAACACGTCGTGCAGCGCTGAAAGAGAAGACGAACACCTCGAGCGCAAAAATTCCCGTCTACGAGAACGATGGCAATACCGAGGGCTTGGTCAAGGACGTGAAGCCGAAGCGAGGAAGGCCGAGAAAAGTACAGCAAAATGCGGAAGAGTTCGTGATGGCTGGAGGACTGGGTCCTGCGACAAGTGATGCGCCGGTCTCCGCACCCAACGAAACAGCTATCACTACGAATGAGCTTACAAAGAGCGATATCGCACCTGCGCCAGTAGCGAAGCCGAATAGGCGCCCACAGCGGATTGTCAAGAAGATTGTACAAAGCGAGAAGCAAGCACAGGTGCTGGAGGGACTGAAGAAGCGCATGGAGGCAACGGCGCGCGAAAAGCACACAAAGCAGACGATAGAGCCTGCGCCTGCAACATCTGACATCGTGCTGCCTTCGTCGGACCGCACAGCTACCAAGCCATCAGGGTCGCGCAAATCGAAAGAGCCCGTTGAGCGATCGGAATTCTCCATCTCACCCTCACCACCACCGCCGGGCAAACTGAGTACTACCAAGGGAAAACGAACATCAATGGCTCTTGCGGGATCGGCTATGAAGGTGCAGAACACACCAACCGTAGAGTCCAGTATGATGGCTTTGAAGAACTTCAAGCGCCGACCGCGACAACCAAGTATGCTGCAGATGGTCCAGCAGAGGGCCGCAAGCGCACAGCCCTCAGTTGCGAATACAGCTGTGTTCGATACAGCCGCGGAGGACCCGAGTACGTTTGACCTGGATTTAAGCACCGATGAGGAAGATGACTTCGATCCCGAAGCCGAAGGAACACCCTTGAATGCATCAAAGACTACGAGACTGTCATCCGCGAGCACGAAGCAGTCAGCGTCAGCTAGGGTCAAAGCTGCGGAGGCGAAAGCAAAGATAGAATCCAGAAAGCGCAAATCCGATAGCGTGGACGTGTCGTCAGGCGCAGTGAACGCGCCCCATGCGAAGAAACCAAGGCCTGCGGAGGACGCTGATGATAGTGATAATATTGTCGTAACACCGAAACCCGCTGCAGTGCCAACCTCGTCGGCAAGAGCTGAGACTCCACAACGGGTCGAAACCTCCGACATCCAAGTAGCAAACTCGCCTTCCTCCACGCCGCCCACAGAGCCCTCCTCAGTCAGACAATCAGTCCGGGCGCCACAGGTCGAGGACAGCTTCGTTGTTCCCTCGACTGAGAGAGAAGATGAAGAAGATCGGACTCCGACAGGGGTTGCATACAAGGCTGCCCTGGACGAGCCAAACGGGACGATGGCTGAACCCATAAGCAGCAGCCCAGCTGTGATGGATGCGCCCCAGTCAACTGACATCTTTGCAGACCCAAACACCCAAGTCTCGCCCGGGCCACTCAAATCGAAGCCTAAGAGGAAACAGAAGCAGCAACATGTAGCGACGTCAATGCTTCAATCGCTTCTACCTAGAAGAAGACAGCCTCTTCGACCGAGAGAGCGCAAGTCAGCCTATGACATGGAGGCGGATTCTGACGAGGATACACCTCTAGACGCAAGCCACCTTGAAGAAGATGAGGACGAACTTGGGGAAGATCTGCGACAACCTTCGAAGCCCAAATCCTCCAAAACATCGAGAACCACAGGTGGAAAGCCAGGTCGCTCGAAGAAATCTGACACGACTACGAAGAAGAAGACCGCCACTGCAGCGGCCGCTCGTAAATCTTCAGCTGCGCCAAGAAACAAGAAAGGGCTCAGAACCTACGGCCGCGCTCCCACTATTTCAGACAAGGAAAATGACGACTACCAATCCGCCGGCGAAGATGAAGAAGAGAGCACGCTTCCAGAAATCTCCATGTCCATGCAAGAGGCCGTTCAAAGCAAAGAGATTGAAGATGCCAAGAAGAAGTTCGCCGAAGTCGATCAATGGGACATGGAGTTTGAGAGCATGAGCCAGGAATTCCATCGGAGTTCGAGCCAAGAATGGAGATGAAATGATTTGATGGGATGATTGTGCTTCTTCGGTGGATAGCTTTGGATGCTTTATGCTCGCCTTAACCTATGTTGGCACCTTATGATGGCATAAGCCTGTACATGTATCCTATTCCGTGGCATGGTAATTGCTGCATCGACCTTCTGCTCGCGTTCCCGATGTCAGTTCTGACAGCGGCAATCAATCACCCCCAGAGCTGAGTGTTTTGTGTCCCTCGATCACTCCAGAATTGTTTGTCCAGGTTTTGATAATCGCTATTGGCCTTTCACATGAAGATTGACGCCCTCGATCATGCGCCTATCTACTTTGTCTCTGCGGTAAGTGTAATTCTGTTTCGGCACAATGGTTGTTCAGCAGGCCAGTCAAACTGAAAGGCAAAAAGGCTGACGCGGTCTTCACAGTAGAAAGAAGCAGAAAAAGATTCTCTGTTGCAGTGCAAATCCATTCTCATCATTATTTCGAGCGGCACAGCGGTGACGTCGGCACCTGCTTGCTCCCCGTGGATACTATGTCGAGATCACGTGACTGGATCTGATTCGTACTAGTGGGGACCCCCGCCAGCGCCCGAATTACTACTAGGTAGGTAGTGGCGGGCTAATCCATTGCTGGAACTTCGATGTTCCAACCAATAGAGGCGCAGAATCTTGCCCCGCCATCTGTAGACCGGAACAACGCTCTGCCAAGTCGGCGTTATCGTGCGACATAAGCCACCCTCGACTCGCAAAGCTGACGGGGCAATCTTGTCGGTGATATGGACGATGCGAAGGAAGAGAAGAAGGAACCCGTAGGCTTGCCGTCTGCTGAGGTGTTGCGAGAGATTGAGCGCAAACAAGAAGAACGCGCCAAGGAGATTCGCGATCGACGACTTCGGGAGGTACAGACCAAGCTAGACGCCGAGAGTGAGGCGCGTGACAGTGCTGCGACTGTCATTCAGAGGAATTATCGAGGACACAGGGAGAGAAGGGCTCTGAAGGGCTACGGACTGGATCCTAGTACCAGGTGGCTTGAGGTATGCGCTGTCTTCCCAGTTTGTCGGGACTGGCATGCGCAGCGGGCTGATCAGATTGTTAGGCTGTCAAGGATGGTGAGCGCGACATGATGATGTGTGGTTGGAGGGGGAGTACTGACACCTGAGTTGCAGCCGAGTATCATAATTTGACACGACCACTCTCGAAGATCGAACCGGGCTCGAAGCCCGCGGCGCGGTCATCCCGCGTGCGAGAACGATGGGCTCACGCGAGCAGCATTGCGAAGAGAGCGGGGAGCGATGATACCAGCGAGAGCGAAGCGGATACTGCGTCCCAGATCGAGCGAAAGAAGCAGGAGAAACGGCAACGGGAGAAATATGCCAAGACTATGGGTCTGGAATACTTCTTGGAGATGGTCGACCAGAAGCACAGATACGGCAGCAACCTTAGGCGATACCACCAGGAGTGGAAGAAGTCAGATACTACGGAGAATTTCTTCTACTGGCTGGATTATGGAGATGGGAAAGAATTGGATTTGGAAGATCGACCCAGGAAACGGCTGGATACAGAATGTGTGAGGTATTTGTCGCGGGAGGAGAGGAGGCACTATTTGGTGCGCATCGATGATCAAGGTCGATTCGTGTGGGACAAGAATCGCAAGCCGATCACTACATCCCCAGACTTTCGGGACAGTATTGAGGGCATTGTCTACAAGTCCGATGACACGCCGACATGGCGCGAGGTCACGACGGGCGAGAAGCCGCCGCCCACCAGAGATGACGCCTCGGACTCATCTTCGCTATCCACGACGATCAGTACAGGAAGCCATCAGAAATCAACGGCGTATGCTAATGAGGAGCTCCACGATGCGAAGGGTGTGAACAAGCTGAACCACCTTGGCGTCGATACGCTCATGAACCACCTTCTACGCAAGACGACCAAATCGAATACCTGGATCTTCGTCGCGGACACTTCGTTTCGCCTCTACGTAGGCATCAAACAATCCGGGGCCTTTCAGCATTCCTCATTCCTCAAAGGCGCACGTGTAAGCGCCGCCGGCCTTATCAAAATCAAACGCGGCCAGATCCGCAAGCTCTCGCCCTTGTCAGGACACTACGCGCCACCAGTGCGCAACTTCCGGGAATTTGTCAAATCCCTCAAAGCAGCCAATGCCGACCTCAGCCGGCTCAACATATCGCGATCGTACGCTGTGATTCTAGGCCTGGAAGGGTATATGAAAGTGAAGAAACGAGGGAAAGATGCTAAGCGGGGCTTTGTGGAGATGTGGAATCCCGAAGAGAAGAAGAAGAGGGAGGAAGCGGAGAAGGATAAGAGTCAGAGCGCGGAGAAGGAGAGGCAGGTGTTGAAGAAGGAAGAGGAGGAGAGGATGAAACGGAGGACGAGTTATCGGTTGATGAAGAAGATGGGGTTGATGGAGGAGGAGGAGCAGCAGCAGCAGCAGCAGCAGCAGCAGCAGCAGGAGGGCGTGAGAGGTGGCGGGGAGAAGGCAGGGCGGAAATCGTTGGTAGAGGGTATGAAACGGCCGTCGATGGCGGAGAAACAGAAGATTCCTGAGGAAGTGGGAGAGGAGGACAGACAGGAAGGATAGGCCGGCGAGGCGTACTCGATCGTGAGCTTTAGGCTCCGGTTCGAGTTCAGATCTGGCTTTGGTGATCCCTGGTGATCCTGGTGGATTTTGGTTGTTCGATTTCGCGACCGTTCTGATACCATCCAGAGACAGTCTGTAGGCAACGGCATCTAGCGCTGGTGTGCTTGCTCTCCCAGCTCGAGGCCTGTTCCCTGCTCAAACTGCTCGTTTCATCCCAATCCCTTGAGAGTCGGTCGCCTTTTCGTGTCCAGCCACTCGGTCTGTCAGTCTGATCTTGCTCCACAGCACTGCTCCACAGCTCTGCATCGTGCTCTCCCGTCCTCTCAGGGGTGACAGGTCGTTCGTTCACCGAAGCGATATCCCTCCCGCCTCGTGGCAGGATGCCGTGCAAGAATTATGCCATGAGCCGGCCGGGGCGGAGATGCTGTCGTATGGATACTGGATGGCGACTCATCTTCCACATGAAGGAACCATAACTGTGGCATCTCGACGGGGGGCTGCCTGGATGTCGTCGACGCGCAGGACGAGTCGCAATTCGCTCGAATAGGCAAGTGCGACGTCGTGCTCCCTCCACACTCCGCCACAGCTGTTGGTCGGGGCGTGGTGGCATCACGAGTTGTGGCTTGACATTTTTTCGCCGATGATTCGGCGGCGGGAGTCGAAACTGGAACTCTTCGCGCACACCTCGAGTCTTCGACACCAGACACCAGACACTTGTCGTCTCGACCGCGACGCGTGCGACATGGATTCGGGGGATGAATACATGTATTCGACCTGCGATTCGCCGGGCGGTGGCGAGGACTGGACTGGACTGGACTGGACTGGACTGGACGGCATCATGAAGCGTCATGACTACCTACATGTATATTTCGGCGGCGGCTGCTGGACTGGATGGAACTGGAGCGCTTCTCATCAGGACTGGAGTCTCGAGATGGGATGAGAGGCCCCCATCATAGCCATCCTTCTCCGGGAAGCGCGCATCGTCATTATACCACAATACTACCTAGGCATTGGAGAGCGCACACGCGGAAATTCAGGAGACGTGCGGGTTGTTGATGTCACTTCACATTTGATGATTGTGCAGCAGTCGGCAACTCAACTTGTTGGTCACACAACGCGTTGCATCATCCGACATCATCCACACTGCTGGCTGGTGCAGCTGCAGGAGGTGAAACGCTGGACGCTGGACGGGCGGTTGTCATGCACGATTGCACGGGCTGTGCTGTGCTGAGGCGTCATCTCATCTCATCTGGCCCAGCCGCAAAGAAGACCAGCCCCATCTTGCTTGCCAGCGTGTCGAACTCCTCCTCCTAGCACAGCTAAGCACAGCTAAGCACAGCTAGTAGTACTAGCACAGCCAAGGCCTGACGAGATCTGCCCGCCTCGACTTGCCGATCGGCCACGAGTCCTGGTGCTGGGACGTTGCGCTGGTCTTGCGCCAGCTCTAAAGTTCACATCTATCGCGACTTCACCTCATGGCCGCGCACCACCATTTTCCCCTGCACCACGCGCAACAATCGGACTGCAGCCGCGCGCACTGCAACGTAGCGCGATCGCGACCAGATAAATAATGTCCCCGTTCACCAGCGGTGGCTCAACGCAGTGGGTTCGCAGCAGTGCAGACCCGCGACGCCATCGACGATCCACCCGACGCATGCGACTGGGATCTTCCCGGAAAGTTGGCCAGGGTTTCGTGCACTGTCCAGCCTTCCACATCTTGGAAGACCGCCAATCGCTCTCTGCATGCCACGCAAGACACACCCAGCAAGAGGCTGGTGAGTTTGTGACCTCATGCCCTGTCCCGGGCTGGAGTCCATCCCCAAACGCGTGATGTCACCGGCCGCGTTCCGTGATTTGACGAGCTTGTCGATCAGTCAGAGTGACGGCCATCGAGGATGCAAACCTGTTTGTAACCAGCCTCGTGCTCGTCCACTGGGCCACAAGAGGCGCGAAGAGGCGCGAGCTACCGAAGCTCACCCCTGCAATGCCTGTTCAAGGCTTCTTTTCTACGTCATTCCACGCTGCTCGCTACGGCGGCTGGAGCCCCTGGTAGTTGTGTGCCCACGGAACGTTCAACTGATCTGTGCTCCCCCCGTATTGCCTGCATGATATATCAATTGTATGGCCCAGGAACTGAGCCACATTTCCCCCGAATTCCCCTTTCCCTCTTTCCCCAATAGACGTCTTGCAACACTTGCATGACCAGCAACTCTAATCAGTACGCGTACTATTCCTTTCCCCCTACACCCACGAGATCATCCCCATCTTCTTCATCGCGCTCACGACGACACGCTTCACGAAGTATCACCCCAGTGACGAACACCAGCGATCCAGCAGACATGGCCCCATCTCCGGCAGCCGGAAAGCAGACAGGCACACCCAAGACCCCGACCAAGATCTCAAGAAACCAAGGCAAGACGCCACAGAAGCCCGGATCAGCAGCGTCTGCCAGCCGACCTGCGCCATCGACACCAAAGGCATCGCAGGCATCGAAGCCGGCGACAGGATCCCCAAAAGTTCCATCGCGCCCAAGTGTAGGCCAGAAAGCACAAGAAGCTGGCGACGAGGCCCAGGATCAGTCCGAGAGCGCTGCCGACGATGCTCAAGACAAGGCTCAGCAAGCGCAGAGCAGTGTTGAGATGAAGGACGATGACGATGACGACGGCGATGAAGGGCCCATGAGCAAGGTTAGCCAGACTGGGCAGGAGGCCCAGGAAGGTCTTGGGCAAGCCGCGCCCGAACCAATTGATGACGATGAAGACGACACGGTTGGTGGCGCAACTCAGGAAGCCAAGCAGACCGCCGAAGAAGCTGGCGACGAAGCAGAGGATGTTGCAGATGATGCGACAGAAAAGGCGGGCGAGACGGCCCAATCAACCGACGACAACGACGAGGACCAGGAAGAAGGTAACGAGGAGGAGGGAGCGCTTGGCGGCGCAAAGCAGGCCGCTGGCGAAGCAGCGGACACCGCTGGTAAAGCCACCGAGGATCCCGAAGGCGCAGCTGATGATGCCAAGAAGGGCGCAGAGGAGACTGCGGAAGACGCCAAGGAGACCGCGGAGGAGGGCGTTGACGAAGCGCAGAAAGTTGCTGGCGATGCTGGTGACCAGACTGCTCAAGCTACCGAAGGTACCGAAGGTACCGAAGAGGCGACCGATGGCGTCAAGGACCAGACTGCTGAAGCTACTGGAGACGCCGAAGAGGCGGCCGATGGCGTCAAGCACGAAGCTGAAGAGCAGACTGGCCAGGAGCATCCCGAAATTCAAGTCCCAGAAGGCCTCCCTGTCGACCTTTCCGTTCTCAAAGGCCTCGAAGTCCAAGAAGATGGCCTAGTGACGGACAAGGAGGGCAACCCCATCGGCAAGCTCGCGGAAGGCGATGCAGAAGACCTCGCTGGGTACCCCATTGGCGACGATGGCGAAATTATTGACGACGACGGAGATCTTGTAGGTCGTGTCGAGCTCCTGCCAGACGAGGTCAAGCGACAGCTTGAAGAAGCTCAACAGCAAGGCGAAGAGCTACCTGAAGGAGCTGAGGAGTTCCTCAGCCAGTACGAAGGCCAAGCCGAAGGCGCTGTCGATGGCGTTGAAGACGAAGTCGACGAGTACGGCAACCTGCCGCCTCTTTCCATTCTGGAGGGCCTCACCTGTCAAATCGATGGAATCATCTACGATGCTGATGGAAACACTGTTGGTCGCGTTGTTGATGGCGACCCACAAGAGCTCCAGAATGCCGTTCTCAACGACCAAGGCGAGTTTGTTGATGACGACGGAAACGTCGTTGGCTACGCCGAGGTTCACGACGATGCGGAGGAGCTCGTTGAACAAGGCATCTATGAGCCACGCCAAGCTCAGCAGCAAGCTGAGGACGCCGTCGAGGGTGCTGAAGATGAAGTCGATGGTGTAGCCGACGACGCCGAGGAAGCTGCCGACGGTGTGCCAGAAGAGATCGAGGATCAGCTCCCTGGCATTGAAGCTCTCGAGGGTAAGGAGCTCAACGAAGCCGGAGATATCCTTGATGAAGAGGGCAATGTCCTAGGCAATGTTGAGGACGAGGACCTCAAGCAGAAGATTGCTGACGGCGAGATCGACCCGAACACGCTCAAGATCGACGAAGAAGGCAATGTCCTTGACGAGGACGGAAACGTCCTTGGCAAGACTGAGCTCGCCGAAGGTGCTGCTGAGAAGCTGCAAGCCGCCCAGCAGACTGTACTCGACTTCCGAATCCTCAACGGCAAGCGCGTCAACAAGAAGGGCAAGATTCTGGATGACGATGGCGAAGAGATTGGAGAGCTTGCCGACGGCGAACTCTCGCAATGCGCCGGAGCCCACTGCAATGACAAGGGCGAGGTCCTGAACAAGCAAGGCGAGATCGTCGGGCACGTTCGCGTCGTACCCGGCGAGGCTGCTGAGAACGCCACCAAAGAACTGCTTGAAGAGCTTGGCGAAGCAGAGCAAGAGGCGGAAGAGGAGGCGGAAGAGGAGGCTGAGCCTCTAATGGAAGAGCCAGACCTTTCAATTTTGGAAGGTCTGAAGGTCAACAAGAAGGGACAAGTCCTTAACGAGGATGGCGAGCCCATTGGTGAGCTCACTGCTGGCGAATTGTCGCAATGCGCAGGCAAGAAGCTCAATGCCATCGGTGAGGTACTGGACAAAGACGGGAATGTCATCGGCCACGTGCGCACTTTGCCGCAGGAAGTCGAACAGAAGACAACGACTCCGGAGCTCTCGATCTTGGATGGCCTGAAGGTCAACAAGAAGGGTCAAGTCCTCAATGAGGACGGCGAGCCAATTGGCGAGCTTACCAGCGGTGACCTGTCTCAGTGCGCTGGCAAGAAGATCAACAGCAAAGGCGAGATCATCGACGCTGACGGCAATGTTCTCGGCACCGTGCGCACTCTGCCTGTCGAGGGCGGCGAAGAAGAAGAAGAAGCCCAAGAAGAGGAAGCTGCAGAGGGTGAAGGTGAGGAAGAGGAAGGAGAGGGCGAGCCAGAACTGCCTCCTCTCTCTATCCTTGAGGGACTCACTGTCAACAAGTCCGGAAAGCTCCTCGACGACGAGGGCAATGTTGTCGGCGAGCTCACTGAGGGTGACGCGAAGAAGCTGTCCAAAGCTGGTACCACTTGCGATGCAGAGGGCCAGTTCTGGGACAACAAGGGCCATGTCATCGGCCGCGCCGTCACTCTCCCTCAAGAGCCTGCCGAGGAGGAAGCTCCTTTCGCTGGTCTCGAAGGACTGCATGTCGTCGAAGACGGCTGGGTACAAGATGAGAACGGAAACACCGTTGGATACCTGACCGAGGGCGAGGCCGCCAAATTGCTTGGCCGTGAGGTTGATGAGGACGGCGATGTCATCGACAAGAAGGGCTCTGTTGTTGGCCATGCCGAGCGCTACGTCCCAGAAGAGGAAGAGCAGGCAGAGGAAGAGCCCGCCGATCTCTCTTTCCTGCAAGGCAAGACTGTCACGAAAGCCGGTCTGGTCATTGGCGATGAAGGCATCCCTGTCGCTCGCTTGGTCGAGGGCAATGCCAAGGACTTGACTGGCCGCGAACTGGATGCTGAAGGACAGTTCTGGAATGACAAAGGCCAGGTGGTCGGTCGCATCGAACTCATTCCGGAGGAAGAGCGCGAGGCTAAGCCTGAGGGTCCCTTCGCCGGCTTGGACGACCTCCGTGTTATCGAGGGCGGTAAGATTGCTGATGAGGACGGAAACGTCGTCGGCGAGATAACCGAAGGCAATCCCAAGCGCCTCGTTGGCTTGTCTGTGGACGAGGACGGAGACATTGTCGACAAGTACGGCAATGTGAAAGGTCACGCCGAGCCTCTCCCTGAGGAAGAGCCTATGGACTACACCATTTTGGAAGGCTTAACGCTGAACAAGTCTGGCTTTGTTGTTGATGAGAACGGAATACCATTTGGCAAGCTCGTGGAGGGCAATGCTACCGAGCTCGCCGGCCGCAAGACTGACGAGAGTGGCTACATCTACAACGACACAGGCAAGATTGTCGGACGGTGCGAACCACTCCCAGAGGAAGAGCGTGTGGCGAAGTCTGAAGGACCTTTTGCCGGCCTCGACGGATTGCACGTCATTGACGCGGGCAAGGTGGCCGATGAGAACGACAATGTCGTTGGCCAGATTGTTGAGGGAGATGCTAAGAAGCTTCTCGGCATGCACGTGGACGAAGACGGCGACATTGTCGATAAGTTCGGCAACGTCAAGGGCCATGCAGAGCCTCTCCCCGAAGAAGAAGCCATCGACTACACCATCCTCGATGGATTGACCCTCAACAAGCAAGGATTCGTCGTGGACGCCAATGGTATTCCATTCGGTCGCATGGTCGAGGGTAACCCCAACGAGCTCGCAGGACGACAGTGTGACGAGCAAGGCTTCATCTACAACGACCGCGGTAAGCCTGTTGGTAAGTGCGAGCCCATCCCGGAAGAGGAGCGTGTCGCCAAACCGGAAGGACCATTCGCAGGACTCGAAGGCCTCCACGTCGTCAAGGAGGGCAAAGTCGAGGATGAGAATGGCAATGTGGTAGGTGAAATCACCGAGGGCCATGCTAAGCGCTTGGTGGGCATGAAGGTCGATGATGATGGTGATATCATTGACAAATTCGGAAACACCAAAGGCCACGCCGAACCGCTGCCGGAAGAGGAGGAGGTCGACAATAGCCCTCTGGACGGGAAATACCTCAACAAGCAGGGATACGTGGTCGACGAAAAGGGCATTCCTTTCGGACGGCTTGTCGAAGGAAGCGCGTCTGAGCTGGCTGGCAGGAAGTGCGACGAAAACGGGTACATCTACGGCGATACCGGCAAGGTTGTGGGTCGCTGTGAGATCCTGCCTGAGAACGAGAGAGTTGCTCGTCCAGAGGGACCATTCGCAGGGCTCGAAGGACTGCGAGTCGTCAAGGACGGATTCATCGAGGATGAAGATGGCAACCGCGTCGGCCAGTTGGTGGATGGTGACTCGAAGAGACTGGTCGGCCTCGCTGTCGATGAGGATGGTGATATCATCGACAAGTATGGTAATGTCAAGGGTCACGCCGAGCCATGGGAAGAAGAGGAAGTACCAGAAGTTGATCTGTCTCAACTCATGGGTACAACCATCAACAAGGCCGGATACGCTGTCGATGGCAGTGGCAAGATCATCGGACAGGTTGCTGAGGGCGACCCGAACATCATGATCGGCAAGAAGGTTGATGGCCAAGGTCAGATCTGGGACGATGCCGGCAATGTAATCGGCCGCTGCGAGCTCGCTCAGGGCGTTGGTGGCCCAGAGGGACCTTTTGCCGGCTTCGACGGCCTTCAGATCAACAAAGACGGCACTGTGACTACCGCTGCGGGCGACATTGTCGGTCGCGTCATCGAGGGCGACATCAAGAAACTGCTCGGTCATACTGTGGACGAGGACGGAGACATCAACGACAAGAACGGAAATACCATCGGCAAGGCTGAGAGATGGGAGCCTGAAGAGAAGGAGAGGCGCGTCAACCCCATGTCCGGCAAGCGCGTCAACAGGGAGGGCGAAGTCCGCGATGAGAACGGAGACCTCATGGGCAAGCTCACTATGGGTGACCTCGGACACTGCGTGGGACAGGAAATCGACGACGCCGGAAATGTCGTCGACGTCGAGGGCAACAAGATCGGTGAGGTCACTCTCATCGAGAACATCGACGAAGACGAGTACGAGGGTCCCACCGAGGAGGAACTCGAAGAGGCCCGCAAGCGTGAAGAGGAGCGCGAGGTCGCCGAGAAGATGGGCGCCATCGCCTCGCAGACGCTGGAGCGCATGCAGCCCATCTGCAAGCAGATCAAAGACTACATGGACAAGGCCGACGCCACACCGAAGGATGAATTGGACGAGGAAGAGCTAGTCAACAACGTCAAGCCTCTGATCGAGGAGGGTGGACGCATTCTGCAAGAATGCAATGGCTCCCTGCGAGGTCTCGACCCCGATGGCCGCATCGCCGCCCAAGCCAAGGGTCGCGCTGGCACTGGTGAGGCCACGCCAGAGGAATTCCGCCTCGCGGAGACGCTCAAGGAGCTCACCACCACCGTCGTCACCACCATCGATGACGCCAAGAAGAAGCTGAACAACATGCCTCACGCGAAGAAGAAGCTCAACCCTCTGTGGGGCCTCATGACGCAGCCTCTGTTCCAGATCCTGGCTGCTGTCGGTCTCCTGCTGTCTGGCGTGCTCGGTCTCGTCGGCCAGCTCCTCAATGGCCTGGGTCTCGGCGGCCTGGTCAACGGCCTGCTCGGTGGGCTGGGCATCAACAAACTCCTCGCCTCGTTTGGTCTAACCGACGACGACGACAAGAAGAAGAAGAAGAAGGGCGCCGGCGGCAGCAAGCTCTCCTCGCTGCCTATCGTGGGTGGTTTCTTGGGTGGAAGTAAGTAACATCACCTGCAGCACACACCTTCTGACGCGACATCCGCACACCTCACCGCATCCTTTCTACCACGAGCACAAGAATAAGAAACAAGCACAAAAACAATTGCACAAGCACAAGCACACATGCACCAAAGGGAAAGGGGAAACGCATCGTGCCGCGTCACCTCCACTCACCCAGCCAGCCAAAAAAAGAAAGGCGAATTCTAACTTGTTTTCGCTTCTTCGCTTTAGATGGAGGATCGACCGCAGGCATACCCTTCATGTCAGGCAAGAAGAAAGACGTGGGAGGTGTCGCCGACGGAGCGCAGGAGTCCAAGGATGCGATTGCCTCGGCGACGACGGGCAAGTAATGTATAACAATGTCGCGACAACCAAAAAGCAAGCAGCAGCAGCAATTTGATCTGGGTTCGAGCAGGTTTGGGCGCTTGGGGAGATATATGTTTTCTGTTGAATGTTGGATGGATGGATGGATGGGATGGGAGAGATACTCACGCTTGTCAGCGAATTGGTGTGTGTGGTTTTCTTTTCTTTTGTTGTATGTTCTCGTTCTCGTTGTCATTTGTGTAAAATTAGTTTCTCTTCTGGGGGAAATGGGGAATGAATGATCTCACTTCAACAACACATATTCCACTTTGGAGTTCCAAGACGTAAGGTAATGTGGTCAAATGCAAAAAAGGCAGTAAGTACAGCGGGGGGTATCTCATGCGGAAGCAACGACGCAATAATGTACAATGGCTTTCGTACGGTATCAATCTTCCCCATCTGCAACTGAGGTCGCTTCTGCGCCGGCAGTGGCATCCTTGGGCTTTCTCTTCCTCTTCCGCTTGCGAGTCTCGTCTGTGACGCCGTGACCACTCTCATCGTTCGCTGTAGCAGCCAGTTCGCCTCTGTCTGCGGCCTGCGAATCTGCCTTCGTGGCCCTACGGGTCGCAGCTCTTTCGTCGCCTTGCTTGTTCTTACTTGTAGGCTCTTCCTTCTTTGCCTTCTTCACACTCAGCGGATTAGGCCCCTTGGGCCCCTTGGCCTTGACTTTCTTCTTCGCGGGCTCTTCCACATCCCGATCCCGAGCCTCTCCAGCCTTCCCACTCTCTTCTTCTCCATCATCATCCTCTTCATCGTCTCTCTTCCTCTTCTCCGCCCCTCGTCTGAATTTCAACCCGGCCTTAATCTTGGCCTTTTCCTCCCCCTCCTTCACCCGCTCCGACTTCTCCGCCATGGGCTCCAGAATCATCACGCTGCGCGAGATATACACCAACGGCACGCCCACCACCCCTCTCATCTTCCTCCGGATTTCCACATCCTGACTCGCAACCACGTACCGGAACTTATTCGTCCCGTTCCCCTTTGGGTCCACCACCGATTCTACGCATTCCAATTCCGTCAGCGGTGCTTCCAATTCGTGGTGCCCGCAGCGCCTCCGCTCCGCGGACTTGGCGACTGCGATCCACGCTTCCTTCTCCGGTGAGGGGGGCATCTGGTATAGGTGCCGGATGCTGCAGGTGGTGATCATGGGTTTTATGGCGCCGTGGAGAGTTTGTTGGAGGAGGTGGCCGAGTTGCATTTTGCAGCGGGCGGCGTCGATGATGATTTGCGCGTCGAGGAGGACTTGGTAGGGTTCGCGGAAGGCAAAGGTGAGTTGGTATTTGTGCATGAGCTTGCGGTATTGCTTTTGGCGTTTGCCGCGCATCTTGGGGCCAGGTGTGCGGAGCGAAGAGCTCCTAGAAGATTATTGGGATGTTGCGGTCGAAGGTGAAGTGTGATGGCAAGTTGAAGTTTGGGATATTTTTTTGGATGGATTTGATGATGTAAGCAATGAATACTTTATCCAGGATTTTCACATTGTCCTTGAAACGTGCAAGGCTCTGGGTTCAGGGAAGTTGAGGATGTATTGTCTCTCCTGATCGAGTCCATGACAGGCCATGATCGTTTACCTTTATTATGGGCCTCCACTGGCAAAATGTACTCATTCACTCACCGTCAAGGCACATGCCTCGCGATCTAAGGGTGACATGCCAAGCTTTTGATGGCCGTTGTGTGGTTGCGCGTTGTTTAGGTTGAGATGTGGAGAAGGAACCATGCACTACTGCGCGACAATCGTCCGGACCGAGAACAAGAAACGACAGGCTTCATTCTGCGCCCACCATTCCACACCCTCACGATTCCCCTTTGTGCTTTCTCCTCCTTCCCCGCCAACTCCGCCACGCTGCGCAACATTACACACCGAATGTCTTAGACTGCAAAGCCTATCGCCGGGAGGGGACAATCATTTCTACGCGGGCATGAACGTTGCTACCGGGAATCCCTTGACCGCGCATTGGGCGTGGAATGAGATCGCAGGATCGCATTGAACCCCACCATCATGCCCGGTGATACTGCTACTAGTCATGAAGCCCATGATCGCGACTCTGGGGCTGACAATGGGGATGCTTCGCCGAAGGTGCTAGAGCGTGTACATACTACTCAGTTGGAGAAGCGAAAGGTCGACGAGCCGAAGCCCGAACCCGCTGCTGCCGATGAGTTTGGATTGGCCCCGAGGCCGCCGAGAAGGAGAGAGTACAGTCTCAATGAGCAGGATTGTCCCGGAGAGATAAGGAAGCAGGTTGTCGAGGAGACTGAAGGTGAGGTGAAAGAAGCGGAGAGGACAGAAGGACATGTTGAGGCTTCGCAATCGAAGGATGATGCAAGGGAGCACACGGAGACGGCGCAGAGCAGACAGAATGAACATTCAAGAACTCCGCGACAGAGTACGGACAATGGTGCGCCTGCGGAAAGACACAGAGCTTCCTCAAGTCCGGTGTCGATCAGGAGCCTGTCGGCCACAAGTCCCAATGCGAAACACAAGCAGCAGCCTGCTGCCAACACCGTCTCCGAGTTCTCTCACCAGCAGACAGTCATGCCCGAGAAGATAGAGGAGAAGGATGATGAAGAGGACCAATGGCAGGAGATGCCTGCCTATGCCACCCACAGGATCTACGATGACTGGGGGAAGGTAGTCGCGAAAGAGTTCGACGAGGCGGAGGATCAGACTGTGGCATACGCCACGCTGGGCGGCGCAGGTAAAGGGTATACTCGCGTACAGATGGATGAGGATGCTCAGTCTGCGACTAGCATGGACGACAACACGGCCTACCTGTTCAAGGACCAGTACGCTAGAAACATGCTGGATGACGATGACGAGGAAGGTCGCGATGTACTGTCACAAATGCAGACTACTAAAGAGCTTCTCACCGAGGGCCAGCGTATCGCATATGTGGGCGTGGTGAGATTAGCCGTGGCCGCCATGGAGAAGGACATGAGCGAACTGGAGAGGACGAAGAACACGAGAAAAGCAATGGACTTTGCGACTGAGGCTCTTCAGAAATGGGGCCAAAAGGTCATGTTGCGCTTGTACACACACATGGAGATCGACGCCAAAGAGCAGATCATGGTGGAGCAGCTTGCTGAGCATGGCGTCTTGCCGTCGGACTTGACGCCTGCGCTCATGGCAAATGCGCGGGTGAAGAACCCCAACGCAAGTGCTGAGAGCAGCTCGCAGGCTTCTTCCGCAAGGCCCTCCTTGGCCTCTCCGCGTCCGACAAGTGTTGCTGAGAAGCGATTGTCTTCCGCGCCTCCTTCGAAACCTTCCACGCCGGCACCGCCCTCCGACCCACCCACTCCGTCTGGCATAGAGACGCCGCCGCCTGCTTACGAACAGCACACCGCAGACGAATTGACGATCCAGAACCCGGACGAGCTTGAAGGCGCAAAGAACATCGACATCGACATACGATGGTCTGTGCTCTGCGATCTGTTTCTGCTATTGATAGCAGATAGTACGTACGATGCACGCTCGCGCACGTTGCTTGAGCGAGTCGGCTCGGCGCTATCAGTGGAGTGGCAAGAAGTCTGTCGCTTTGAGAAGCGCGTCACGGATGCTCTCGAGATGCAAGAGCAGGCTGAGAAGGAGAATTGGAATGAGGACGAGCACCTCGAGGCGCGCAAGAAGCAGGCTCGGAATAAGCGGCTAGCGGTCATGGGTCTCTGCACAGTCGGAGGAGGCCTCGTGATTGGACTTAGTGCCGGCCTCCTTGCGCCTGTGATTGGAGCTGGGTTGGCGGCGGGCTTCACTGCCATCGGTGTGTCTGGCACTGGTACTTTCCTTGGCGGTACTGGCGCTGCGGCCTTGATCGGCACGGGAGGAACGCTCATTGGAAGTAAGATCGGACTGACTACTTCCGACAGGCGGACAGGCGCCGTCAAGACGTACGAGTACAAACCGCTATTCAATAACAAGCGGACGAATCTCATTGTCACTGTCGCAGGCTGGATGACTGGCAAAGTCGACGACGTGCGTTTACCTTTTAGTACCATTAACCCTGTCATGGGCGACATCTACGCTGTGAACTGGGAACCCGAGATGCTTCAGAGTACCGGTCAGACGATCCAGATCCTGGGAACCGAAGCCTTGACCCAAACGATCCAGCAGATCTTAGGAGCTACAGTACTGTCGACTTTGATGGCTGGTCTTTCGACGCCAATAGTGCTGGCGAAGATCTCCTACCTGATTGACAATCCGTGGACTACTGCACTCTCTCGTGGAGATGCAACAGGCCTGATTCTGGCCGACTCCATCATCGACAGAAACCTGGGCATGCGCCCCATCACGCTCGTTGGATTTTCCCTCGGCTCTCGCGTCATCTACTCCTGTTTGAAAGAGCTCTCTCGCCGCGGTGCCGTCGGTCTGGTGCAGAATGTGTACATGTTTGGCTCTCCCGTGGTCGCGAAGAAGGACGAATATATCCGCGCGCGGAGTGTTGTCTCTGGGCGGTTTGTGAATGGCTACGCGACCAATGACTGGATCCTGGGCTATCTCTTCCGCGCTACCAGTGGAGGCATCATGCGCATCGCGGGTCTCTCTGGTGTTAACGTGCCCGGGATCGAGAACATTGACGTGACCGAAGACGTACCTGGACACATGGCCTATCGCGGAATGATGCCGACTCTGCTGGACAAAGTAGGCTGGGAGGTTGAGAGTCTGGAGTATACAGAAATTGAGGACCCAGATCCGGAGAATCACAAAAAGCGACAGCGGGAACTGCTGGATGAGATCGAGGAAGCGCGCAAGAAGCTGGACGAGCAACCGGAGAAGAAGGGATTCAAGGCCTTCTTCTCGCGGAAGAAGGCAACGCAGAAGAAGGATTGGGAGACGTATGATGAGAGGAGTCAGAAAGTGCTGGAGGGTGACGACAAGGAGAGTGAGAAGCATGCGGAAGAGAACGCAAATGTCATGTTCGATGTTGATGCTATCCGGCGGGAAGCGCTGTCTCTGGCATTGCAGAATCCCGGCGATGTGGAGGAAATCAAGAAGCATTTGACTGTCAAGGAGATCCACAGCACATTACCCGCGCTCAGAGTGACATTACCGCAAGACAATAACAAGGCCAACGGAGCCGGCTGCTCTTCTGACGATAGCTCGAGGGCGGAATTCAGGCATACGAAAACACGCGGTGGTCGAACGGCCCCTATGCGACACGTCTCGGCACCGCTGTCCAACGGCTCTCACGTCAACGAGCACGAATTGAGATCGCCAGCCGGCGACGAAGACATAAGTCTTTCCTTTGAAGGCGATGGTCGCAAAGCCAGTCCTTCTCAGGCCTCGGAATATGGCTGGGATGCGGCCAAGCCGGCGCGATTTGGATCGAGTGCGACTGATCTGACGTCTCCGTCAGGCTCGAGACCTCCACTGAGGAGTATCAATACCACACCGGTGCACGGGAATGGAAAGGGTCAGACGATGAGTCCGGACCACAACCCTTGGAGTGCAGAGGATGCCGATGATCCGCACTTTGGGAAGGAAGCGGGAGAGGTGAAGATGGATTTCGAGTAGGACTTGGCGGAGAGGAGGATCTAGGGTGGATGAGATGTTTCGTTCCGCATCCATTGAAGAGCGAGCGCACAACGCTCTGGTGGTGGTGATGTGATTGGATTCGTTACTGTGGAGTAGCACTACTGTCTGATTGATACGTGAAGAGCATCATTCGCATGGCATGAACGCATAAGGAATGGAGATGGAAGAGGAGATTTGGATATAGCAGAAATGTCAACGCATTGCGGTGTCGTAAGGGACAAACAACCAGGAGATCCACATCGGCGGCCACCCGTTAGCTTCATATTATCCGCGTCCAATCATTCACTCACGTCGAGACCCCTGCTGGACCCTTGAACTCTAGTCGCCACGCGCCGGCGCGTCGCGTTTCGCGACTTTCCATGAAATTGCTTCTGTCTCCTTTCACATTTCCACATCCCGACTCCAACTACACCAGCAAGACAATGGCAGCGCTCCATCTCGCGGAATGGCACAAGCTGCCCATCAGTCTCTCCGAGCTCTGCATCAACACCACTCTCCGCTGCGGACAATCCTTCAGGTATCCCACTTTCCCCACCTTCACCCCCTTCACCCACGTCGTGCGATCTAACACCATCCAGATGGCGCAAATCCGACTCGGGCATCTGGTCCATGGCCCTCCACAACCGCATCCTCTCCCTGCACCAGGACCCGGATCACCTCTACTACCGCTCCTTCCCGCCCGCCTCATCCATCTCCCAGGCCCCTCCGACGCCCCCATCTTCCACACCGGACCCGACGAAAGAAGACGAAGAAGAGGAGACTCTGGAACTCATCAGGCATTACTTCAACCTCACTCCGAATCTCACCGAACTCTACCAGCACTGGTCGGCCTCGGATTCGAATTTCGCTCGCAAAGCCCCGAAATTCACGGGCATCCGCATCCTGAAACAGGACGCCTGGGAAGCGCTCGTGGGCTTCATCTGTAGCTCCAATAACAACATTGCGAGAATTTCGCAGATGGTGCAGAAACTGTGCAGGCACTATGGTCCGCTGATTGGATTTTTGGACAAGGAAGGAAATCCCACCACCACCACCACCACCAGCGAGGAGGGGGAGGACGCAGACGCAGAGGCATATTACGATTTCCCCGACGCCCGAGCCCTCGCCAAGGAAGGCGTCGAAGCCCACCTCCGAGCGCTGGGCTTCGGATACAGAGCGAAGTACATCTACCAGACAGCCTGCATCATCGCTTCCCAACCCGCCGACTACCTCGACACCCTCCGGAACCCGGAATCCAATCAACCCTCCGCCTCCGCCTCCGCCGGCCCTTTCACCCCAGCCGGCAGAGCGGGCTACCGAACAGCGCACACCGCCCTCCTCGCCCTGCAAGGCGTAGGCCCCAAAGTCGCCGACTGCGTCTGCCTCATGGGCCTCGGCTGGGGCGAGGCGGTGCCCATTGACACGCACGTCTGGCAGATCGCCCAGCGAGACTATAGATTCGGCAAGGGGAAGCATGCCTCACTAACCAGGGGCGTGTATGAAGCGCTCGGGGAGAAGTTCCGCGGGCTCTGGGGCGTGGAAGCCGGGTGGGCGCAGAGCGTGCTGTTTACGGCGAATTTGAGGGCTTTCAGTGAGAGGTTGGTCGCGAAGAAGGAGGGGGAAGAAGAAGTAAAGACGGAGGTGAAGGTGAAGAAGGAGGAGGAGGAGGGGAGGGATGTCGTTGTTGTTGTGAAGAAGGAGAAGGTATTGGAGAAAGCCATCAAGCGGGACTGGGAAGATGAGGAGGAGAGGAAAGTCCTGGAAGTGGTGCAGGAGAAAGTGGTGAGGAGGAATAAGAGAAGACGCAGAGATTAAACATGATGATTTTGCCCGTAACTGATTCCAGCTCCGCCCTCGATTTCTGGCTTCTGGATCATTATGATACATAATCTCGAGAGAGAGGAAAACCAAGGAGCGTACTGTTTGCCCCGTTCTATAACGCGCCATCGGGGTCGTGGTCGTGGTCGTGGTGTCTCGAATCTCCATGCATTGCGCAAGCACCAGGCTCAGGCGCGCCATCCGTCCCAGAAGAATCGAATCGAAAAGACCGCTCCAAGACGCCTCGCTAAGTAAAGCATCATCCAAATCCTGATACACCGGGCCATCCCAGTCTCCGTCTCCGTCTCCGCCCCCGTTTTCCAGCCAGACTGATCTATCTCTGCTGCTGCTGGTCCAGTTCGACTTTAGCAGCCTCCCTCACCACAGCCTCCTTCTCCCGCACAGCAGCCCACTTGAAAATCTTCTCCGTCCTAGGAGTCATCGCGCCACCTCCCAACGCCTTGGGCAACTCCTGCACCGGAACCTTCAACAACTGCTTCGGCGTAACCGGAGCAGCAGCAGCCTTCGGAACCGTAGCAGCAGCAGTCTCCAACTCGGGCAGACCAAAAGCTTCAAACTCCCAATCCCTCTCCCCATTCCCCTTGAACATCTTCTTATTGCCCTCCCTCGCGACGGCGCCTTCCTTGAGAACCGCAATGATGCCGAGCAATTTCTTCGCATCGGGACGTGGATGCTCATGCTCCCGGACGAGGTGATAGGCGTCCTGGAGGAAAGAGAGGGCCTGGCCGGGGGAAGCCTGGGTGGAGAGGATGTTGTACGCGTAGACTTTGGTGTCGACTTCGGCGGAGAATTCGCCCTGGACGAGGTTGAGGCAGAGGGCGCGGCAGACTTCGTGGTTGCCCTGATCGCGCTGCTTCATGGCCTGCGTGAGCAGGCGTCGGCTGTCCAGCCTTCGGGCTTCCAGTTCCGTCTGCAGGCTGGTGAGTTTGATGCGCCAGGCTTCGTCTTCTGCTTTTCCCTCTTCCCCGAGCGACACCAAGGCGCGGTTGACGGCCCAGAGGTCGGGCGTCCGGGTCGACGCGAAGAGTTCGCGGATCTCGGGCGTCCGCGGTGTCGCTGCGCCGCTCTGCTCCGGCGTAGCCTTCTTCGCGCCGCCAGTCTGGCCCGTCTTGCGGTGGAAGAGATTGCTGCTGGAGAGATTCTTGCCGAGATCCGACAGAATCCTGAACGAATTCGACGGCGAGCGCTTGATCTCGGGCTTTTTCCGCTGTGGGTCTTGTTGGTCTTGCGGCAGCGCTTTGGGAGTCACCTCCTCGTCCATCGCGGAAACCGAATCTCGGTGTGAGGCAGGCGCCTCGGCCCCGTGGAGAGTCGCGTCGGAATCACAAGATCTCTCCGGTGCTGGGCGCACGCTCGCGTATACCTTTGTGTCTTCTCCGTGTGGCAAGTCGAACGTGAGCGATCGGGTCCTATCCAGGAAAGCCGCGGGCAGTTCCAGATCGACTGGGTGCGACTCGTCACTTTCGTCCGGCGTCACCGTGATGCTGGGAGTCGAAGCCACGGTCGAAGCGCCCGATGAGGGTGGAGAGGCCATCTCGCCGCTTCTTGTGGTGATGTTCGTCGCAGGCTTCAGAGAAAATGTGTGTTGTTATTGTTGTTGTAGTAGCAAAGTATTATTAGCAGTAGTAGAAGAAGAGAAGTATGATGGTTGGATGGTTGTTGGATGGTTGGCTTTCAATGCATCCGATAGATTGAAACCCCTGTCAGTGTGGGAAAAGGCGGTCTGGCCGGTGGACCGGACACGTGCGTCGATTACAGGTGCATTGGTTGGGATGAAATCCGACGAGAGCAGACACTGCCAGATGAGGGAGAGAGAAGGCGCGTGAAGGGGGGCAAGATACAGATACTAGGTACAGTACATGTAATTAACGAGAACATTCGGAAGGCGTCCTGACGGTGGATCGCAGTTAACCAATCACGAGGCGCTACTTCGGCGATATAGCCCGTCTGTCTGGAATGCAAGGAAGAGGTAAGGTAAGGAAGAGGTAAGGTAAGCAGTTCCTCTTGACTGTTCGTGACTGCGGCAGCTGCGACTGGTAGACGGGCCCATCGCAACCTCAAGGTTCGGAGTCGGTCGGGATAGCTTAGGTACCGTGTACACCCAAGCAAGCCAAGCCTGGAACCACGGGCAAGCGAGCACAAGCAGTCTCTACCCGTTTGCATGTGAAAAGCTTCTGTCGTAATTTGCCTTGCTACCTAACCGGAGTCGGAGTCCATTAAAACAACCAGATGCCAGCCTTTGCTGCGGCCTACGGGGAAGCTGAGTGCCCTTGCTCGATCGTCACGCAGCTCCTCCCTTACGCACGCCAGTGATGCTATGCACTCCTCTCGTCGTCTTTCGTTAACCTTTCATCACATCATCGAATTGAGATCTATCCCCTTGACCTGTCATGTCTTCGTTCGAGTGAAGCCGGGGAGGTTGTCCGTCTGGTACACCATTCGGTGGCTGTCGTCGTAGTGTGTGCTTTTTCATCGTCGTACTTGAGCATCGACATTCTTCACAAATCGTTGTAGCCCAGAATTCTCTTCGGCAGCTCCTGATCCGCCACAGCCCACGTCCACGCGCGCCCGGCCTCGCCGAACCAGAGACTCTCTGGAGCAGACGACTTTTCCAGCATGCCGTCCTTCTCCATCGACTTCATCTCGTGCCCAGTCGTGTAGGTGAGGAAATGCTCAAACTCCTTCGTCTCCAGAGCAAGCGCGTTTCCAGAGATGCCATGGCAGAGACACGGCTCCTTAGTGAGCAATCCGCGCTCCAACACGCACTCCCTACCCCTCGCAATCGCTTTCTCGATTCGACCCGTCAGATTCGGGAAATGCTCCTTGATGCTGAGTAACGAGATGACGACTCCTGGAGCGCCATGGCAGACCTGCACCAGACGGTCCTTCTCCACCGGTACGCTGCTGGGGAAATTGCCCGTCTCGAACTGATACGTCAGCAACACCGCCAGATCCGTCTCCATCTTCTCCGCATACTTCTGCGGATTCGTCAGGACAATCTGCGTGATGATGCCGATGAGTCCATGCACAGCTCCAATGTACGTCTTCCCTCGCCATTTCCACGGTCGCGGCGAATCCAGAATGGCGTCGATCACATCATCCTGCGTGTCCGTGATGAGCTGCAAAGTCTTCGCATCGTCCATGAAACTCGCCTTCACAAGCCGTAGGAGGTAGAGGTATCCAGCCCGTCCAAACAGCAGCTCATTCTCGGTTTCGGGATCAATCGCTTCGGCCGAATAATCGCAAAGATTCGCAGCCATTTCCGCATCTTTACTCGAAGCCGCTCCGATCGCCAGTAAACTCAAGATATCATCTGTGATTCCACACTTTCCGATCTGCGGGCCAGGATAGGTCGCGATGTTATCCTGTGCTTGCTTCAGGTATGCAGCACTCCATGTTCCCAGGGCATGTCCTTCGATGACGAGGTCGGGGTACATCTGTTGGAGGACGAGAAAGACGTATGCGACGCTCACAGGCCCTTTGAACAGGCCGCCGCCAGGCTTGCACTCGGCTGGCGGGTATTCGTTGACGAGTCGTGTGAGGGACGCTTCGAGTTGACGACGGGGATCTGATTCGCACGATTAGCAGCTCCTCTCGCACGAGACTGCGGATCTGGAGTCCTTTACCTCGCCGCGCCGACGGCGCGTCGTTCTTGAAGTATCGCGGCGGCATGTTGTTGTTTGGGTGGAGGCGATCAGGCTGCCAGAGCCGCGATTCAGCTCATTGGTAGCAAGCTGTGTCCGAGGGCGAGAGCGAGGAATCGTGAGGTATCTCAGAGGTCAGAGTGAGGAGGTGAAGTGGCCAGGTGGTTGTCGCACAGTCGAAACCGTTCCTAGCTTGGTGGAAGCGGTGTCGTTATAGCAAGGTCAAAGGCTGCAAAGAGGCCGTCACATTGCCTTGAAGATCAGGATACCTCGACGTCGAAAACCGTCGTTCCTGCCCAAATGTGACGTAGCGTCGCTGCGGACTACTTTGCGATACACCGAGTCTTTGCCGATCGGCGTCTCTGCTGTCTTCACCTACTCTCACTTCTACAGAGGGACTGCTCGAGTCGATATAGGCAGAGATAAGGACGCGGGTTAGAACGTGGTTTGGTGTTCAAACGCGATGAACAGGGAACAAGCACAGGAGAGTTCACCATTCACTCCGCTCCCCACTTCAGCTCGGACCCTGTAAATCTTGGGAGCGGGAAACGTGGTCGAATTGACATCTGAACCGCTCCCGTTTCAGGCTCATGCCCATCTAGATTGGTTCCTAAACACCTCTGTCCTTATGCACTGCCAGCTAGCTCACGTCGTAGCATCAGGCATCCACATGACCATTTTGCGTCTTACCGGCCATGCAGCAAGCCTTCCCAGAACGCCATTTTTTGTGCAGCAGCCCAACGCCGATGAACATACCTAGCATGCAGCCTGGCCTCTTATCTAATGCGGTCCAAACGCGCCCTGTTAACTGCGATCTGGTCGTCCACCTTGTCCGTCTTGTTGATGATACGATCGATGTGCTTGTTCTGGCTGTCAATCTCACTTCCCATGGCCTTGCCAAGTTGGTTGAGCGTTCGCGCGCCACGGTGGATGGCATCCCTGTATGACTGTTAGCGATCAAGCTCCTCGACACCTTCGAATCAACGTACAAGTTGTCGTCAATCTCATTCTCCATCTCGTCGTCTTCGCTGTCCGCCTCGAATTGATACTTGGCACGATCCGCAAGGCTTCTCTGATTATTCTGGCGGATGACGTTGCCGTTGAGATCTCTCTGCTGCTGCTGTTTCCTCGCTTCTGACTCATAGGCGTTTGCTCTCGTAGTGTCACGTTGGTCACGCTCGCGTTGGTGTTTCTCCAACGCAATGGCGTTGGCGGCCTCTTCACGCTTCTTCGCCGTAAATGGGTTTGCGACGTGGACCGCAAACATCGACCGGTTCAAGGTCTTCAATTCGCGGGCCTTCTCCTCAGCCAGGCGGTTCTGGTTGGAAGCCATGTCCAGGTTACGCTCGGTGTTGTGGATTCGCTCTCCCTGTGCTCCGAGTCTGGCAAGCGTTTCGCGACCCGTCTGCTCCGCCTGCTCAGCGACACGACGAGCGTTTCGGGTGGAGGATACGTCTTGCTGCTTGATGAATCTGATCTCCTGCTTTGCGGCATTCACGTCCTCTTCTTCCTGCTCCTCGGCGGTGAGCTCTCTGGCAGGGCCCGCACCGTACCCACCGGGCATTTCAGTCGAGTCGTAGCCTCCCGTATTGCTGTAGCTTGTATCTTCGCCCGGTTGTTGCAAATCCTGCGGCGGTCTGTTCGCGGCTCTATCCGCAGCATCGCCGAAGAGGGCATTTCTGCCAGCATCTGTGCCCATTGTCTCGTTGCTGTTTGTCCTTGCTAGTCCGCCATATCCACCAGCACCGTATCTCGACGGGCCAGAGTTACCAGTGCCGTATGGATCGCTCCCATAACCACCAGTTTGGCCGTACGAATTGCCTTGGCTCTGGAATCGTGATGGCGCACCACCATATCCCCCGGTTGGTACAGGACTCTTCTCCTGTCGATTTGGCGCAGGTCCATTGCCGGCACCGTATCCTCCACTGGCATAGCCAGGTGGCTGCTCTTTCCTACTCTCGTTCAAGGTGAGGCTTCCGAACGAGCTTGTTGGAGGTTGTGTGAGGCTGCTCTGACTTCGCATGTACGGATCATTCTGGGGAGGCGCCTGCGAGGCATACGGGTTTGCGTTGCCGCGATTGGCATATGGGTCGTTCCCCGGTGGTGGGACAGCGTAGGGGTTGTTGGAAGCGGGCGCTGGAGAAGCGGATTTAGACGCCTTGGAGCGGCTGCCGCTGCCGAAGAGCGACGACTTCTGCTTTTCGAGGTCGCCGCCCTTCTCGCCTTTCTTGAGTCCAAACGGCATATCAAGTCGTGCCTAGCGCTGCGTGGTTAGAAGTAGAGTGTATGTTCGGAGAAAGAGCAAGTCAGGCAGAGGTATCATGCACAGGTGAAGTTGGGTAGGAGTGGAGGAGCGAGGGGCGCAGCTGCAGGGCTTCGCGGTTCGAGTGGCTGAGATCAGCTGTCTCGCCAAGAGTTGCACCGCCGCCAAACAAAGGTATTATTGTCCCGGTCACAATGTTCTATAATGCTGTCAACAGTGGAGGATTCAAAGAATTCGCGGCAGGAATGGACGCATGCATAAGAAATGGATGCATAAGAAGTGAATGTGTGTGGATGCAGAAGATGGCAGTGAGATCGGCAGGTCCGTTATAGGCCACGAGCAGGGATCCGCGATGAAGCGAGATCTGTTTCTGCCTGAGGCAGCATTCTAGATGGAGCGACTCCCAACGAACAACAGGAGATAGCACTTTGCCGCACCAACGACCTCACCACAGGCGAAAGCTTCAAACTACACCGGAGGAGGTCGTCTTGTTTCTCACACAGGCAATGTGCTTGCCCTGACATGTGAACGCAATCTCCACCCCATTGCCAATACGATAGGACCACTGCAGCATACCGATGCCCACTCGTCGTCGAACTGGGAACGATCGCCTCCCTCAACATCGCTCGCAACCTTCTCCGTCATGTCTGACCTCTTCCGGCAGAGCGTCGATGGCCACTCACCTCCCACGACAGACACTCTTCGGCCAAGGCCCACTCCACTACCGGTCCAGCCAGGCACCGCAGAAACCGACGACTACCCATCCTCAGACTCATCTGCTTCATCCGCCGCCACAGTCGAGACGATAAGGCCGTCTTCACGAGAGCAACAAGCTCCGCCTACGCATTGGACCAATTATTTCGACCAGGAACTGCATCTCGACCAGGAGAACGAATTCCAGAAGGCTGTCTATCACGTCTACCTGACCCCACCAACAAATCCCAGTAAAGGACCTCTCTTCATATGCCATCATGGAGCTGGAGCATCAGGCATGTCGTTCGCAGTCTTTGCCCAAGAAATACGTAAAAGGCTTCCAGACGCGGGCATACTCTCCCTCGAAGCTCGCGGCCATGGCTCCGTCGTGAGGGACATCTCTACTGCCGAAGAAATAGTGGACTACAGTCTGGCAAGTCTCACCACAGACGCGCTCGCCATGATTCACCTGACCAAGACATCGCAATCCTGGCCTGCAATGCCGCCCACCGTCTTGATCGGTCACAGCCTGGGCGGTGCTATCATGACCACACTCTCCGCTACCCATTTCAAATCCTTCGGCCCCGCCTTAATTGGCTATTCCGTGATAGACGTTGTAGAAGGCTCCGCAATCGAGGCTCTCTCCCACATGAGGACCTACCTTGCCTCTCGGCCCTCCATCTTTTCCTCCCTGGAAGAAGCCGTATCCTGGCACATCCGAACTCGCACCATCCGTGACCAGCGCAGCGCGGAAGCCTCGGTTCCCTCTCTGCTCGTCCCCTCTCCGACAGGAAACGGAAAGTACATCTGGCGCACAAACCTTCAGAGCACTTCTTCGTGGTGGCAAGAGTGGTTTCAAGGAATGTCGTCGAAATTCCTCCTTGGCCGCGGCGCAAAGATGCTCATCCTCGCCGGGACGGATCGTCTGGATCGCGAATTGATGATCGGGCAGATGCAAGGAAAATTCCAATTGACTGTAATCCCGGAAGCGGGACACTTCGTGCAAGAGGATGTCCCGGAGAAGGCGGCAAATCTGCACGTGGAATTCTTCAGGAGGAATGATCGGAGCCAGATGGTCTTGCCGCCGAAGGTCAGCGATCTGCTTGCTCAGGGAAAGAAGGTCTAGTGGGCCTAAACTAAGGTATCGTCAACAGCAACTCCGAGCTGAGGTAGTGAGAGCAACGAAGATAGAAAGAAAGTGTGTTTGAAAGACTTGAGGTATTGCGAGTCTGAAGCCCCTGTACTCTCGGAATGATGCGTCTACGAGCGGGGCCACACTGCACCGGACCAACAAGAGAATAACAATTATGAGAAATAGTACGACAGACCCATCAGTCTTGCAGAGGAACATGATAAAGAAGTCAATAGGATCTGCAAAGCCAATGACCACTGCATACTCTCAAATCAGGCACTCGATCTTTCGTTCGTTTGCAAAATGGCCACGAGCCATGTCTGGCTTGCTGCGTCTCTACCAGCCACGCATCCGCAGACAAGCTGCAAGCAATATTTCGGGCGACGCTGGATCATGCTTCTCAAATTATGCCATGCTACTTGGCACTCAAGCACACGCCCTCATCATCGCTCATCTCCACTCCCTCCTCCAATCCTCGGAACCCTTCCATCCTCTCGTCTCGGTATCCCTTCTCTTATCCTTCCCATATCCCTCCGCTCCAGATCCAGATCCAGATCCAGCAGCAATCTCCAAAACCGCAATCGAAAACTCCGGCAATTCGAAACTGAAAGTCCCATTCCCACCTGCGCGGACCTCTTCCACGTGCGTCTGCACGACATTGCCCCCGATCGGGTTACTGGAATTCCTCGGCGCGGTGAGAAAAGTCAACACCCCCTTCGCACCCGCCGCGACGCCCTCAAACGTCGCGCGAAAAGGAACGGCGTCAGTGCTGTTATAGACCGCAGCTTTCAAGATATACGAACCCGTAACGTCATTCCGGCCGGCAACGTAATACGCCGGATCGAAAGCCGCGCCGACCAGGGGTAGAGTCTCCGTGATCCGCGTTCCAGAAAACAGCTCGATCATGCGGTAGCTTGTCGTCAGGGTCGTGTGTCCCGGGAAGGCGTCGTACTGGATGAGGTCGGGGATCCACTCCCAGCGGTTCAGATTCTGAAATAGGGGTGCGTAGGCGGCGCCGATGAGTTTGTGGGAATTGCGCTCGGCGCCGAGGAGGAAGATGGCTTCGGCGACGGTGCCGGACCAGAAGGGGGAGAAGGCTCGGGGGGCGCCGGCGGCCCAGCTGACGGCTGTCTGGTTGGGTTGGTCGTACTGCACGACGGCGTATTCGCCGATGAGGATCGGGTGCGCGGAGGTGTAGTTGTCGAAGTAGCCGAATTGGCTGACCATTTCGCTGGGAAGGGCGTATTCGTGGAAGTCTTGAGAGAGCGGGGTTAGTGAGGGAAGGTGGAGGTTGCAGGAAGAATGAGAGACATACCGCCAGAGGCATTGAAAGGAGGAGTTGCACCGTCAACGTCGTAGAAGCTGGCGATGATGGTGATATCTGGGTATGCTTTGGCGATCGCATCGTAGAAAGTATTGAATCTGTAGGAGCGGTATGTTGGGCCGCCGCCGTTCAAGCTGTCCTCGTTGCCAACTTCTACGAACTGCGAAGGTCAGCTCTGTTCGAGAAGATGATTCTTCTTGCCCGTACCTTGACCGAGAAGGGTTCTGGATATCCCAGACTCGCACGCACAGCGCCCCAAGTCGTCGAAACATCGCCTCTCAAAAACTCAATCTCATCCAAAGCAGATTGAACATACGGCTGCAGCTCTTCTTCCGTCAAGGCCTCTCCATCCAGCCAAAAACCACTCCAGACAGCGAGCAACAGTTCCATGTCCAGATCTCTGGCCCAGAGAGCGTATTCCAGCAAGCCTAGACCATTCGTGTTCTCATAGGACCAAGTACCAGGATATCCCCGACGATCCTTGATGGGTCCAATCGTCTCGGTCCAGTTCCACCAGTAGGGTGACTGCAGGCCTTCGACATTGTTGCCTCCCGGTGCACGGAAGAAAGAAGGCTTGAGACTTGCCATAGCTTCCATGAGATCGATACGGAGACCGTTTTCTCTGTTCTTGTAGGTTGGCGGGAACAGGCTAAGCAGATTGAAGTCCAGCGTTGTGTTGCCCCGGGAGTTGTATGTGAAGGTCAACGTGTTGTTCGAGTTGGGAGCGTCGGCGGTCGGTCGGAGGGTGTAGTTGAACTGGGTCCATGAGTCTGATTTGGAAGCTACTCGGACCGCAGCTTGTGCCCACCTACACGGCAGATGGTCAGTAGCGCGACTACTTCAAGTGAGCGATATCTCACTTACGAATGGTTCTGCAATGACGAGTGCAAGTCCACCTTGATATCGCCATTGTAGCCACCATGAACCCAGAACGAGCCCTTATATGTCCACGAAGACACAACCTAGGCGAGAAGACTCAGTATGCACTGCAGCGCCATCTCCATGTTCATGCTGCCGATACTCACGGGAAAGCCCCAAAAGCCAGCATTGGAGAAGCCAAGCTCACCAATCCCGCCGACTCGCATCGAAGTCGGCAAAGCAGCGGAGAGCGGCTTGGAGAGATTCTGAAGGCTTAGCGATGTATCGCCGACAGGAGACCAGAAGGAGAGATTGCTTGGGAAGATCTATTCAAGCTCTTAGCATTTCCTTTCCAACACATCTGTTGTGTTCGTCGACTGACGCCATCTCCCTGAAAAGCCCTGTTCTGGATCAATTCGGCGTACACGCCGCCATCGCCGGAATTGTTAATGTCCTCGAACATGATTCCATACTGGTACGGGGAAGTGGCATTTCCTCCGCTGTTCTTGACGGTGAGATTGACCGCAGATACGCCGGCCGCCATGGCAGCGACGCCAAAGGCCTGGAGAAGCAGAAGCATTGTGAAGCACAACGAACTCCTTCCAAAGACTGCTGCAACAACACCCGAAGTTCAGGAAGCGGCGACAAGAGGGCTACATGAACGCCTGATCGACCACCCTTTCGCCTTCGCCTTCGGTGTCCTTCATCCCGTCGGTGCATGGAACGCCAATGTCCCGAAGACGCGTCTCCATTTTCGTGCAGCGGATTCGAGCTCGTCCACGAAAGAATCGCTGCTTCAGTACAGCTGTAGCCGATCAGCATCTCGGGCCGTGCAGGCATAGTCCATGATTCCAGCGTTTTCCATGTAATTTTCGCGAATCAGCTTCCACCACGCACGCGAGATGACTGCGGGCAATATGCACAGTAAGGTATGATGCACAATGTGTGATGGAGACCCCACACTGCGCCACAAGATGCGGGGAGATGCAGTGGCGAGGAAGTGCAGTGGAGAAGGACGGAGTGGAGGGACCTTACGGCGCGGAGTGGAATTTCTCGTACCGTGGCCCGAGAGAAGACGAATAGGCTGAAGTCGAAGAGGATTCGAGATCGGAGTGGCATGCATCAGAACACAACTGGGAAGGCTTTTATCTCAAGCTACTCTCCGTCTTGCCATCTCGCCGTCCGGTCCTTCTCTTCCTTCCATGCGGCATCTGCCGACGGTGTCTGCTGGCAAGCGGCACGAGAACAATTGAGGCAAATCGTGAAGAGATGAGATGACAGCAGATCGTTCCTTCCGTTGATGACAGGAAGTGCAGCCGGGTGAGTGGCCCGAACCGAGGGTAGGCGGGCGGCTATTGGCGGCGACGCTAGAGACGCTAATCACGGGCTGGCCCGGCGCTAGCGGGGCTCAGCCGCATCCTTCTCCGTCTTTCGCGACTTCACATCTCTCGGGAGACGAGCGTACTATGGGACTGACTGATGGGACACCGCTGCACCGGCCCACCAACTGGACAGATATCATCGCGAGGACCGCAGGCCGGACTGAAGAATGAAAAGTACCCAGTAAATGAGATATATCGACCTGGTCGTGCCGGGTGCGCGGGAGGAAGACGTCCTGTCCTTGACTTGGATCCCGCCATCGAGGAAGAATAATACCATGATCTCCCTCCATGTGCACAACGGCTACGACGAGAGGAAGATGCTCAACTAGCATTCAGACAAGTCCTCGTGACCCCACGCTGCGCGTTGACAAGGTGAGCTTTCGCTTTCAATACACCTACCTACAAACACTCTCCTTCCACCCACCTTCATCAACAACAACAACAACTTCTCTTCCATCTCCACTCGCCTCGCCTCGCCTCCTTTCCGCATCCCCCGTCCCCTCGCTGCCAGAGCAGTCGCCGTGCGTGCTTGTCACCATGGACGGCCACGGCTTTGGCAGATCTACCCTTGGCCGCCGTCGCGGCGGCAGCAATGCGTCTTCGGACGGCAAGTTCTCCATGCCCCTACACTACGCCCCCTATCACCGCGGCGAGAGACCGTCTGCTGACGCTCTAGATATAGGAGCACGCACCACTACCCACAGCGCTCTCAAGAACAGCGCAGAGCTTGAGCGCCTCGACTCCCACACCACTGCTCTCACATCGCCACCGACGAGCTCTCTCCGCCCGCGCTCTCGCGCCGGCACCGTCTTCGGCTTTTTAAGCCCCTTTGCATCAAGGCGCTCGAGCTCCGAGCAGCAAGTTTCATCTCCTGACGGTAAGTCCATGCTTGGCACCCTGTGTCGCGTGTTATAGAGTATAGAGCAGCGCGGCGGCGCAGCAGCGGCAGCAGCAGCAGCAGCAGCAGCAAAGGTGGCGGATCGGCCTTGTTCGGATCTGCATTTGCATTTGATCGTTTCCGTCACATACACCCCTCTATCCCCACCCACCACCCGAATATCGCCCCAAACATCCTCCCGCTTTCGCCCACGTGGCCCGCAGCTCATCACCGAAACCTTCGAAAGAAAAGAAAAATTCCGCTTCACTTGGGTGGCGACTGCGCTCTTGCCGGGCCTGACGAAGCTGCATCACTGTGGTCTTTGCTCTCGCACCGTTCCTAGCCGGTCACCAAGTGACAGCACAAATCCGCGACCGCCGTGACCTCGACGTTGCATATCAGAAACAGCGGCGGGTACTGTGGCGCTTGCACAACGTGTGGTTCCCTTGCCCGTCAGCACCAAAAGCACGCGAGCGAGCGAGTCACTTCCTGTCGGTAACAGACACACCCACCCTCCCTCTTCCGCCCTTCCGCCCTCTACACCTCCCCCATTCCGACCGGCCATCGTTGGGCTGACCAGCATTCCAAGGTGCAACTTACTCCAAAGCGAGCTTCACCAGCTCACTTCGTGCCAAGCTCCGTGCGGAGAAGAGCAAGAACAAACACCTGGACGCCGAACGCCTTGCTGAGCTTCGCGCCCGGAAACAACAGGACAAGCCTGCACGCCCGGACTTACTTGAGAAGCAATCTACCAAGAAGCTCACAGACTTCTTCAACCTTGTCAACCGGAAGGAACATCGCCCGGCTCTGCAAATTTCATCGCCTATACCCATCGTTGCATCGCCGCCAGGAGCCGCCTTTTCGCCACCCGCTCCATCGCCCTCATCGGTATTGGAAGCACTAGGCTCGCCCCCTAGAGTCCTTGCTCCCGCCCCCTCCCGCTGCCAACGTAGTTTCGCGCAACGCAACAACGACTATCTCCACCGTTTGTCGTCCATACCCGAGGATCCGCAAATTACTCAGCTAGTCCGCACCTCACCTGCCCCACCACCGACAGACAGATCGCCCACGCCAATTCGATCGATTCCGTCACAGATATTGGCTGCGTTGGCTGCATCCACCGCAATGGACCCCTCACTTCTTGCGCCTGGTCTCACGTCTGTGGCTGAGCAGCAGGACCAGGCGAAACGTGTCAAAGATGCCAAGGAAACGTATCAGATGATCGTCAAGAATGCAGAACGCACAGGCCGTGTCATTCCCGCATTCGACTTCCTGGAACTCATTGGCAAGGGAGCTTACGGGCGCGTCTACAAATGCCGCGATCAAAAGACAGGCTCTCTCGTTGCCGTCAAGATTACAGAAGTGGATTCGAGGGATTGGATTGAAGCAACGGAGTCGGGCGCTCCGCCCCGCGACGACACCATCCGAGACTTCAGGAAAGAAGTTTCTACGCTGCAACAGTTGAAAGACAAGGGTATACCCAACATCAATGTACTTCATGACGCATTTGATATGCACGCACAGGTGTGGATGATATCAGACTACTGTACCGGTGGCAGTGTTCGAACGCTCATGCGCCCCTTTGCTGTCAATGGGGAGCCACGCGGACTTCCAGAGAAGTACATCATTCCCATCGCCCGAGAGCTCGCAATCGCTATCGCTGGGTGCCATGAGTCGGGTATCATCCACCGAGACATCAAATGCGCGAACGTTTTCATCACGGAAGATGGCAAGATTCAGCTTGGCGACTTTGGCGTTGTTGGCGTTCTGGAGAACCAAACGGATAAGCGCAGAACAATCATTGGCACGCCTCACTACATGCCCCAAGAAGTAGCTGAAAAGCTCGACCAGCCCCTTGACGAGGATGAACCAGGCTATGGCTCGGAGGTAGACATCTGGGCCTATGGATGTACTCTCTACGAGATGGCGACCGGACACCCGCCGTATTGGAAGGTTCCTCCTAAGAAGATACATGAGGCCATATCGAAAGGTCCGCCACGGGTTACAGATGAGTCATACTCTCCCGAACTGCGAGATCTTATCGCAATGTGCACCGAAATAGATCCGGATCAACGTCCCGCGGCAACGACGATCTTGCAGCATCCAGCTATTGCAAATACGAGCAGAGAGTACCCAACACGCAGCCTCGTCCCTCTCATCGAGCGTTTGAAGATATGGGAGCGCGGTGGCGGCTCTCGACAGTCATTGTGGATCCAAGCTCCGTCGGATCCACGCTCGCCCTCTGCCGACAATGGCGACGATGGCAGCGATAACGACCATGGGAAGTCTTCCAAGTGGAGCATGGATGGATGGAATTTCAGTACCTCAGAAGACTTTGACCGACGATTCAGTCAGCTGACGTCCTACAACGACGCGAACATGCAATATCTCGAAGCTCCACACGGCGCCGGACTGCCTCCTGCCGTGCCACAGATCAACACCAAGGATCTCACTGTCGCGGAGCGAATCAAGCGCGAGCATACAGAGCTCTCGGCAAACCGTGGTGAGAAGCTTATGGCGAGACTATTCGATCCAAATGACCCCACTGGCTATGACAGCTCGTCTGCGGCGCAGAATACGCCAGTGGAAGAGCCTTCTCCGAGCTCAGACTTACCCTTACGCAACTTCACTGGTGACGCCCCGACCCGCGAGAGCATGATTGAGATTGACTTGGACGATGCTGGGGCCCACGGGACCGCCACATCCGTATTCGCGCTGCATATGGAGAACGAGCACACAATCAAGCCTATCGGCCGCAGATTCGTGGACGACGAAGATGATAGCGACAATTTCCAGTTTGATCAACGCGACAGCGGCGACAAGCGTGACACGATGGCGTGGACATTCCCCTCCGCTCCACAGCCACAAACTCAACTCAAGCGCGGCACCTTGGACTGGACTTTCTCCAACGCTGGACCAGCGCAAGCTCATGAAGCTGAGCCGTCAATGGATGAGCCGGACACAGGCTATGGTGGTGAATTAGCACCGGGTGTCCGACCCACCATCAAGCATACAGCCACCGAGCCCGTTGGCCATTTCCGCGGCTTCTCACCCGACATGGCAGCTTCCCTTGGGTCCCCAGTGCGCGAGTCTGTCGCATCCATGATCGACCTAGATTTGGGCTTCGTCGACCCCTATGAGCATATCCAGAACCCTGCTGAGATTGCTCGCCCGTCGACGGCCAGCTCAGCTGCGGGATCTACCATGACCGACATGACCTCCGGCAATCCATTTGATCTTGAAGAAGACCCGGTTCAGAACGAGCTTGACCGTCAGCGCTTCTCCTACCACAAGCAGTGGCAGTCAGAGGGTGGCCACATGGACCGCGCCGACCACAGGGCTATGCCTATGCATGCTCGAGGAAGCAGTCTTTCGAGTACCGACTCCGACATGGATCCCCTGAATACGATCAACCAACGCGCGGACCCTGCAGCAGAGTCAATGCAGCATCCGCCGTTCAATGTTGATCAAGGCCTCGGAGGTCTCTCGCCGGATGAGATGAACCAATGGCCCAACTTTTCCTCCTTTGACGGCTTCGACACCAGCCCACAGCAGTTCCCATCGCTCAGCGATATCCCACGACTTGGAGAGCCAGACTTTCCGCTTGAGCATGGCCTGCGCACGAACACGAATGGCTTGGCGTCGCGCTCTCGCGAGCCAAGCGGTCAGCCGCCAGGACCTACGATCGATTTCCCCGCGGTCAACCCTCCTCACCCCGAGGCTCTTGTCGAAAACGCCAACTCGCAGTTGTTGGAGCAGGAGTTCAGTCGCGCTCTCAACGATATGGCTGACAGCCTAGACAGCATGGTGCAGGGTTTTCGTCAGTACATGCCGGTCGATGACGATGACGACGGCGATGTTGTATCTGAGAGCGAGGGCACGGAGGACGAAGGTAGCGCTGGAGAACATCTCACCTACCGCCGCGCCAACCGCTAGGCGTTTATGACATGAGAAGAGGAGTAGGTACACATTGGGACGATGACACAGACATTCACCGCACTGCATTGCGAGGGTCGGCTTTGAGAGATACCCCCGCGAGCACAGGCGTTACGTTACTGCTACGATGCGATACTGTACATTAGCCACCGACCAGCCGCTGCTTTGGCCGGCGAGTAGGTAGTCTACGAGATCACAGTTCTTGGACGCCTCTTTTTTGCCGTGTGAGTTATGCTGGCTTTTGACATTGTCGACAGGCTGGAGGGCTTCTCAGCGGGTGACCACACCGATTCGTAGCACCATGCTCGCGGTAATCATCCTATCTATCCTTTTGATCGAACACTAATAGCCTTCCCAGCAGAAAAAAAAGAAATCCTCTCTGGATGGATCCTCGACACCACCACCACCGACCGACCGAAATAGCAAATTCCTCCGCCAACAGGGTCAAGTCTGCCCCCTTAGATAGATAAACCGGAGCGGTTCATCACAGGCTCTTTCTTACATGTGACAGTGACAGTCACAGTCACAAGTGACAAGGGCGTTCTCTTCTCCTTTCCCTTTCCGCCCCCTGTTCCTAGGCTGGCTGGCTCTTTTTCCGTCTGAGACTCCCGACGTTTCGGGTTCCTGAATGAAAAAGTAAGGTACCTGAGTCTGGTTGTTTGGTTTGGTTCTTTGTCAGCGTGACTGGGTCGCTCTGTGCGTGCTCGCGCTTTTGACAGCGTGACGGGCTTGTGATTTCTGATTTCTGATTTCTGATCTGTAGGACCCTGAAATTGAGGTTGTGGGTTGTATGGGTGCTTGATGTTTTGTTCGATGCAGGATGGGTTTTTGTTTTTGCTGGGCGCCGCTATTACTCCCTTTTGCGATGCGGTCGTTTGGCGGGGGAGGGTTGGATTGGAAGCATCACCGGGTGTTGTATTGGGCCGATCGACCCAACGCGAACCAGTATCAAAATTTTGTTCGCTCTCAACATCTCGTTCAACATAGTCAATGCTGCTTTATTAGAGTGATGGCCAAGACAAGTTATTGTCGCAAGTCAAGCATTGATACCTCCCCAAGACCCTCTTTTCGCAGAACTCAATCTCTACCACAGATTGAAAATTTCCACGCCTCTGTGCCTCGAACAACGAACAATTCGAGGCCTTGCAGCAGCCTGATTCGAAGCATTTGGAGGTTACCCACCAGCCAGACGTTGCGTTGCGAGCTCGTGCAATCGCAGAGGAGCAGCACAAGACGTGACTACTACAGAGACCCTGGATAGGGTCCTTCACGTTGACGCCAAACAGGGTCCGTCTCACCCAGTAAGGGTTGCGAAACGGGACCAGGGCCCGCCTATTGTGCGGCCTTGGCGGTGCACCGGAAATGAGCCGGCGCGATGCGTGATGGTGTCTCGAATCGTTGATATAAGGTGGGCGACTTGGCCGCCTCGTTATTCTTGTCGGAAGCTCGCTGGAAAGAAGAGGAATCGCAACTTTCCTGTCTCTTCCCCTTACGATAAATAGAAGGGCGGGTCCGAGAAGAAGACTCTTCGCATAACACATCGCTTCGTTGCAATGGAGGCATTGAAGCTAGCTGTGGCGTCTTCTCCGACGAGGGTGTACGTCGGTAAGTGGATTCTGTTGCGATATCAGGAAATTCAACTGCTTATAATCTGGTGTCAGATATGCCACTCTCGGATATGATGGATCATTCTGAATCACCCACACCAACACCATCCCCTATCGATCTAGAAGAAACTCGCGACGAAGAGAGGCCCTGCACGAAATGCGGCAAGCGACGATCCCGGAGAAGCTCAGTCGCTCCGAACCCGTCCTCATCGAAAGCCGGTCGTGTATACTATCCTTGTACGAATGGGAGATGCTCGAAAGGAAGCCGGAGGTTGATGGAGCGGGACTTCATCATGTGGGACATGCATGGAGAACTCCCGAGATGCGATTGCGGCCTGCCCAGTCGGCAGGGCCGGATGGGCCGAGAGACTACGACGCCGGGATACGGGTATTGGTTGTGTGCGTATGGGAGCTGCAAGTATTTTTCGAGGGATCGCAAGGGTCGATCTGTTGCCAATGGAGAAGTAGACAGCAAGAAGGTGCAGCCTTTCATACTCTGGCTGCTGAATGCGAATTAAGTCTCCTTCATCGTGGATTAGTGACTGAAGCTTGTCAAGCCCTCTCTTGCCACCTCCACGTTGCTGTGCTGGCTCCGAAGAATGACAGATAAGTAGAGCGTCAAACAGTGTCATGATATCACACCGAATTGCCTCCCGGACTGTTGGATCATGATAAGCCATATGACGTCCTGAGTTTATCTCTTCGGGCCATGACGGAGTTCAAGCCTATCTACTTGACAGTAAGCAAGTGCAGGCTGAGCCCACAGTCCGGAAAGCGTGTCCAGCACATGCGGTGAATGATTCTGGCAAATTCTCGCTCAACAGGTGTGAGATGCGGTGTGAGTGTAGAAAGCCCCCTTGGAATACGATCCGAGTGTAACCATCCGCGGCGAAGTCGGAGTGATCCATACGTTCGAAATGGCCGCAACGAAGTTGACAAATCCTGATCTCTAGAAGACCTGACGTCGTAGATCCAGAGGTGTCGGCGATCGGATTTTGGTGCTGCGCGGATCTGGAGCACCTCAGTCTGATGAGACATGTGGTCTCTGTCAACTGACGAATGGCTGAGATCAGCAATGGTCGGAATTCGGTCAGGCCTCCTGTTCGTGAAATGAATCTGGGAAACGCTGTGGCTCCTCCGGCAATGGGACTGTTTCGCACATATCTCGTGTTTGCGGACTGCTTTGGGTACGCAGCAAGGAGTGAGAGTGAGCGACGTGCCTCGCCCACGGCATCTGAACGCGCGCGTACATTGGCATAAGCGCCAGCGGAGGCGGCAATGCGCATATCCCGCGCCAACAAAGACTCGTCTAGAGATTGGCTCATGATCCCCCGTTGAAGCCGGACGAGGGCCTGCTCCCCCTCACCATGCAACAGAGGCATGTCCACCCCAAATAGACCGAGCAAACGGTAGGCCGAATCTTCAACTCGTGAACTTACCCGCGCGGACGCGCAGGACATCCTTTCTGCAACACTGCGAGTATGAAGCCTACTTAGGTCCTCGAGTACCAGCGCGAGTATCCTAGTAATCTGTTCAAGGGGTGGGCGGGTGCTTCCTCTCCCCAATGATCTTCCATCTTGCAGCACAGGAGATGAGATGTCGGGGCGCAATTAGCTCCTGCAGAGTCCAGCCGCGTGAGAACCGCTGACTCTGCTTCAATGCGGACAAGTTCTGAGTATACACATCGGATAGATAGGCATATCATTGCTCAGCTTCGCGAAACCAGTTGAACATGGACTTGACGGCCTTGGTGAGCTCAGCGCTGCTCTTCGTGTCGATGCAACAAGTGTCGATCCATATCAAGTTATTGCCTCGGGCTTTAGTAAAGCCACAGGAATGAATGATGCTCCAGTAGCCGACTCCATTCAAGTTGCGTCCTTTGCGATAGTCTGAGTACGAGACCTCGCGCTCACTCCATCGGTGGGACGAGGTGGCATATTTGTGTACACTGCTCCCCACATATTCTTCCTTTTCATAAGTCCGAGTGTTCAGAAGACGCAATTCCGCAAACGCTTCCCTGCTTCTGATGGATCCAATCTTTGAAATGTCAGTTGCAGAAGCCAATACTTTCCTCCCGAAAGGTTGGAGAGCAAGTCGTCCCCTCGAGCGGCTGGGCTATTCAGCCGCATCGTGTTATTACCACGAGCAGCCGACAACATGACCTGCATGTGTATGTGAGGACACGGAGGTAGCATAGCTCCGCGGAGAGATGGTCAGCAGATGGAGGGATGGATGGTGGAAGAATCTTCAATTCGGTCAGCAGATGAAGTCGTTGTTCATGCCTCAGGCACCAGCGCCAAGCCTCCGGCAGTCCCCGCGCCCGCTCCCACTCCCACTCCGACGAATTCTCTCGCCGACCACGAGCTCTCATTCTACAAGACTTCACTTCATCCACCACCCGCTTTTCCATACCAAATCACACCAGCTCTTCGCCTTAAATCCACCCAGAGACCCTATACCGCACAGACAGTATGGGGGGCAAGAGCGCAACCAAGGCCGGCTACTTCGACAAGCTCAAGGGCCTTCTCGAGGAGTACAAGTCCATCTTCATCGTCACCGTCGACAATGTCTCGTCCCAGCAGATGCACGAGATCCGTCAGTCCCTGCGCGACTCCGGTGTCGTCCTCATGGGCAAGAACACCATGGTATGCTGCCGATTGCGTTGAGCGAACGCGATCGTTCATTGACCGTGGAATTACAGGTCCGCCGTGCCCTCAAGACCTTCATGAACGACTTCCCCGAGTACGAGCGCCTCCTCCCACACGTCAAGGGCAACGTCGGCTTCGTCTTCACCAACGCCGACCTCAAGGAGACCCGTGAGAAGATCTTGAGCAACCGTGTCGCCGCCCCAGCTCGTGCCGGTGCCGTCGCCCCTGCCGATGTGTTCGTCCCGGCTGGTAACACTGGTATGGAGCCTGGCAAGACCTCTTTCTTCCAGGCCCTCGGTGTCCCAACCAAGATCGCCCGTGGTACCATCGAAATTACCACCGATCTCAAGCTCATCGAGGCCGGCAACAAGGTCGGTGCCTCCGAGGCCACGCTTCTGAACTTGTTGAACATCTCTCCTTTCACGTACGGTATGGGTATTTCCCAGATCTACGACCAGGGACAGACCTTCGACTCCAGCGTGCTCGACATTGAGGAGTCTCAGCTTCTCAAGGCCTTCAGCTCCGCCGTCGCCTCCATCACCACCATCTCCCTGGCGCTCAACTACCCCACCCTGCCATCTGTCATGCACAGCTTGGTCAACGGCTACAAGAACGTCATCTCCGTCGCCATCGAAACCGAGTTCGAGTGGGAGTCCATCTCCGAGCTCAAGGACCGCATCCGCAACCCAGACAAGTACGCCGCGGCTGCCCCTGCCGCCGGTTCTGGTGCAGCGGCTGCGGCCGATGCGCCAGCTGCTGCGGAGGAGAAGCCAGCAGAGGAGGAAGAAGAGGAGGACGAGGACATGGGCTTCGGTCTCTTCGACTAAGCGTGTGCTTACGTGCACGCCACGAAACGTCAATAGACGATGTCGACTGGAAACGGTTGATGAATGAAAAGAGTCGCACTCGAGCGGACATTCCCACGTTTTCTGATGATGAAAACATACTCCACTGCAGTGAGACACATGTACGCTCAGGGCATTCAAAAGGTACGTCAACACATTTCGCTATACACATTCTTTTTCGAAGGATTATACATTTTTAACCCTGAGCTCGCTCCTGTGAGGATCAAAACAGCAACAACACTCTAATTTTTTAATGACACCCGACCCGCATTCGCATTCAATCAGCTTTCAACAACATGCCTTAACAACGACTGACTTAAGCCACAGGTCCATGCCGATTTCAGTGTCGCATTTGCCGTCCAATCCCCTCTGTCATGATGAACGCCATCGCTTCGGTCACCTGTTTGTGTGGCTCGTAGTCACGTCGCACCCAAGTCGACTCTGACCCAATAAGCATCCCACTCCCTCCTTCCACCCACAGCCTCGCATACCCTGCAACTTGCCCTGTTTCCCTCAATCACGTACGCGTGCGCCCACTCTGTTACTCCTTTCTCCCACAGAGCCGGCATCTTCTCTACCAATAGCTTGGTCGAAATCATCTTCGCCAGGCCTCTCCCTCTCCATTCCGGCTCCACGTGCAATGTAGATAGGCTTCCATCCAGTTGGATGAATGCCCATGCAATCGGTTGTTGATCTGAGTCATTCGGAAAGATGGCCAGGCTGCGAAGGACTGCCAATGTGCGATCTTGTCTCGGGATCATAGTCCGCGAACGCACGAGAGGGAAATGCCTCTGATCTAGTTCGCCCCAGCGAAATCCAGAAGGTAGTGAAGTGGGTAATGGAGGAAGATCCTTCCGATCGAAGACGTACGTATGATTCGGAATGAAATGCGCAGAATTCTCAAAGACATGCTTCACCACTCCTAGTCTTTCTAAACATTTTGCCGTGGATTCATGAACGGCGCCAAAGAGCATGATGTTGGCGTCGAACCTATGAGCAGCGTAGTCCGCGCGAGAGGTTCCGGAATGGTCGGTATCGTTGGAACTGGAATCCTTATGCAGCTTCTCGAGACGTTCTTGACGATGGATGCTAGCGGGTAAGGGAAAGCTTCTGATCTTCCAGACCAGGTTCCGGAGTACTTCATCCTGAACAGCTGAGGGAGGACAAGAAGATAATGACGAAGATTCCCAACTCCCAAACATCCAGACTTCCGTCTCCGGTCTCGAAGCCCGGTCTACGAGGGCTAGAAGCCATGGCTCGCCCGGACTGGGTTCTGCTCGCGCTAGGGAGTCGAGATTCGCGAGCAGCGCGGTAGAGGCGAAGAAGCGGCCCTGTTGGATCCGCCTGTAGAGGGGAAGCGAGGTCGGGAGATGAGGGCGGAGGAGGGAGAGAGCTTGCGCGTGCGCGGCAGTGGAGGGGTCTGTGAGAGGATAGGCGTGGATGGTAGACATGTTTTTGAGATTTTGGGGTGGAAATACGATCGAGAGTCCAGAGTGGATGGGAGTTGGTTGTAAGGTACGTACCTACCTAGTATTTCGTTTCGAGTCACATGCGGATGGAGAAATCCCGCTTGGATACGACAGGATGCAAAGAACGTTAACCTACTTAGGGAGGAGGAGGGGCGGACGACATCTGGACTTTCACACCTGCTGGCTACAAATTATCATAGCAGTACTATCGACTATTCCCTATCCAGCTTCCGCTTCTGCTTCCCCTCGTCACGCCGAACGCCCAGGGCCGCCTTTGGAACGGCCATGCTCGTTGAAGCGTATGCATGCATGCAGGAAAAGCACCACAAAGCAACCAAAACCAAGTCTATCGCATGGAGGGTATCACAGCTCAAGCGGCATTGTCGACTGCCGCAAGACTCCTCGCTAGAAGCTGAGAGTGTCATGCAAGGCAGTCCTAGCCCTAGCTTTCCTTCGACGCCCAGCCCAGTGTATCATGCTCTCGTGCATGCCTGTCGTTTCGTCCGTCCACCACTTCGATGCCTCGTGAATCTGTCAGGCTTTACTGCGATGCGCATTGCACGCGCTCGCCTCCGGCTCCCATCTCCTCGTCGTCCTCGTCCGTCGCTCCTTGTGCTCGCTGGCCCTCCCGCGTAGGGTCCACCTTCTCGAGCGTGTAGTCCTCGGTCATGGCGTCTGGCGGTGGGATATTCTGTGGCATGCGGGGTGGAAGAACAGACTCCAAAGCCTTGATCTGCTGTTCTGTCATAGTGGTCGGGTAGCCGTTCTCGTCTGGTGGGCCGGAGATCCGCTCGGGGAACTTGACGTCGAACTGGACGTAAAGATTGCCGAAGTCGTGGTGTCGGTACGAGGGCATACCTTGTCCGCGAATGACCTTGATCTCGCCTGGAAGAAATGTCAGCAACTGCATGCTTGTTCAGAGAGATGGCATTTTACTCACCTGGAGAGATGACCTCGCCTGGCAGAACCTCAACAGTCAACCATCGCTCGTCGAGATGCTCGATGTAGATCGCGCCGCCGGCCAGAGCAGTCAGGAGATCGATTTCGGCATGGTAGAAGAGGTCGTCGCCCTTGCGCTGGAAGCGTGGGTGAGGCTTCTGCTCAATCTCGAACTGGACGTCACCTGGCTGCACGCCCGGCATCTGATCACCCTCTCCTCTAAAGTCGATCTTGGTACCGTTCTGCACACCACGGTCGACGTGAACGTGTAGGACCTTCCGCTCAATGGTGGTCTTCTTGCCGTTGCACTGCTTGCACTTGTCCTTCTCACGGATGGACTCGCCCTCACCGTTGCAGTCGGGGCAGACAGTCTGGAATCGCTGGATCATGGGACCCATCTGGCGCATCATGGTCTTCATACCCTGGCCATTGCAGCCGGCGCAAGTCTTGACAGCGCCTTCCTTGCCTCCTCGACCTTCACACTTGGGGCAGATGACGGACTTCTGGAGGGCGAGCTTGGAGACCTTGCCGCGGTAGATGTCCTCCAGCGAGACCTTATGCACATGGTGGATCGTTCGCGCCTTCTTTGGGCCTGTATCCCTCATGCCACCACCGAACATGCCTCCGAAGCCACCTCCGCCGCCGCCGCCGAAGAACTGTGCGAACAGGTCCTCGGCGGCCATGCCACCACCGCCCATTCCACCCTGCTCGAGTCCCTCCTCTCCATACTGATCGTAGAGCTGGCGCTTCTGTGGGTCTGATAGGGTTTCGTATGCATGTGAGATCTCCTTGAACTTCTCAGCCGCGGCTGGGTCGTGGGCGTTCTTGTCGGGGTGGTGCTTCAGGGCGCCTTTGCGGTATGCGGTCTTGAGCTTGGACTCGTCGGCGTCGGGCGAGACGCCGAGAATGTCGTAGAACTTGGTTTCTTTAACCATGGTGGAGGTGGGGTAGGTACGTTATGGTGGTCGTCCTCGGCAGAAGGCTCTCTTTCGGATGGGGTTGTTCAAGCGCAGGTGTTGGAAGGAGACCCGAGTATCTGAGTAAGTGCGGCAAGTGGATGGTCTAGATCACGCTGTATCAGCACACGCGCTCTCAGAAGCTCGTGTAAGTGACGGTGGCAGTAGCAGCAGCGGTAGCAGTAGCGGCGTCGAAGAGCGGCAGTGGAGCGCCAGGCGATGAGGGGTGGTGAAAGTGACTTTTCCAACGCGGCGCTGACGAAAGCTGAGGGCGCGACTCACCGGCTCGCTTGCGGGACGACCAGATGCTGCAGGTAATGTCAAGGTGGTCAGTTGGTCGCGAAAGGGAGAGGTGAAGGTGATGGTGATGGTAGCGGCGGTAAGGTAGGAGGGAGTGCAGGTGGTGAAGCGTTGTGCGTGAGTGGAGCAGCAGAAAATGGATCTGACAAACCGAAGTCCCTGCCTTGGAGCATTATTATTAAGTTTGAGAGAAGGCCTGCGGTCAACAGCCTCACCCGTCGGCCCTGCCGCAATCGAATCCCGCACCTTCCATCGCTTTCGATGCCCGATGTAAGCCCAAAGATCACTCCGATCCGATCCAAAAATTATGTGAATGATTGATACAGATTACATGGAACACGGCTGCCGATCTTGAGCTCCGGAAACCGACCAGAGCACGAGAAATGTCGCCGTGATGGCGCTCTTGAAGGTCTTGGCATATCTGGACTTGCCACTTCCCCATTCGGCATGGCTCCTGACCCCAGCTTTTTCACGTGCGCGCAGATCTTGATCTATGCGAATCACATGAGTCTCACGCCTTCTCCTGGTTTTCCAGAACCCTTCCACTTCCAAAATATTCACCTTTCGTCCCTTCCTCGTCAGCATGCTGCACCCCTATCAGTGTCTTGCAGCCATTGGCCAAGAATATCTCGTTGCGGCCTGTGGACCACGACTTCTTGTGCTTGGCCTTGACCATGGACGTTTGATCTCGGACTGGACTTCGGAAGACAATGTAGGTCTGGAGAGACGTCTTTCGACACTCATGCGAGATGAACTTTCAATTTACTCATAGTAGGCACAGTCACCAGAAGTCGGCAGAGCGGACTCCAATGGCGCCCAACAGCGACCCGCAAAGAAGCAAAAGACCGGCACGGCATCCGCCAAGGCCCCCAATGTCATCAGGTTGACAGTCTCAGAAGACCAACACCACGTTGTTGCGGTCACTGATGACAAGTTTGTCCGTGTCTTTGAGCAGGAATCTGGCGTCTTGGCCGAATTGAGCCAGCGATGCATGCCCAAGCGGCCGTGTGCGGTTCAAATCATGCCGGACAATGCTACCATTTTGATTGGTGACAAATTCGGGGACGTCTACTCTATCCCGTTATTGCCTTCGGAGGCCTCAGAGGCTGCAGCTGCAAAAGAGCAATCGACGCCCCAACCTGCCTCCACTTTCAAGGCTTCAGCAACAAACCTGACCGTGCACACAGCACGCAATCTCAAAGCATTGGAAGCTCAGACTAAGCAGAAGGATTTTACTCCTCGCAAGGAGCCGCTTAAATTCGAGCATGAACTTTTGCTTGGGCATGTAGCAATGCTCACTGATATGAAATACCTTTTGAAGGAAGACGGCGGCAAAGAAAAGGGCTACATCCTCACGGCTGATCGAGACGAACACATTCGCATCTCAAGAGGTCCACCTCAGAGTCATGTCATCGAAGGCTATTGTCTCGGCCACACAGAGTTCATCAGCAAGATCTGCCAGGTCGGCGAGACCAACTTGCTGGTCAGCGGCGGCGGTGACGGTTGGCTTGGCGTTTGGGACTGGCCAGAATACAAGCTGCGCAAGAAAATCGACCTTCTTGGCCACGTCAGAGATACCAATGGCCACCAAAAGGATGATCAGGTTGCCGTTTCGGGAATCTGGAGCATGAGTATTGATGCAGCCGGCGGAATGGACATGGAAGACGTGATTCTTGTCGCATGTGACAAGATCAAAGCGCTCTACATCTTTCCGCTGTCGTATCTTGAAGCAGACCCCGCCCAGCACGAGAAGTCCGAGTTCGAAAGGCCGGTCATCACCGAAGTTCCATTTGAAGGATGTCCACTCGACGTGGTAGTCTCTGGAGATCGAGCCATCGTGTCCGTGGACCAGCGACAGAATGGAAAGAAGAGAATCCAAACGTTCTGGCCAAGGAAGAAGGGTGCTGAAGGAGATCCATTGGCTCCGGTCTTGATCGAACAGGAGGAAGAGGAAGGTATTGAAGAGCAGCTGAAGACTTTGAACGATTACAGGGGACCGGAGAAAGATGTCACACATAAAGAGTTGGACGGACTGCTATATGGCGTAGCAGAGATGCGGAAGCGGCGTGACCAGCCGGAAGGTGGCGACAACGAAGAGAGAGCACAGGGGCCCGAAGACCAAGAGAATGGGCAAGGCGAGCAACAGGAGAGGACCAATTATGCAGAAGAGGAGTGAAGTAAGGAAAGGTCTCGGCGCGATTGAGAAGCGACCGTCTTCCAATCAAGACATGGAGTTGAGAATACCGCCCTAACAATCAGGAATCCACCTCCCATCTCGACTTGCATCAAGCAACAGGCAACCCAGCATCCTCCGGCCGACTCACACCCATCTTCCCCGCACCACCCATCTGCTGCACCTCCCCACCCGCAGCAATCTCCGCAAAACACCGCCTATACGCCTCCCTGATCTCCGGAACCTCCAAGTCCAACCCTTCCGCCTGATACTCCCTCACCTTCTCCACCAACTTGGTCGAATCCAACCAACAATTGCTCCTCTCCGCCCTAATCACGCCCGCCTGCTCCTCCAGCGTGAAATTCTTCCACGCATAGCTCGGATCCACGAGGTCGCGATACATGCCCAGGACCTCGTTGTGCCCGATGGCGCCCGGGTTGGTGAAGTTGTAGACGCCGGATTCGCGGTGCTCGGCCATGGCGATGGCGACGGGGAGCAGGTTGGGCAGCAGGGAGTGGGAATTGGGGATGTTGACGACGCGGTCGTATTTGAGGATTTTGGTCACGAAGGAGCGCGGGTTCAGGTCGGCGGAGACGGGCATGCGCAGGCGCAGGACGAGGTTGTGCGGGTAGTGGCGCAGGAAGGTCTCGATGGGGGCTTTGGTCGCGCTGTAGAAGGAGCCGGTGAAGTTGGGGGGGTCGTCTTCCGTGCTGGAGTGGCCGTGAGGTGAGCAAGGTTGGTGGGTAAAGGGGGGGGTTGGCGTTTGGAGACTTACAACGGCTTCCCAACAACCCGATCCCTTGCCTCATTATACGCACTCGTATACATACACCCCGTCGCCATCACGGTACAATGAATCCCCCTCCTATCACACTCATACGTGAGCAGCAGCGTCCCGAGCCCATTCGCCTCCATCGTCTCCAGCCGATGCTCCTCGCACCAGTCGACATTCGGCCGCCCCGTTTTGCCCGCGCAGTTGATGACATGCGTCGGTTGGATCTCCTCGAGCTCGCGACGCACCGCCTCCTGCTCGTGCATGCGCGCCGTCGTCCCGTGCACGTCTTTTCCCTGGGCGCGCAGGATTTCGATCAGTTGGCTGCCGATCCAGCCGTGGGCGCCCCAGATGAGGTAGCGGTTTTGTCCGGCCATGATGGGATGGGTTTTTGTAGTACGACGGACGGAGGTTGTTAGGTAGAAGGGTTTTCTTTAAAAGACGAGAGACGACTGCGGATGATGAGCGAGAGAAGATCCGAGAAGTCGACTGAGGATGAGCGAGGAGATTTTGAAGTCGATGGTTGTGAGGAGGAGGAAATATATATTAAATCTATCCTGCCTGTCTGCCAGATGGCGGCATTTTTGTATCACGCCAACAGCGTTTTCACTAAAAGCGCGCGTTTGGTCGAATTCCCCCTCCCAAGCAAGGAGCTTCTTGAAAGGGCGGTATGCAGCACACGTCCAAGCAAGGCGCGAGGACGCATGGCATGGCATGTTCATTTCCGTGCCTCCCTGCGCATAACCCACGAATATCTTTGCAGAAAGAAGAAGAAGGTCAGTCAGCCAGTAAGTAACACAGCATTCTCCCCCTCTCCCAAAAAACAAAAAAAAAAAAAACCGGAAGACACCGTGGAGGGTTTGAATGAATGAGGGGTGGACTCACAGCATAATCCCTCCAATCGCCAAAAAGATGCCCACCAGACTGCCATCCCGCAGCGGTTTCCCACTCACCATCCAGCCCATGGCGACGATGGAGCACGTCTTGAAATGCCCCACGATCGTGCTGCTCAGCGCGCCGATCTCGTTGACGATCATGAAGTGGGAGATGTTGAGCAGGCAGGCTAGGAGACCGCTCTGGTTGTTGCGGTTGAGATTAGTATTCACTTCCAAACACAAAAAAAAAAAAAATCCACATGGTTGAAGAGAGAGAGAGAGAGAGAGAGAGAGAGAGAGAGGGATCAACTCACCAAGAAAATCAACCCCCAAGCCCCCAACCCCGTAGCCGGAAAAGCCGTCAGATCATCCGAAAACGGAATGACATACAGCATCACCCCGACAGCCACGGGGCTCTGCGCCAGCAACAACTGCGAGCTATCGCACCTCAGACGCAGATGGAATTCCTTAATCCAGACCCCATACAGCGCGCTCGCGACACACCCGGCAAGCGCAAAAGCCACCCCGACGGGCGACGTGCCGCGGGTATACGCATCATCAGCGTGCCCTTCGCCTCGGCCTCTGCCTTTCGTGTCGTACCAACTCAGGACCGCGACGCCCACGCAGACGGGCAGGAGGGTGTAGGCTGCCTGGAGGGGGAAGGTGATGTGGTAGAGGTACCAGTTGAGCAGGGCGGTCATGGGGGTTACGAGGACGCGGACGACTTGGTAGAATTGGATGCTGGAGAAGGCGAGGGAGGCGTTGGGGAGGACGACGTTGAAGATCATGCTGAGGGCGAGGGGCAGGACGTCGAGGGGGTCGATGCGTTTGGCTTGGAAGAGGGCGATGCGCGGGCGGGAGACGATGTAGAGGAGCGTGGCGGTGATGGTGAAGTGGAAGGCGGCGAAGGCCACTTGGCAGTTTCGTAGCGGTGGGTTGGAGAAGATTTGTTTGTTGACGAAGACCTGAGAATCCAATTCTAGTCAGTACGGATCGTGTAGGAGTGGTGGTGTTGGTGTGATGATGGTGATGGATCGATCTTACAATCCCCGCCGTAGCCAGACAATTCACCAGGATAGCCAGACACAACTTCGGACTCATGCCCAGAAAACCTCCCTTCGACATCGCTTTCGGCTCAGGAAGAATCGGCGGCTCCGGGAATTGAGATTCTTCTTCATCTTTCTCCAGGAGGAATGGTTTCGCCTCTTCGACGGCCAACTCAAAGGACTCGGGACTTTCCATATCGTTCGTGGCCCCCATTGTCTCCAGTGTATCAACGTCGAAACGTCTTGTCGTGAATCGGTGCTCCTGTCGACGATGCCAAACTTCGCGATGAACAGTCCCTCTTGTGGACGACGCGCACGCGCAGGCAGAACGCGTCCGCAGCATTCCGGCATCGAAAAAATTTCCTTTCAAAAATGCTCGACGAGTTCAACAATGCCCCCTTGCGCGTCGTCGCTTTGGCCAAGAAGCGTACAATGTCCTGTCCTGTCCTGTCCTTCCCATCTCCATTGCCAAAGCGAAAGCAAGAATCGCAGTCGTCAGGCTCTTCGCGTTCGCAATAATGGAGACAGAAAGCTGGAACGCGAGCGGTAAGTCCTCAGTCCCGGGGAGGCATGTCGAGTGGACCGATGCTGACGGAGAAGTGTGTCTCTCCCACAGGAAGCCTCGACTCCCGTTTCTTCAACGACGACGGCCTCTGGACATCCGCTCCCCTCTTGACAGGCCAATCCTCCCACGAACCCCTCCCAGATGTCCACAACATCATGGTGACAGGCGGCGAAGGCTTCATCGCCTCCTGGCTCATCCGCCACCTCACCCTCAAGTACCCCACGCATTACAATATCATCTGCTTCGACAAACTCGACTATTCCTCCTCCCTCAACAATTCCCGCCTCCTGCTCTCCCATCCCAATTTCGCCTTCTTCCACGGCGATCTGACCAAACCCGCCGACGTTTTGCGTTGTATGAAGAAATACAACATCGATACGGTCTTCCATCTGGCGGCGCAGAGCCATGTGGATTTGAGTTTTGGGAACAGTTTCAGTTTTACGATTAACAATGTCTTGGGGACGCACGTGTTGTTGGATGTCGCCCGAGAGTTTGGGCGTGTGGGCAGGTTTTATCATATTTCGACGGACGAGGTGAGTTGAGGAGAGCATGATGGAGATGAGCAACGAGTTGGTTCCGTTTTTGGCTTACCGGTGATGTGATGTTATAGGTGTACGGCGAGGTCGAGAAGGGTGGTGCAGACCTTCTCGAGCACAGCGTACTGGCTCCGACGAATCCGTACTCGGCCAGCAAGGCTGCCGCTGAGATGTTCGTCATGGCATATGTGCGCAGTTACAAACTGCCCGTGACCATGATCCGCTTGAACAACGTCTACGGCCCGCATCAGGTGAGTAGTAGACGGACGTCCCTCGTGTTTGCTTCCACGACATGAAGACTGACAGATGGCATAGTTCCCGGAGAGTGCGTTTGACAGGACGATGCAGTAACACCTCGCGCGTGTGCTGACCGCTCACAAAACAGAAATCATCCCGAAGTTCATCAACCTGCTGCAGCGCAAGAAGCCCCTCTTCATCCACGGAGACGGGCACAATACCCGACGATACCTGTACGCGGGAGACGCCGCCGATGCGTTCGATACAATCCTCCACAAGGGCGAGATTGGACAGGTATACAACGTGGACTCCAGGGACGAAATCTCGAATCTCGACCTCGCGGGCAAACTCCTACAAGCATTCGGCGTGACGGACATTGAAAGCTCGATCCAGTATGTCCGCGATCGTCCCTTCAACGACTTGCGCTACGCCGTCGACGGGTCCAAACTGAGAAGATTGGGCTGGGAGCCGAAGGTGTCGTTCGAGGAAGGGCTGGCAGCGACGGTGCAATGGTATGGCAAATTCTCAGGTTGGTGGGGCCCGATTGAGAATATCCTGACTCCGTTCCCCGTGGTCAAGAAGGAGGGAGCAGGCGTCGCGACGGTCGATGCCGTGGTGAAGGAATTGGACTGCGAATCGGGTGAGCGCATCTCGCAGGCAGAAGTGGGCGCAGAGGAGAAGAAGCATAATGGGGGCGCCAACGGGCATCATGCGCAGGGCCGTGGCTTGACTAATGGAGCGACGAAGAAGCGGAAAGCTGCTGCCCTGGACGAGGAGTAATGTGTCACGTGTGTATCACGTGTGTGTCACGTGTGTGTCACGTGTGTGTCACGTGTGTGTCACGTGTGTATCACGTGTGTGTCTGGTGGTGAGGCACCATTCGGTGATAAGGAATGTGGGAGGGCGAGGCTGCATCAGGACTCTTGTCATCAGCAATTGGTTGCCGTCCTCGCGAGCGCAGAATTGTCATACCGAATGAAATGTATCGATGCAGGCATTCCGGCTAAAAGATGGTGAGGTCGGTAGTGCGGCGTGCGTCATCCCATCGAACCTGTACCCGCAAGATGAAATTCTACCGACACCGCCTACACATAGCTGTTGCTATACCGCCGCCTAGCTGTCCGATGTGCGATGTGCGATATGCGATGCGTGATGGTGCTTCTGTCCCGGCAACACGGGTAGCTTGTCATCATGCGCACTGGCGCACGCAGCACATGTTCGTCTCGCGAAAGAGGATCAGGAAACGTTTCACGCTCCGTCGTTCGTCAGGGTCGTGTAATTTGATGGGAAGTCGGGTCGTCATCGACCGGGGAGGAGCAGGGAGGTTACGTCTCCCTCTGCAGAGCTGATTGGCGGCTCAGCCGGCAGGGGAGAACGCCACTGATGTCGTTTGGAATTCCTCGCTGGTGGACGCACGGGTGGGTGGCTTGCATCGTCAGACAACATCTCCCTGGATACAGCACCAAGAAGGACCTCGGTGCGATGGGATGTCATGCAGTGCAGCGATATTCTACATATTGGAGGAATGCAGGGCTCGTGGGAAGTGAGGGCTGACATAGTGCAAGACACCTCATTTTCGATGATACTCGTACACTCGTGAGCCTCAGTACTGACTATATGTAGAGAAGTGGCCATATTGCCTCCAATATCCATCATCAAAATGTACAGATCAAGTAACGCGCTGATAGCGACGTGCAATTCTTGCAAAAGTTCTCTCCTCTCTGTCCGGTATGAACATTCGACCTGATCTGATCTGATCAATGCCGCTCCCAATCAGGCCTCGCCAATTCCAAGCCTCTGTCATCTCACGCGAGATATTCGTACAGTACATTCTGCCCATCAGCAGGAGCCTGCGTAGCTGTGCAGTTCCGTTCTTGAACACAACGCCTGATAACGCCTTGCAAAACCAGCCATTCCAACTTCCTTCCGGGCCGCAGAACCAAAAATCGGGGGTATCAAGTCGAAAGTAGCGATCGTCGTTGAAAGATATTCCATAACGCCAGCCGATCATCCGGCATCCGAGACAAGCTTGCCTTCTGCCTTTCTCGTGCGTACTGTCGTGTGATTCGTCGTACATTATCAAATGGTGTAATCGTCTAATCGTCGTCATCGGGAGATGGGGGACCTTGGCCCTCGCCCTTGTGGACCTTGCGATGTCTCCGCAGATTCGAGACAACGGAAAAGTGACGGCCACAGCCGTCGACGTCACAAGCGAATGCTATGAAACATGGATATTAGACTTGAAGTTTGCACATCTCGGAGCGCGTCTGCGAACGTTTGAACTCACGCTTTTCGCCGGTGTGGCTGTACATGTGCGTCTGCAGCGAGCTGGGTCGCGTGAAACGCTTGTCGCAAATCTTGCACTTGTGCTTCTTTTGCGAGCTCGATGAGACCTTGGAGCTGAACTGGCCCATCATCGATTGCGGCGCCGGCGGCAGTGCTCCTTCGGGGATGCCGTTCGGTCTCGGGAGCGTCCGCGATGGCATGTCGACAGACTCGCTGGCGGAGCTGTAGTCGCCGACAGAGGCCTCGCTCACGGAGCTGGTGTAGTAGTTCGGGTATGTGCTGGCGGAAGAGATGGAGGAGTGCGATGAGTGTGTGGGGAAACCATAGGAATCCGTCGATGGTCGTGCGGTGCTGCTGCTTCCGTAGATGTTTCGGGGTGTGATGTCCGACTGGCTCATCGCGACCATGCCACGGCTCGCGTCCAGGGCATCGCTGAAGCCCTGACGCTCAGCATCAGACGCAGTATTCATCCTGTTGTTCACGTCAATCAAGGAACTCTGGCGGAACTTCTGCGCCTCGATGGGGTCGCCGGAGAAGATGGTGGATGCTACTGACGGGTGCGATGCGCGCCTGTCGCCCTGATAGCCGTGGGGTGGTGGGTAGTGCGGCGCGGACGGTGGGGCAAAGGTTGATTGCGGCGGTGCTGCAGACGAGTAGGAAGCACCGTATGGCCGCGGTGCGCTCATGTCTTCCGAGAGTTGTAAGCCAGACTGCTCCGCAAAGAGCTCCGGGTCCAGAGGGAGCATACCTGATGGCATCGCGGGAGCGGAGATCTGACCACCGGGGTACGCAGCGGAAACATGGGGCGCCTGAATGTATCGCGATTCGCCGCCGACAGACGTCTGGGGCATCGAGGTCGCGTACATCTGGCTCTGGTTGGAGGCCGGCTGGGAGACCCATGGATTCGAGAACTGCGGGGCGGGTGGATATCTCATCGCATCGTAGCCCATATTGCTGAAGTGAGGGTGGTGGTGTTGCTGGCGAGAGTCGACGGCCATGGCCATTGTGGGCGCGAGGAGGTATGGAGGATGGGATGCGGTGCGGTGCGGTGCGGTGCGGTGCGGTGCGAGTGCAGATGCGTCGTCGGGTGAGACAGACGGTTGAAGGTCCAGTATTAGCCTTGCGGCCACGCGTGAGGTGATCAACGCTGGAGAAGAATGGGTTTCAGAAACGTGGAGAGGCGATCAGATCTGGGAGGATGTGCGGGATCAGCGTGCTTAAGTGCTCCGTTCCTCGAGGCTGGGAGGATCCGAGGGACGGGTGTGGGTGGGCAGTGAGACAACGCTCCGCTCTGCCGATCTGCGAATGGGTGGAGGAGCGGTAGTGGTAGTTCCTGCCTGGAGGGAGGGCGGAAGGCGTCAGTGGAGTGTGGGTGGTGAGGGAGCCGGATGCAGCTAGGCGGCGCGAGCTAGCGGGCGCGGGTTGATGAGTCGTCGATTGGAGCGCGGTGGGATGTGTTTCAAGAGCTGGGGGAGTGCGGGATCGTCGCGAGCACGGCGAGCGAGGAAGGAGTAGCTCGTGGGGTTGGAGGAGGGCGCTGATCATGGACGAGGCGGGCGAAGGGTCCGTTGATATGTTTTCCAGGTAGCGAGCGCATGACGTTTACGCTGGAGGAGAGCTCGGTGCGAGGGCGAGTGGTGAGCGGGTGCAGGAGGGCTCTGGGTGGAGTTGCAAGCCTCGCTTCCCCCTCCTCATGCGCCGCCCCACACCCCGGGAGGCGCCGTCCGTGGACTGGACTGGACGGGAATTTCCCACTGGTGCCTCCTGACTGCACCCACTCAAGGCTCAAGCCACTGCACTGTGCTGCACCGCACCGCACCTTCCCTTCCCTCAGATCAGAATCCAGATTTGATTTAGCCGATCCACCTTCCTTGCTCCACCCGCACCTGCTCTCACATCTGTCCTCTGCCGTCATCGGCTCCTTCCTCCCTCCAGGTAGCGCGTCTGTAGCTCGGTGGCCCTGCGTAATGACGCTCCGCAGCTCTGGTCGGGGTCGGCCGGAGATGCGCACACACGCACACCAGACGCATGCGAGTGCGATGCTGTTTCTGTTTCACTCGCACACTGTAAGGTAGTGTGCAGTGTGTGCACTGTGCTGTGCAGTCCTATCTCACCATATCATCCGCCCAACTCCCACCCACAACAATCTTCCATCTCGCGCCCGCCAGACAGGAGGCCTCCCCGTCCGTTTAGCCTTTACGCCTCCGTCCGGATCACATCTACCCGAGCCATACGCGCCACGCCCATTGCTGTGCTCTGCGCTGCCCGCTGCCCGCTGCCCGCTGCCCGCTGCCCGCTGCTCTCCCCTCGCCGCGCGACCTGATTCAGCTCGCTGTCGCTAGGTCTGTCACCGACCGCATCTCAACCCGGATTCATCTACCTCCCAAAAATACGACTTCAACGGCGCCCCGGTTTCAACGGTCGCTGTCCTGCTACTCTCCCGCGAGGTTGTGAAGAAGCGCACGCACGCACGACAGCGCCGCGCCCACAGCCCCAATCCCTGTCATCGTTCGCAATCACAGTGTGAAGCCCCTGGATGGATATGCGCGAGCGAAAGCCGAGCCACACATGGGCCAATCTCGACGTCGTTACAGTAGCTCTTAGCTCCTCCCCATCCCATCACCTGCGACTCGATACTTGTCGACATGCACTCGCCTAATCGCGCCTCTATCCCGCGCATACACCATTGCCAGCTCTATGCCCTCTTACTCGCGTCCCCCACCTCCATTCACCTTTGTCCCCTCGCGCCCCCCCGTGCACATATCCTCTAGCCTCGGCGAGTCCTCTCGTCGGTCTCTCGTCCCCTACTTGCCCTGCTTTTGTCGACAGCGCCACTCTTGCATGCGGCGCTCACTCTACCACTCGCAAGAGATCCTGGAAGCCTTGACCAGCGCCATCCAGCCAAAGGCGTACGCCACTTGATCTGATGCCTGGCTCCTACGGCACCGCCCTCCCGAAGCCTCCCAGCGGTCTTTGCCATTCTAGCCGCTCAGCAGACGTCCGCCCGCCCGCTCACCAAAGGAAACATTATATGCTTATGCGTAGCGCCAACCTTAATACGCCTCTTTCCACGACGAGAGATGGTCGCTGTAACTGCCCGATCCGACTCTTGCTTCGACGGGAGCGGCCTTGTTGTTTTTCTCGCAACCCTCGCACCCGGCCAATTGCTGATGTCTTCGGCCCGCATCTGTACGCTGTCTGCGGGATGGGATGTCGAATGTGGTGTGCGCCAGTCTTCTCATTCGACGACTGCCAGTGTACCAACATACCGCGGCTCTTGGAAATCGACACACGTGTCAGCTCTCTTTGCGATGGCCACGACAGGAAGCCCGCCTTCTGGGTAGTGTTATCGGATCCAGCGTCGTTGACATGTCCTCGAGAATCGAAAGCTAATCCCTCTCTCTCGGTTTGTCAACTTCTCCGAAGAGAAAGTGCTCGACACGGTGCGTCTCGAGTGGCAGTCTCGACGCGTGCCAGTGATGGGCGGTGCACCGTTCGTCGCAAGCTTCCTCTACGCTCTTCGATACCAATGACAGTCACATGCTCTCACCGCCATGAAATTGCTCAAATCCGACATCGACAGCATTTGTTCTTCTGGTCAGGCTTGGGCATTCCCATCGACGATCGCACCTGGGCGCATTTAGAGTCGCAAGCATATTGCGGGAGGCTGACGCCCGCCCGTTGCGGACAAAACCAAGACACCAGAAATATCCCACACGGAGATCAGGGTGCCATCCTGCGGAGTCAGTGCATACAGGATCCTCGGTAGACTGCCAAACTCGGCCTCTTCCCTCCACTCGGGGCAGAGGGGTCTTCAAGCGAGGCCTGAGCGCGTCGCCAACGGTCGCTTTCTCCGTGGTAGGATGTGCGTCTAAAGCGCGACCGTAGATGTGTTTGTAACTTGGTATGCGCAGACCACCGGCTCTTGCACCTGCCGGACCGAGTCATCCACTGTGTTTTGAGTAATGATGGTGGAGATTGCGCCTTTTGGACAATGCACTTCTTCCCTGCATGAACAGGAGCCTAGCTGCCTAGGAGTGCGATACTCCACCACCAGCAGTGTAGTGCTGATGCCCAAAATTCTTCTTTTGCAAGGACACGAGCGCAGCGGGAGATCTGGAGACAGCCGATGGCCACCCGAAAGGCTCTTCGCGATGCTGTAGATGCGCTGGCGCAACTCCTCCAGCAACATGACTTGTTTGCACTGTCCACGAGTCCCATCGAGGGATACAATCAGCGAGGGGTCCAATTCCCCGACTTCTCGGTTACTTGCATCGCAAGTAATACGATCATCCGCATAAGATCGTCGGAATTGCAGCCCTGCCACGCTCTTTTCATACTGATGAGCACCGTTTGATAGACACGAACACATGGTAGGAACCGTACGATCAGCGCGAGTTCTAGAAGAGTTGCTTGAAGTCCAATGCGGATTCCTTCTATGCATGAACCTCGCCATCATGCTTGCCTGCCCATGCCACATCACATCACATCTTTTCATTGCTCGCTTCTGCTCTGCTTCACATGGAAATGTGAAGGGTCTCCCATGGTAGCGCGAGATACACGCAGCGAGCGGAGGGGGGGGTGTGAGTAGAAGAGGTCTGGAAGCATCTAGAGAGTCAGAAAGCCTCGACCAACAACTCTCGCTGGACTTCTTGCCAAGGTCTTGATCGTCCTTCTGCCTGGAAGCAACTCCCAATCTATCAAACCACCACACTTCAATCGCCACCTCGCCTCGCCTCGCCTTCTCTTCCAGGGAAAACCTCGACGAGAAATGCTATTCTTCCATTATCAACATGGATCTTTTTTTTTTCATTATTACGAAGCTCACTTGTTGTTGTTGTTGTTGTTGTAAGCTCTTTCGAGAGAACTATCTAGTGAAGTCTCGTCAATAGTAGTAGTAGTAGATGATGCCACAATCGGTGCACAGGTGCATGATGGACGGAAGCGAAGCTTGTCCGTAATGATGAACTCTGCGTGCCCGGAATTTCTTTCCCCCTAGATTGTAATTGATCTGGATTCCATTGGACCTACCTTTTTTGGTTGCAGGTGGAGGTGGGACTTTGTATGCGCTTGCGCAGTCCCTGAGGACGCCTTTAGCTCTTCGCCATCGTTGGATTATCAGTTCAGTGTCTCTGTAGAAGCCGCAATTAGGTATTTTTGCCCCATGACGAAGAATAGGAGAATAATAATAGAATGGTGGTGAGGATACGGGGGAGATATAGATATATCGTCTCCTCTACTCTACTATGTAAGAAAACGAAATGCCAAAGACGTTAAGTTTTTGTAAGACTTTTTCACCCGCTGAGTGAGCGAGCCGCAAAACAGATTCCGGGACTTTGCGGGCTTCACTTCATTGGAGGCAGGCTACATTGTCATTTGCAAAGATGGTTCAATGTGCGAAGTGAAATGATTTCCCTATTGCACTTCGAAGCAGATTCCGAAGTTGCTGGTGGCTGACTTCTGATGAGGCGAAGAAAAGTGCAAAAAGATATGGGCTCTAGCCACGATTCCTCAGCCATAACGCCTCAGCCACAACGCCTCGGCCACATGCATCAGCCCCGACTTTCACCGCTGGGTTGGGGGAAAAAACTCTGCTGCGAGCCGCGAAGGTATTCCGGGGGCTTTGGGTGTCTCATCGAAAGCTATATGGTCATTAAAAATATCATCCAATGTGCGAAGTGAGATGATTCCTATTGCACTTCAACGTAGATTCCAAAAATTGGGCGAATAGAAATGAAAAAAGATGCAAAAAGAGATTCTGTCAGCCACATTGACTGCGCCACATGCATCAGCCGCGAATCGAACGCGGGGCTCGTAAGCGGGTCCCCTGTGTGAAAGCTGGCGTCAGCTAGCTTTTCATAGGGGGCACGCGCCAAAAGAGGTTAGCGCGTATATGTATATTTATAAAAAACAAAAAAAAAGGAAGCTCTACGTAGTAGCCCCCGGAGGGCCCCCGGAGGGCCGCCGGAGGCAGTTACTATATATACTATCTATCTCGGTATAG